CATTTCATTTGGAGGGGAAGTGACACCTGGAGGTACTCAAGGGTCCATGCACTGCCAGGATAAAACCTATGAGCCCAGCCTAGAGCAATACTACAGGATTCAATCTCCAGAACCACAGTGGTCCCAAGCACAGTCAGTAGAGATCCCTGAGCACAGAGCCACGAGGAAGCCCTGAGCACAGTTGGGTGTAGCCCAAAACCAAAACCAAAACCAAACCAAACAAAAAAACCTGTGGGCTCCCACATAACAAAAGGCATTTATTTCTGAGGAATCTCCCTGGACCCTAAATAGCAACTTAAACTTTTCTGTTTACTATTAAAGTATGTTTTCATTTTAAAGCTAGGTATTAAGTAAAACAAAGTTTAAAAATGGCTTCTCCCAACCCCCACCCTGCTTACAAGGGATGCCAGACAGGGCTCAGCACTAAAATTATGGTTAAGACCTCACATTAGGTGCTTCCAAAATAACTGAATCATTTCAGACAGGTCCTTTCTCACAAAGGGCAAAGCTGTCATAATCACCCTGGTGATTACCTGCAGCACCAGGGCTAGAACTCACCTTGAGCTACTGAGCTATCCTCTGGGACCTCAATTTGGTGTTTGTTTTTTATTCGGGGGCCATATCCAACTATACTCAGGGTTTACTCCTGGCTCTGTGCTCAGGGATCACTCCTGATAAGGCTCAGAGACCATATGGGGTCTTGGGAATTGAACCCAGGATGACCACATGGCATGGCAAACATCTTAACCTGCTCTACTATCTTTAGCTAGCACCTTAATTTTTAACTGAGATGGGGAGGGTGAAGGCAGGGGGGACGGGAATCAAAAAAAACTAGTATAAGTTTTTTTCTGGCTGTTAGGGCCACATCCAGCTGCAGTATTCCCAGCGCAGTCCCTGGAGGTAGCTTCTGATGGTGCTCGGGGGACTATGCAGTTTGGGGGATTATACCTGGGCCTCCTATACTGTGGCTCAAGTGGCCAAGCACTTAACTGGCAGATACAAGCCTCTAGGTTCAATCCCTACTGCTGGGGTAGTGTTAGTTCCTCGTAGAGCCCCTATAAACAAAAATGAAAATTAGAAACCTAAAACTGAGCCTCCCACATGCAAAGCATGCTCAGTAACCTTTGAGCCTGCCCCTTCTCACGTTTTACTTTTCATTTTTTGTTTTTGGGTCATACCTGATGATGCTCAGGCATTATTTCTGGCTCTGCACTCAGGAATTATACCTGGCAGTGCTTGAAGGACCAGCCAGGGACTGACTCCAGGTCACACACATATCCTACCCGCTACACTCTCTCCAGGCCCCCCATTTTTTTTTAAAAAAAACAATAAAGCTAAAGACTCTAGGGATATTTTGTTTGTTTTGGTGGTAACAGGACTCAAACCCAGATCCTTACATATACACAGCAGGTGCTCCACCACTGAGCAACATCAGTTCAAATTACAATCCTAATTTTTCTTTTTTAAGCATTCTTTTGTTTTGTCTTGTTTCAAGGATCACTTCCAACAGTGTTTAGGTGCTAGTCCTGTTAGAGGTATATCCCTGCATTAGTGAGAGACCATGGAACACCAGAATTGAATTCAGGTCTACAGCACACAGAGCGATGTAGATTAAGCACTTGCCTTGCATGTGGTTGACCCAGGCTCCATCCCCTGAGCACCACCAGGAGTGATCCCCAAACTCAGAGACAGGAGTAAACCCTAGTTACAGCCAGGTGTGGGCCCCCCAAAAATTAATAATCAAGTTTTAAATAAGAAGTTACATGTCACAGCTGACAAGAGAGCTCAGAGAACTAATGCACATGTTTTGCATGGGGGAAACATGGGTTCAATTCCCAGCACAAGATTCCCAAAGCACTGGGTTGCCCCCCCCCCAAGAAATAAAATCCACAAATAATTCTGACATTATCAAGCACTTCTCAAATCATCTAATTTGTACTTAAAATAAGCTTGCTTAAGATACTCATTAAATTCGAAGCTAGAGAGATCGCACAGTGGGTAGGGTGCTTGCCTTGCATTTCAAACCCTAGACATCCCAAGTGATCCCCCAAAGACTTCCAGAAGTGATTCCAGAGTGCAGAGTCAGAAGTAAACCTCTGGGCCTAGTCAACACCCCGCCTCACCACCCCCCCCCAAAAAAAGGACATTCACTAAATTCAACTTCCTGGCTTACCCTTAATTTCCATCAAGCCTTTAGAGAAATAGAAAGCAAATACAGCCCAAAATTATCAGGACCTGCACTCTTATGGAAATGACCAAAGGCTAATGAACTAAAACACGTTCAAAATCAGCGAGCACTAACTTAAAACCCGAAGCAGTATTGATTCAATACTTCAACAGGTAATACACCTACTTATTGAAAGGCACTGTGCTAAGCACTGACAATGCAATTATAAACAAAATCTAGGTACTATCCCTGCCCTCATAAGAGCTTCCATTCCATGAGTGAAAAAGAACCAAAAATAAGTGCACACACTGATAAAATTCAATAGTGATCCAATAGCACGTTTTATCTACTATTATCGTAAAAAGCATAACCAACTTGTCTATTTCTTTGTGGGGCTTTTTGTTTTTGTTTGGTTTTTGAATCACACCCAGCAGTACTCAGGATTTTCTCCTGGCTCTGTGCTCAGGGATGATTGCTGGCAAGTCTCGGGAGACCATTGGTGATACCAGGGAACGAACCTGTGCAAGGCAAACACCCTACCCACTGTACTATTTTTCTAGCCCCCTAATTTGTCTAATTCCTTCAAACTACAGATTCATAACTATAAGCTCATTTTGTGAACAATCTTAGCTCTGAATATATAACATAATCTTCAACAGTATTTAAAAATTAATTGCTAGTTGTTCATAACAGCAAATGTTCACCAACTGATGAATGGGTAAATGCTGGGTTACATACATACACAATAAAAATTATTCAGTCACAGAAGAGTGAAGTGCTCATAACAAAATCATGTCCACCAAAAGAAGCCAAACACAAAGGTCACGTGCTGTATAACTGCATTTATATGAAATATACAAAAATGTAAATCCACGGAGAAAAGATCCCATATTAAAGAATGGAAAGCCAGGGACTGGGAGGAGAGGAAGGAAAAATATAGGGGGGTTTCCTTATGGGTAGTGAAAATATTTAAGAACTTGATAGAAATGTGGTTGCACAACATTGTAAATGCCCTAAATTCCATGGAATCACTCACTTTCAAAAGGTTTATCTGTATAGCATATTAATTAGAAAGCTTTTTTAAATTCACTCTTGGATATTTTAAGGTGGATTTATTAATAAACTTCAATTTTAACTGGGAATTTCAGTTGTAAATCAAGCTTCCAACATTAACTCCTTCTAAGTCTATTTTCATATCAAATGGTGGGGAATTCTTGGTTTCGTTTTGATGGCAAAAATAATTTCTTAAAAGCTATTCTCAGAGTCTCATAGTCTCTCCTTTAAATGTTATTCGACACTTAAATGTACATACAATTCCTTGCTACATGATGACATTCCTTTATTACTCATATATTTAGCCAGCATCTGCATTTATTACTAGTAAGCATATAATGTGCCCTAATCAAGCATATGCACAATAAAAGTTTGCAGACTTCATCAACTGTTTACTTCCTTATAACTCAATTTTTTTTTAAGTCCCAATCGCCTAAGTTCAACTTAATTGCTACCCTTTCAATAAATGCCACTTAATTTTTACTTGGAATTCAACAGGCACCACACACGGCCGCCTCACAGCTTAGTTACATGGGTCATGCGTCTGCCTCTCCCCTCATCTCCCAAGTTTTTTGAGAGGCATGGCATTCCTTTCGCATCCCTCATACGCGACCCAGACCCTACCAGCACCTTCCACATAACAAGTGCTCAAATGGTGTCAGCGGGATCGAAACAAACGCGGCCACCAAATAACGACTGTAAATTATTCATTATGGTAAAGAAGCCCTGGACCACATACACTGGCAAGACACGCACCCCGCGTTTGGAGGTATTTCGGTGCGCGCTGCAGAACAGTCTGCGGAACATCACTTAGGAACACGAAGCAATTCTCCGAACGCCCGGAGAGAAGAGCGAGGCATTCGCCTTCTCCATCGCCTTTCTGAAGTTCTCCTGCATATGTAATAGGGAAACTGAACTTGATGAACCCATGTATTCCAAACCAGGTCACCGGAGAGCTGCGCGTCCCCAGCCAGCCCGCTGCTATTTCCTGATTGGTCTGACCTCCACGCCTGTGATGGTGTCCAGCCCTCCGCTCCCCGGCCCGCTTCAAACATCTTCCGAGGCGAGCTCCTTCTCAAAATAAAAGCTGCTCTCCGCGAGCACTTTCAAGGGCAGTTACCAAGAGGCACCCACTTTGGGGTTTCTGAACTGCCCGCTTTGCTCCAAGAAAAGACCAAAAAAAAAAAAAAACACACAAGCCGGTCCTCGGCAAAGGGGCCCGTTAGAACGACGCTTCGAGTTCAATGTGGGCCACACACCGGCCCGCGTGGAAGTGACCGCGACAGCGCCGGCAGAGTCGATCGAACGCGACCCGTGCCGAACCGGAAAGCGGTCCTCACGCGTCGCCGACGCGCATCTCCGAAAACGCAGCTTTTAAAGCTCCCAGCAGGAGAGAGCCGGGGGGCTCGCACCTCCCGGCGGCCGACGATTCCTCCACACTCCGCCGGCCAGAGCCGCGACACGCTGACGCCCCTCCGGCAGCCGCCCGGCGCGCGGCCCCCTCCGGGACCCCCGGGGCGCCCACTGGCCACAAGGCGTCCCGGAGGCGAGTTGCCCACTAGTTGGTTTCCAGTCCAGCCCTGCCCCGCCGCCACTTCCACGTCGCTGGGTCCCCCGCGCCCTCGCAGGCCATTTAAATCCGCTCGCCACACAGCCGGTGGCACCCGGCACCCCCCCCCCCACCCCGCCACCAGCCCGGGACCCAGCGAGGGGGCGAGCTCGTGCGGGCAGGGCGAGGGACCGGCGCTCCGGGTCCGGCCCGGCCCGACCCGACACCCACCTGCAGGCCGCGAGCCCGGGGGCGGCGGCGCCGGCGCCCCGTCCTCGCCAAAGACGAGTTTGAAGTCGAGCTCGTCGTGGGCTCCACAGTTTGCAGTAGTCATCGGCGTGGCCCAAGGTGCTGCGGCTCCTCCTCAGGCGGCGGCAGCGACGACGGCAGCGGCGGCGGCGGCGGCGGCGGCGGCGGCGGCGGCGGCGGCAGCGGCGGCAGCAAGAGCTCCTCAGCGCCGCTTCATGCCGGGCCGCGCTGGCCGGGAGGTCGCAGCTTCGCGGCAAACTTTCCGGGCGGGGACCGCAAACGCCCAGAGTTCCGTTCCGAGCTCGAGAGCTGGCCACGCGCCGAGCCGCACCAGGAGCCACTGCCAGTCGCGCTAGTGCCTAAGCCGCCGCGGCCGCCTCAGCCAACATCCCCCGCCCCCCAACTGCCGCCACCGCCGCCGGCGCGCTCTCGCGCCGTTCCGCGCGTCCGGCCCCGCCCCCTACCGCGCACCCAGCTGACCGGCCGCCCATAGGCCACTGGAGCCGCGGGCTAGCCCCATGGCCCCGCCCGCTCACCGACCTACCGCGTGACTCCCGCCCCCGGAGAAGGAAGTCACGTGCGCACGCAGCGCGGCGGCCCCGCTGCCTCTTGGGAGTTGTAGTTTGGGCTGGAGTCTTTCCCCCCTCCCCCCGCAACTTCCAAGCCAGGGCCCGGCCACCCGGATGTCGGGCCCGTAGCTTGCTCTAAAGGGATTAGAAACCCACCGCCCGCCCATCGGCCAATCGGCCGGTTCCTTTCTTTACTGGGCGGAGCTCACGTCGAGGCAGACGCGCTAGGTCTACGCAGGCCCCTGACTCGCAGCTGCACGGCTACTCCTGACAGCTGGGTTGGGGGAAGAAGCCGGGTGACGTGATCGCCTCTGCCACCTCAGCCCCACCCGTACTCCCACCCTAATGGCGGAGCCCCGAGAGGGCCGAGTTGGGGCGAAGCCGGTGATGGAGCTGGTGATGTCGCTACAGACCCAGCCCTGCGGGGCGTGGCCCGCGCCTCGGCGGCGGCCCCTTTGTCTGCCCTCCGAGCCGACCCAGCAGCTGCTCCCTCAAGGACAGCCGGTGCTTTCGAGGCCTCTGCAAGACCCCGCTGGCAGGGCTGGCCCCTGTTAGGCGCCCGGCAGCACGAACGGGAAAGGCCTTTCGTGAGCTGGCGCTAACTCAAGGGCTCTGTGACCTCTGCATCCCGATGCTCAACCGAGAAAGCGGGAGGGTTCCAGCTGCCCACACCGAGACTGGCCGTGGAGAAGTGACAGTGACTGAAGAATCTTTATTTTTTTGGCCCCTGCTCTCGCCCCTCTGGCGAGCCTGTCTGCTCCGAAGCACTCCCCCGGGGGCCTGTGGCTGAGGCAGCCCCTGGGGACCGAGCAGAGCTTGTTTACCTAGGTCGACTCCGAGGTGCAGGGGTGGACCGGGAGCTGGGAGAGCCGTGACAGACTCCCCTAGCCCAAGGCCCCGCAGGGCACAACATCCTTAGCGTTGCCAGAGGAACCCAGGAGCCATATCTGTGACTTGGGTGCAGGTGCAAGGTCCCAGGCACCTCCCACGGGGCCCACAAAAAGCCCCGGGAAGAGGGAAGTGGAGAGACTTGCAGAGGAGTCTCAGCGGCTGGCCTGATGCCACGCTATCAGGGTGCCATGCTTCGTGAGACCAGTTAACCCTGGGATCTAGAGGGCAGACAATGTCTAGAGCAGGAGAGTTCCTCCTAGATTTGTTCCCTTCTGGTGTCAGAAAAAATTTCCTGCTTACACTCTGTACCCTCACCTGTGCTGGAGCTGAGGACACTTGTCAATCTTCCTTCAGGGAAGAGACCAGAAAATTCCTAATGACTTGAGAATAGGGATGAGATGGCAGAGAGTAGGGGTGTGCAAAGAATTGGGGGAAAGTTCTCAAACTCCCGGGGCTATGAGACTTCCACAGACCAAGTAGGAATTGGAGGGATAGGTTAGAAGTGAGCAACATGGTTCTAAGGCAGAGCACAGATTACCAGGCTTGGGAGACCAGAAAGTACCTGCCATAAACAGAAGCCAAAGGTCAAGACTAGGGCCAGGAAGGTAGTACAAAGACCTGGAGGACATGCCTAGCAGGTCTGGTCCGACACTACACAGTCCCCTAAGCACACCATGAAAACACAGAACTCGGAGTAGCCCCTGAGCACCACCAGGTGTGGCCAAAGAATAAAAAACAAACAAAAAGGTAAAGTTAGATGAGTGGGCTGAGTGCTGCAGGCCACAGCAAGGTGTCTGGACAGCTGGGAGCCATGAAGGGAATCCAAGCAGAGGACTTGGGGGTCTGAGGGAGAGAAGGGAGGTAGAATGGGTCATACAGAGGTAATCAGGGCTTTCTTATGGCTCTGTGCCCTGAACTGACCCCTGGCAGTGCTTGGGGGACATACACAGTGCCAGGGATCAAACTAGGATCAGCCACATGCATGGCAAGGATACCCCCTACACTCTCTCCAGTCCATGTTCAGAATTCTGTATGAATCACTCAACTAAGGAGGGGAAGGATGGAGTCTGAAGGTAACAGCTTTCAAGGAGCAGACACAAAGGGCATTAGGTGGATCGAACATCTTCTCAATAAACTTACCTACCTTCAAAGGCTCTCCAACCTCAAAGCCCAAAGGTCACACTAACTTTGCCACCTTCTGTCCCAGGCAGATGACCGCCCCTTCACATCACATGACCCCAGTAGAATAAAAGGTCCCAGAAATCAGGCCTTCTTGCACGTTGTGTGTGTGTGTGCGCGCACACACAGACACACACAGACACACACACACACACACACACACCTTTAAAATGATAGAATTTTTATTGGGCCTAGCAGATAACTAGGGCTAAGCATATACTTTGCATATGGGAGTCCCAGATTCAGTTCCCAGCACCACATGGTCCCCCAAGTACTATGGGAGAGGAGCCCGTCCCCACAAAAGTTTCCCTAACACCCAACACACACCCGACATCCCAGGTTATCTGAATAGGAAAAATGGACCTTAAAATCATACCTTCATACCTGCCAGATAGGACTTTACCTTAAGCAGGCAAAAGGGAGATCCTAGAAGGAACAGAGAAGCTCTAGAAGGCTTCAAGAATTCACCTACTCAAGGCCAAGGAGAGGGCTGAAGTTCATGCTTTGCATGTAGGAACCTGAGATTTGATCCCTGGCAAAAACCTCAGATTCAGTCCCTGGCACTGCATGGTGCCCAAGCACCAAAAGGAGTGACACCCCTTCATACACACCCAGCACCAGCACCACTTGGTATACCCTCCTCCCATCCAAAAATACAGAAAAATAAAATTCACCCACTTCTCAGCGCTCAGTGATGCACCATACTCACAACAACTCCGAGTAGATGCCAGCCAGAATGAGACTTGGGTAAATCTATCTTCCATCAGTTCCCACACTCAGCCTGAGCCCCCATTTTTGAAGCTTCTCCTATGCCTTCTCTGGGACGATGTAGCTTAGCCCAGCGCAGCCCCACCTTGTTCCACACTAGGGGTAACAGGAGCGTTGGAGGGCAGTTTGAGTTTAGCCAAGTTCCTTTTCTCCATGCCAGGTCCCCTCCCCGTCCCAATAAACTTGTTTGATTCTTCTGTGCCTGCTCCCCACCCCCACAGCAAGGCTGGCCATCAGGGACACATGGGCTGCCCTTGAGCAGCTCCCAATCTGGGCGGAGGTGACAAAACCAGCCAACAACCGACACCCGAAGAATGTCAGTTGCTGAAGTCAGCACAGGGCGCTCAGAAGATGGGCTCAGCACTTTGTCCTGCTGGCCTGAGGAGTTTGGACCTGTGCTGCAGGCAGTGGGGAGCCAGGAAAGAGCGCTGGGCATGAGGCACACCAGAAGGAATGAGGTAGAAGGGGCTCACATCTGCACAAAGTTAAGCCTTTGCGCTGTGGTTACCAGATCTGCCACCTTACGCATCCCTCCCTCTAGTTTTGGGGATTTTTTGTTTTTTGTTTTATGGGCCATACCCAGTGATGCTCAGGGTTTACTCTTGGCTCTGCACTTAGGAATTACAGTTTGTAGTGCTCGGGGGACCATAGGGTTGCCAGGGATCAAACCTGAGTCAGCAGTGGCTGAGTGCAAGGCAAGTGCCTTACCCTCCGTACTATCTCTGGCCCCATTGCCTTCCCTGTTGTACTTGGATCAAAACCATCCGCTGGGCCCATAAGGTGGGTTGGGGACAAAGCACATGCTCTGCATGCATTAGACTGGGGTTCTATCCCAGGGATTACACACATGTGCAAGAAAAAAAAAGTCTCCAAAATGCAATGCACCCAAAGTTCTCAGTTGGGTGGCTGAATGGATACACCAGCGGAGGCTTACTTCAAGGGTTTGGGCAACGAGGCGGCCTCTTTAGGGGGCAGCTTGGTGAGAACCTTGTACAGCAATTTCAGATGTGATGGGCCCTCCCTGTCACTTCCAGGTCTTTGGACAGGTCATTCTGAGACCAGGGCAGTGTGCTAACCTGACACCAGAGCCTCGGCCTCATATTCCACCGCCATCTCTGCCCGTCCTCTCTGTCCTAGAATCCTTGGTCAGTGGCTCTCCTTTATGCTACCCGGCAGGACACTCCCCAGGGCTCCTCGGGCCCCAACACTCCAGCCTCTAGCCTCACGGGCTTCTCTCTCTCCGTGCGCCTTCTTCCTCTCAGGCCAGAGAAGGTCTGCGGGGGAAGGGAAGTCACACTGGGGGAAGAGGCCTGAGGACAGAGGCGAGCCCAGCAAGGAAGGGCCCCCTAAGAGGCCCCCTCAACGGCGGGAGCTCAGGCCTTGTGGGCACCAGGTGGCCTGTAACACAGGTTGGGCCGAGCACTGAGTCACATGTCTATAGAGTGAGCTGGACACTGCTGCGAGTGGCTGCCAGGAGCCCTCTGCAATGTCAGGGAGCGCTCCCCGCAAAAGACGGGGTGTCTGGCTTCCACTGTGCCCTTCCACAAGCTCTGACTGGCTCAGAATGACCCAAGCTGCACTGGGTCTGGCCCGTCCCATCAGAATGTATGGAAAAAGTAATGGGAACATCATGATAGAGAATTTTGAATTTTAAAAAAAAAATCTAAAATAGGAGCTGTGGGTGTAGCCCAGCAGCAGAGCACCTGCCTTGTGGGCATGACACCTGGGTTCCATCCCTGGCACCACCCCAAAATAGAAAATACCAAATAAACAGTGGCTGAAGTTCAGTGACTGAGGTCTCACTGTCTCTCCTGTGGGGCCCCTTCCCTGGAAATACACAAAGCAGGCAGCGAGGGCAGCCTCGGCACGGAGGACCCCTCTGGCACCCAGTGCCCTCACACACGGCAGACCTCCTCGGGCAGAAAACCACGATCCCACCCTCAGAGGCAGCTGTGCACCCTGAGAGAAGTGAAGGACCCAAGGTCAGCGGCCATGAGTTTGGGGGCCCAGGAAGGAGGTGTCCTTTCCTGCCATAAACGTGCAGGAGGGCGCAGAGGGAGGCCTCGCCCACCCAGGGCTGGCACAGGGGCAAACCCTGGAGGTCTGGGCAGCACAGGGCCTTGGGCCCCAGGGGAATCCCCCCTCCCCAGAGTTTGGCAAGGGGGGAGGAGCAGCGTGTTTACAGCAGAGGAAGCGGGGGTGGCGGTGGTGGCGCAGGGCAGGGACCTTTGGTCAAAAGGCCCCTCCCAGTAAGCGGGGGAGGCCCCGAGATGTGGTGGCCTGTGGTAGCCGTTTGTTTGCTTCTCACTGCCAGGAGGAAATTGGAGAGAATCTGCCACTTCCTTCCGGCCTCCGTGGGATGATGGGGGAGGGGGCAGTGGCGTGGGCAGGCAACGGTAAGGGCCCCAAGCTGCTGTCATCCATAGCGGTGACTGTCAGGCCCCTACTCAGGGGGAAACAGAGCCAGGAGGCCTCACTCTCAACTGTGTCAGTTGCATCCTGGGGTACCACAGACCCGAGCAGTCCCCCAGATCCCTCAGGAGCTGGATCTCAGGCCGGCCCAGGGGCTACAGAAGGAGCTGCCCTGGGCCTGCTGCCACGGAGCCATAGGACTGGCAAGGGATGAGCTTTAGGCAGCTCTGTGCACGCAGGGAGGATGGAGAGAATCACCCTGGCACGAATCTCTGTGGGGCGATGTCCCAGGTTGGCACGTTCAGCCCAGCAAGGGGTCTTTATTACACTGTACTGATGTCAAGTAGGCGAGGCGACACCTGAACACTATTTGCAGAGAAAACACTGAGATGTGTCGGCATGTGACCTGCCTCCCAGCTCCTCCCAGGGAGATGGGCATCCCGGGACCCCCTTGGTTCGGGCTCCACTGGAGGGCCAGGTCAGGACCCCTTAACTCATGCCTGGCAGGGCCAACAAGTTGTCCTATGGCATCTGGTTCAGATCCACGCACTGGCCCCTGCAGAGGTGACCAGGGCGGGGCCGTGGTCACCGGCCTTCCAGGGGACTCTCTTCACCGTCCCTCAAGGCCACAAAAGGCTTCTTGCATAACTCCCCAGGCAGGGCTGACTCCTGGGCTCTGGGCCCCCCCGGGTCTTGGTCAGGAGTCTCCCGCTTGCGCTTGTGCAAAGAGGGGCTCTCCTCACCCAGCCGACCCTCAGGGAGGCCCAGGCTCCGCAGACAGACGATGGCCGCAGCCTGCTCCGCCAGTTTCTTGGACTTGTCCCTGGACAGACAAGGCGGGGATCAGCCGGGAGCGGAGCAGGCAGGTGGGCTGCAGGACCCCTGGCTGAGAGGCGCAGCTCTGCCGCCCTTAGCAGAGGGTCTTGGGTCACGACCCAGGGAGCCCACTGTGTGGGCTAAGCCTCCCGCCCTCCGTCCCAGGCCATCCTAGTTTCCGGCCCCCACAGACAAGGAACCTTACCACAGGGTGGACTGGTACTTCTGTTCAGCAACAGTCACGACGGAGCAGAAGAGGCGGTCCAGAGGGCGCTGAGTCTGGGGCACAGAGAGCAAAGGCAGCGGGGAGTTGGGGGTGGGGGGAAGGGGAGGCTGCATGAGGGCACAGGGGAACAATCGCAGACGCCCACCATCCAGGGCATGGCTGGAGGCGGAGAGGGGAGCGACTGTCCTTTTAGGTCCCCGTGAAGGGCATCCCACTCACCCGCCCCTCCCAGTGCCAGGAGCGGCTTCTAGGGAAGAAAGGCAGATACACACAGTGAGATCCCAGGCGTCAGCACAGCTGTCCCTGGCGCAGGGAAGGGATCCCCCAAAGCTCTCAGCTGCACCTACGGAGCTTTTGCTGATGGCACTGGGAGGTGCCAGGACCCACCGAGAGAGGTGAAAGGGGGCAGAAATGGAACAGGCGGGGAAGGCACTTGGGGCAGAGAGCAAAAAGATGCTGTGACCGACCGGAGGGTGAGGTGAGAGCACAAATCAGAATCAGAAAAGCAGCGGTGAGGATGGGGGACTGTCTCAATGCTCTCTGTTGACATTCCCAAAGACTGGGGAGCTGAGGAAGAGTTCGGCAAGGGAAAGTGCTCGGATTACCACTGGGAGTTGCTAAATGAGACAGGGAGCCAAGACCCAGGAGGAAAAAAGCTTGCAGGCTGAAAGCCAGTGCCAAGAGGCAGGCCAGCCTCAAGAAGACACATCACAGCAGGGGGAGAGTGTCAGCAACTTCCCCTCCTGGAACCCTGATTCTGCGCCCTGTCGGCATCGCCTCACCCAGAAGCAAGTCGGCAAGTCTCTCCATGCAAGCAACACGGCTAACAGCTGGGCCGGGATGAAGCAGCCCTATTGCTTCCATGCCGACTTCACTCGCAAGAAAGTGGCCAGAATCAGGCAGCAGGCTGTCTGTGCAGGGGATGGGAAGGGATGGGAGCTATGCCTGCCCACAGCCAGCCTCCGGCCAAGCAAGGAGTGCAGCAAAGACAGGCAGCGGGCTAGAGCCAGGAACTCACCGTCTCATACACGGGCTGGGCCAACTTCTCCCTCCTGCACCACTCCAGCAGGCACATCTTGGGGGTGATCTGGGGTGAGTATGCCCTCCTGTGGAAGGAGGCCAAGCTCATCAGCCACTCAGCAGGGCTGCTTTTGGGCCTCGTCCCCCAGTCTCCCACGTGTCCCACCCAGGGTCTTCCAAAACAGAAGGTGCACGCCCAGGGCCTGGGACATTAAGAGCATCCAGAACTCTGAGGCCCAGCCTGAAAAACCACCTTCAACTACCCAGACGCCAAGGCCTCTCCAGTGAGGGTCAGGAGGGAGCCCGGCAGGAGGGGGCATGTGGTCAGAGACAGGCGGCATGTGCCAGGGTGGCATGCTGTGGCCTTCGAGTCCCATTAGTCCGTGATAAGGGGTGAGGGTGGGCGGGATCATGGTCCAGCCTCCTATTAGGACCTTATCCCTGCCTGGGGTCACCCAACAGTCACACCACACCCCTCCTGCCAATGAGAGGGACTCTTCCTCTGGGCCTGTGGCTTCAGTCACCCTTGGGCAACCAGCCACGCCTGACTGGGCTTTCAAGAACTGTCATCCCCCAGGTGTCTGCTTTGGAATGCTGAAAATTAGGGAAAACATCCAAACTAAGAAGACCCAGTAAGCTCTAAAAAATTGGGCTGTGAAGCAGGTCCAGCATTCAGCTTGCTGGCCCAGCGGGTCAGAGCCAGGACCGCTAGAGACCTACCGGTCAAACTTGACAGCCATCTTAGTGATGCCAGGGGTGTCTCCAGCAGGTTCCCCGGCCTCCTCAGGGGTCCTGGCCAGGAGCTCAGCACGCCGGGCTCCCAGCTCTCGTGTGGTCTCCTCGTAGAAGGAACCCAGGCCGAAGGCCTCACTGTGGATGGACAAGCAGAGCAGGGCACAGCCCGCAGTGAGCACATCCAGGGGACAATTGCTGGGCCCAGGCCCCTGGCACCAAAAGGGGCGTCCTCACAGATCCCTGGCATCTGCCTGGAACGGGTGTGTCCAGGGAGGGCCTAGAAAAGGACCCAGCGGTCCCCTCCACTGCCTAAGCCCGGCCTCGGCTTGGAGGGAACCTAGCTGGCACCACATGGAGCGCCAGGGACAGGCACAGATGCTTCCTCCCGTGGGCTCAGGGATGCACGACTGAGGTGGCCCCCTGTTTCCCACCCCAAGCACGAGCTGCTGGGCCTAGCCTACACAGAGGAACAGCAGCAGGAACGGGCCCCTGCCCTGGAGCTTACAAGAGCTGGGTCAAGCGGGGTGAGCACTACGGAGAGAGACGGAACCCCAAGGCCGGGGTAGAGGAGGTGCCAGCTGCTCCCTCCACAAAGGAAAGCTGAGGACAGTCACAAAGGTGGCTGCCATGAGGAGCTCACGCTGGATTCTTTGGAGGGGGCCAGCGTGGGGGGAAGAGAACAAGCTGGAAGAAGCCCCAGTACAAGCGCAGGTGTGGAGCAGAGGAGCCAGGGGTCCAGATGTCAACCGCTGGGTTTGGAGTGATGCCAGAGCTAGAGGATCAAGGGGTGGTCTCGCAGACCTAGTGACAGGGTGTGGCACAGGACCAGGCCAGCGGGCCCCATTTTACACCCCAACTCTCCTAGTCACTGGCTCCTGGTCACCCACAGTGGCAGGCAGTCCTGTGCCCAGGAAAACCCTTCCTCCATGCCCGACTCCATCCTTTTTGTTCTGCCCGAGGCCAACAGTCTGTGAGACAGGGCAACCCCGCACCCCTTCCTCCTCCTCATCTGCCCTCCATAGCCGGGTCCCTGCTGCTCACTAGAGGGCACAGGACCAGCACGGGCAGTGTCTGTGGGGACGGACTCACAGCCCACCGTGCCTCTCACCAGATTTCCTGGGCAGACTGGGAGGCATGGAGCAACCGTCCCCGGGGCGACTCCAGCTGTTCCCGCAGCATCTGGCACAGGCAGTACTTGGTGTTGGTGTAGTGGTTCTCATACTGCACCGCCTGGGAAAAGAGCAGGCCTGAGCCATCCTGCTACTGGGCAAGGCGGGGGTCGGGGGGGTGGGAACAGCCACGTGCCGACAGCAAGGAGAGGTGGGACCAACAAGAAGAGCCCACTGCCAGCTTGGTTCTGTGGACCCCCAGTTAGTGACACAGCACCCCAGGTCAGGAGCTTACTCTACCGGCCAACCAGGTCCAGGGGCGCAGGGATTCAGTTCCCCAGGTGACCACCAAGGACCTGATGCTAAGCATCATCAGGGAGGTCAGAGGGGAAGAAGCCAAACTCGGGGGTGATAGGCAGCCCTGGACCAGGGGTGTGAGGCCTCAATTCCTGCCAAGAGGCTGGGCCGCCCTTCCCCCACCTGCCCGGGGAGACCAGGGCCCGCCCAACAGGCATGTTCGTGCGAGTTGCCCTCACACCTCCGTTATCTCTCCCAGCATCGCATCCTGCTGCTGTTCCCCACACAGCAAGATGCAGGGAGGCAAGAGGGAGGACTCCACGGGACTGCTCAGCTATTTCCAGTGGCACCTGCTGGGCTGGGCCCCCGCCCTTCTGGCCCCTACGCCCCCCCCACCCACCCATATCTCATAGTTCTCATAGCCCCATCTACATCTCATCTTCAGGCTGGGCCGAATGCCATGGCCTGCTCAGGACCGAGCCTGGAAGAAGTGGGTAAACCCCGGGCGGCAGCCAGGCCTTGATGTAGCTTGTTTGGGATGGAGGCACCTGGCTGGACCACAAGCGGCCCTGCCTCAACTGGAAGCCGCTCCCTTTCTCCGTGACAACACCGCTGGAGGAGCTGCCAGGGCACAGGCCGATCAGGCACGCGACGGCCCCTTTCACCCAGTGAGGGGACGGGTGCGGCTCTACTGAGTGGGTCTTCTCTGCCCCACCCTGGCCCGGCTGCCACAAGTGCTGCACGGCTGACCTGGGCTGAGGTCTGCCTCCCTGTATCTGGTGGACCCAGGGCCACTGGCCAATTGGTGATCACCAACCTGCTCAGCAGAATGCCTGAAACCAAGGAGGGAAAGGCCAGAGCCCTGAGCAGGGAGAACGGAGGCCAGCTCTCAGCCCTCCACCCGGACCTAACAATCTATCTACTTATATAAAATATGTGTGTTATGCATGATATTATATAGATATATCAATGATGTATCTATATATGTAAATACATATTTTTTTCACAGGAAAATACCCCTGCCACTACCATCAAGTTCCAAAAATATGCCTTTCCCTAAGAAGGGGGTTAAAGTTAGGCTATTCCTAGAACCAGGAGTAGCTCTGGGAATCAGCAGGAGAAGAGTTTCCGAAGTGCCTCTGTGCGGCGGCAGATGTGAGGTTCCTCAGAGTCCTGGCCTGCGCCAGCCTCCAGGGCTCCCCCTGGCTGGGGAGACTGTTGCCAGCTCCGCAGCCTGCATGTCTTCCATGACACAGACCCCACTGCTACTGGCACCCATGTCTGCGGCCCTGTGTGATGGGGGCCTCCCCACCCCTAGGCCTTGGACACATCAGAACGAGGCTGTGGCAGGGACACCATCTCCCCCAGCACCCAAGTGACCCCGAGCTCCGGGGAATGAGAAGGGCTCCCCGGCAGACGTACGTATCTGATGTACTTCTCCATGACCTCCTCCAGTGGCCGTGGTCCCTCCCGGAGGAAGATGGACGGGTTCCACATGGCCGCGCGGGCCACCATCACCGAGGAGGCTGCCGTGGCCTGGCGGAAGTTCTCGATGTCCGAAAACTCCTGGATATGGTCATGAGACCCGCCACTGAAAACCAACACAGAGTGAAGGAGGTACCCCTACCGTCCCGGCATTTCAGACCAAACCCCCCAGCATTGGCCACTCGGCGCGGATGGGGCTTGGGCACTGCAGGCAGCTGGAGAGGTCATTCCCCTACCCGCCCACCGTGGGGTCCAGCGCTAAGTGAGGCCCTGGAGGACCATGGGCTGAGCTGGGCCTGGCACCGACGTGGCATACTCGGGGCTTTCCCTTCCCTCCCCCTCAGCCTAATAGTAGTGATGGCATCACCTCTCCCCTGAAGGCGGGAGGGGGTCTCTAAGGGCTGGGCTGGCGGGAAAGCCCCCGCGGGAGGACAGACAGGGGGGCACCTGACAGCTGCTTCACACCCGGGAGAGGGAAAAGACAGTGTGAGCGGAAGGAAGGAGCCCCAGCGCGGTTGCGATTTCCCTTCCTGTCACCTGCGGCCCCAAGGCCCATTTGGAAACTGCTCTGTCTTCTTCACAAGCCACTGGTGGCCTCAGTCCAGAGACAACCATGGGGGTCAGGGAGACCCTTGGGTGGGAGCAGCAGCAGCCGGATCTGGGGTCTTTATTATGAGGGGGGGGCATGTTTGGACCACGCCCAGCTGTGCTCAGGGCTTACTCCTACTGGGGCTTCAGGGACGATACAGGATGCTTCGGACCAAACCCAAATCAGCCACGTGCAGGCAAGGACTTGAATCTCTGTACTCTCCACCCTCCTCCACTCTCTCCAGCACCCCAGGGTCTTGACTAGCCCTACCCTCTCAAGCCCCGCCCCCTGGTCCCACCCACAACTCCCCCGCCTCTTTTTCCTGCCTGCCTTCAGGCTTGGCTATGCCACTGAGCAGGACCAAGCCAGACTCCTGGTAGACACAGACCAGCGGATTCTCCCTCAAGCCTCTGGGTCATCACACCTACCTCCCAGCAGCCAGCCTCAGCCCTGGACCTGTAGCTGCCCAGCAGGCTTGTTCAAGCCTTGTTTGTGACACGACTCTGTACCCTGACTCGGGACACCTCCCCCTTCACCCTGCACACCCAACCCTCGAGCGGCTTCACCACTATCTTCTTGCTCCCCCTAGGCACTGAACATACCCCGCCTGCACCCTCAGCCCCGCACCCCAGAGGCCAAGGATGCAACTAGCACAGCATATGTGCTTGCGCGCTGAGCCACATCCCTGGCCCTCAGCTCAGTGTTTAAAGCTCTCGGGCCACGTCCTGGGTTCTACGGGCCGGCTCAAGGCGGTGAGCCCAGGGCGCGGCTCTGGAGGAGGAAGGATGCTTACTTGGCAATGACAGGGATGGACAGGCTCTCAGCAATGGCTCTGATGGTCTCACAGCTGACGGGGTGCTGAGGTCGTTCCTCCCGCTTCCTGGAGATAAAAAAGGAGTAGGGTCCGGGGCTGCGCGCCGAAGGTCACGTCCCAGTATACAGAGGCTTGTGTTAGCCAAGCTGTCCCAGCCCAGACCTCAGGAAGGACACGGGGCCATCAAAGACAGAGGTCAAGCTGCGGGGGGCAGCTGTCCTGACGGTCACGAGGGGCAGGCGCAGCCTCAGACCAGGCACCGAAGGCAAGTCCCGCTCTCAGAGGCCTGCAATGAGGCCTGGCTAGAGGCGGGCCGGGGAAGGGTGCCCGAGCCCCTGAGCGTTGTGAATGCCGCCCTTGCTGTTCTGGTCCTGCCCTCTCCAAACGACTGGGAGCAGCTGCCCACGCCAGGGCCAAGTCAGGCAGCTGACCCTGAGGCAGGCACCTGGCACGGGGCGGGCCCGCAAGCCGGGTACAGAGCATCGCTGTCATGATGAGACACAGGGAAGACAGAACCACAACCTGGACCTCTCCTGCCAAGGTCTGATGCACACAGCCTGGTTTGAGGGTTAGCTGAGGGATGCTGAGGTGAGCCCAGGCCCGAGGTACGCTCAGAGAGGAGCAAGGGAGGTACGACCTGGCGCACAGGTGGCACGGGGCTCATCTGCATGTGCCCCCAGCAGGCCAGTCACCCGGCCTTCACTGCTGCTTCCCCCATCCCCTGGCTCAGTTCTAGGCCCTCCTCAACAGCTTTCATGATGGGCAAGTCCCTCAACTCACCCAGCCCTGTCTTCTCGGCATTTACAGCTCCTGGTAAAAGGAAGAGCATCACAGAGCCACAACGTGCTGCCTGCCAGCCACTGTGTCAAGAGCGTTTAGTTCCCACCCAGCCCAAGACTCGACAACCCTCGAAAGCAGCAAGCTGCTTCATTTCCACAGTGAAAATGCGACTCTCAGAGAGGTTACAGAACACAGTCAGGGCCAGGGAGATGCTCAGAGCTGCAGTGCATGCTCCGTAAGCAGGAGGCCCAGGGTCAATCCCTGGTACCACATAGTCTCCCAAGCCCACACTGGGAGTGACCTCAGACAGCATCAAGCCAGGAGAAACCCCTAATACTGTCAGGCAGTGTCCAAAAGCCAAACCAAAATCAACAAAAGAAAACACACAGCCTATTCCGAAGAGAACTCGTGTGTGTGTGTGTGTGTGCGCGCGCGCGCGTGTGTGTGTCTTCCCCCTCCTCTGCTCTCCTTAGGAAGGAACACGTGCATGTGTGCGCATATGTGTCCCCTAAGAGAATGTGTGTGTGAGTTATCTTTCACTTCCCCCCAACTGGCTTTGATCCATACAGTTCTGCTTTTCTCTTGAATGTGGTAGTTTTGGATTCTGTTCTCCAAATACATTGTAACATAAATAAGCAGTCGATAATAGACTGTTCCTACAAGATCCCCGAGTCCAAAAGAAACCCAAAAGGACCAAGTTTGCTATATTGGGATTCGGTACAAAAGGAAAGGAGACAGGAGCAAGACTGACTGCCAGCTGTAGGCAGAGGGCTTGAGAGAGCTGGTAGTCCCATAAAGGCAGAGAAGAGCCCTGGCTTTAAAGAGCAGCAATCTGCCCCCGAGCACTCATGGGGAGTCCACAACGGCCCCACCCCAGCCTCTCAGGAACAATGGGAGTGACCCCCTTCTGTGGCTGGAGCAATATTACAGCAGGAAGGGCATTTGCCTTGCACACGGACGACCTTGGTTTAATCCCTGCGGTATCCTCTATAGGCCTCTGAGCACCACCAAGAGTAATTCCTGAGTCCAGAGCCAGATGTAGCCCCTGTGTATCACCTGATGTCACCCAAAAAGCAAAAGAAAGAAACAAACAAAAACCGCCAGAAATCTGCTAGGGGTCATTCAAGGGAGAAGTTAACTCCGTGTAGTGGAAGGAAAGAAAGACCAAGAGTTAAGGTTCTGAGGGCCAGAGCAGCCATAGTACACCAGGGAGGGCACTTGCATTGCACGTGGCCGACCCAGGCTCAATCGCCAGCATCCCAAGCCCACTAGGAGTGATCCCTGATCACAGAGCCAGGCATAAGCCTTGAGCAGGTGTACCTCTCCTGCCCTACCCTCCCCCCCAAATAAAGAAAAGAGTCAGAGTTCTAAGGCCACCACTTCCTGGCTGCACGCTGAAACTGCCAACGTGTCACTCATCAGCATTTACACATCCTGAAACAGGCGCTTCTCCTTCCTCTCGGTCTCCGGGTTGGCGCAGTGTCCTGGGCCCACCACCAGCAGGTGCTTGTGGAGTCTGGCTGTCTCAGACTCAGGGCCCGTGGCAAGGCAAAGCAGAGGTGAGAGAAGCTGGGTGTCACCTAGGGGACAGGGAAGGGACACTGAGGGGACTGAAGAAAGGCAGCCACTCACCTCCCGTGGACTGTGATGGCAGCAATGCCTGTCCTCTCGATCCGCTTCACCAAACTCAGGGTTTCTTCCAGCTGGAGAGGAGGACCGCCAGGGTGGGTACTGAAGCCACAGAGGAAGCAGAGACCAGCCCCTGCAGTGGTGCTCAGCTCCACCCACTGTTCCAAGCCCAATGCAGCATCTCCAGTATCACTCACACCCCGGAACCAGGCCCAGAGGAGAGGACCCCTCCCAAGTGCCCCACCAGCCTTACCGAGGGCAGGATGCGAATCTTACAGGTCACGGGTCTGCGTGTTCCTTTAACAAGAGTGCTGAGGATCTGCAGAGGGGACAGAACCGCCACGGCTGCTCACGCCTTAGAAAACAGCTCCAGATCCATGCACCCGAGAGTCATGGATCTGCCTGTGACCAGATGGACCCACGAGGCAAAGGAGTCCCCCTTCTCTCCAGGCTCACAGCAGTGCACACTCTTGGGGTGAATCAACGAATGAACCTGCCTGTGTGACTGTGGAGAACAGTGCTCCATCCTCAGGGCAAACATCTGAATCACTGGGAGAGTGGAAGACACACAGACTCTCTTTGATTCCAGCCCAGCTCTCCTGGCAAGGACCCCAAGGTGCGCAGGAATTAAAAAGAAGTGTTTCTAGGGGCTGGAGCCAGTACCGTATTTCTTGTACAATGGATAGGGCACTGGCCTTGCACACACAGCCAACCCAGGTTTGATCCCCGGCATACCATACGATTCCCAGTCCCTCCAGAAGGGATCCCTGAGCACAGAGTCAGGAGTGGGCCCTGGCCACTGCTCAAAAAGGAAAAGGAAAGGAAAAGGAGAGAGAAAGAAGTATCCTCCAGGGGCTCTGCCCACACCTTCCCTCGTTGATGTGGTGCTAAGGACCAGGCCTGGGCACATACGTGGCTGCCAGTGTCTGCTCAGCAAGGCCAGATTTCCTGAGTGCTATTCTAGGATCTGTCAAGTGACGGCGCAGGAAAGTGTGATGAGGCCTGGGCCCTGTACGTCCTATACCCCCCTCTTTAGGGGTGTCAGACATATAATCACTAAGACTGGCAAGGGAAAAGGCAACATACTGAAAAGCGTTTCTTTGCACGTTACTTGAAAAGGACTTTAAAGAAAGTTCAAGAAGTCATCCAGAAGGCCTAGAGGGAGCAAGACCAGCACAGACGAGAGGACAGTGAGATGCCGAAGGTGACACTGCGTATCTGTGACACTATCTTCTGCCCTCATCTAAATGTCCCACCAGGGAGGGTGGAGGGAAGGTGATCCCAGAGGCCCCTTCCAAGAACCAGATCCCTGCTGAGCAGAGCAGACACCAGGACGGCTGCTGCCAGTCTGAGAGACAGCACAGCGGGAGGAAGCTTGCCTTGCACACAGCTGGCCTGGGTCTGATCCCTGGTACCACAACTGATCTCCTGAGTCCTGCCAGGATTGATCTCCAACACCGCTAGGTGTGGGGAGCCCCCGCCCCCACAAAATAAAGGTGGGGAGGCAAAGCAATAGTACAGTGGGTAGGGCAGCTGTCTCACACCCAGCTAACCTGGGTCTACTCTCCAGCACCCCATATGGTCCTGAGTCCTACCAGTAGCAGTCCCTGAGAGCAGCACCGAGTACGTCCTGAGCACAGATGGGTGTGGCACAATTAAAAAAAAAATAGGTAAGGGGAAGGAACACTGAAGAGGTGTCTGCATGAGGCCCTTCCCTTAGGGACAAACCGCAGGAGGCCCCTCTGGGAGACCGAAAGGCTGGGCAGATGGGCAGGCAGACAGTTCACAGGCAGGAAGAAGTGCCAGAGGCTGGCAGGAAGGAGCAGGTGCGGTGCCAGGAGGCTGGGCAGCTGACGTCACTCTGGCAGGCCTTTGAGGGGCACCTTCCCTGTAAGGGGGAACCTGCCAAGTGGATCAAGATACACAATAAAGGACTCCAGACACAGCTCAATAGGCTGAGGTCACGCTTTGCATGTTGGAGACCCGAGTTAGGTCCCTAGCACCGCCTGACCCCCAAGCCCCGGGAACAGCCCCTGAGCAGAGCTGGGGACAGCCTTGAGTCATGCCAGATGTATGTCAAAAATTAAAAAAAAAAAAAAAGATTCACAATAAAGGGCTGGGGGTGGGCTGAAGGGTGGGGGTGATGGCTCCAAGGCCTGGAACAGAGACTGCAGGCAGGAATCTAGGGTTTGACCATCAGGAAGCAACCCCTGGGCACCAAGTTAGCAGGAGTGCCCCAAAACTACAAGGGGTGACCGGCAAAACAAAACAAAAAGAAATACAGTAACAATTCTCACTCTAGTTCTACCCGTGGTTTTCTTGTTTGTTTTCAGGGAGCAGGGGGGTGGGGAACACCCCCCTCAAGTGGTACTCAGGGAACCCAATGCTTCTCTTGGCAGTACTCAGTCAACCGCGCCAGACCATTCAATATACTCAGATCGGTGACAAGGTGCGGGTCAGGCCCAGCAGGGCTGAGGGCAGCATCTGGTGCAGGGGAGCGATGTGGGGCCAAGGATCAAGCTCTGGTCCATGTGCCCCTAATCCTGAAAATACCAAGTCTAGAAGGTTCTCTTGCAAATGCTGACTTGGTGATTTAAATACTGGAGCAACGTCAGCTGGTTTGCTCCATTTCTGTTTTACAGGACTTCCTTTCAGTATACTTTAACCACACAGCTCTAAGCACTTTCCTTGGTGTTTCTGCTCATTTCGTGTGCGTGATCAGGTCTTGGAAGGAAGTGAGAAACCAAGAGAGGCCAAGCCCGCCTCGAGGGTCATGCTGAAGGGATAGAAAAGCCAGGAACTACATATGCTCGGGCCAGGCCCAAGCACAAACTCTCCCGCATACCCAGCTCTCTGGGCTGTGGGTGTCTTCACACCAACAGCTGTGAAGACAGGCTCACAGGAACCCACAGGCAGACTCGTCACCGGATCTATTGATCAGCTGGCCTCAGCATTCTGGGCTGTTAGGACAGCCTGGGGAGAGGTTGGCAGAGCAGAGGCTTGAGGGTAAGTAAGAACTGAGTCCAGTCCTGGTTTCGCCAAGTGTTAGCCATGACGGAGCACAGCGCACATGCGGCACGGAGCTGCTGACACTGAAGCTGGTGGAGACAGTGGCGTCTCGCACCGGCGGTGTTTCCTCCAGGTCTCTCTTGCCTGTGGGAGGCACTAGGAGGCTTCAAGCCTGGACTAGGAAGCAAGGTGATGCAGGAATGGGAAAAAGAGGGAGCTAAGGGGAGCGAGAAGGAAAGGGATGGCAGACAGAGGGGGAAGTACAAGGAGAATGCGGTGCACCAGAAAGTATCACCTCCACACATCCTGGCTGCTCACAACCTCGGTTTGCAAATGTCAAGCTCTCCCCAGGGCCTCATAAGCCTGCTTTCCAGAATCACCAAGGGAAGGGGAGCAGAGGAGACTAAGGCGCTGGCCTCAGATGCCCCCGCTGCCTGCTCTCCGAGGCTGGCGAAGGGCTCCAGCAGGATGCAGGGGACCCTCCGCTGCTCCCACCAAGACCCTGGGGAAAGGCCAACTGCCAGCTTTGCGGCCTGCCACCAACACACACCAGTCACCAGGCCAGTCCCCACCCAGTCAGCCTACATCTGCTCTCGAGCCCCTCTGATAGGACAGTCTCATGTCCAGCTGAGGTCAGGTGAGTCCTGAGCTTTAAAGGCGTGTCCAAGTTAAAAAGAAAAGTTTTTCATTAAAAAAGAATTCTTATTTTTTTTAAAAATTAAATAAAAAGAAAGACGTGTTCATGACTGACTTTCGGGTTCCCAAACCTGACTGCATCTCAAACCCACTGGAAGCCTGCTTCATTTTTGTTTTGATTTGTAGTCACACCCAATGCTGCAGAAGGGCTACTCCTGGCTCTGTTTAGGGTCACTACTGGAGGTGCTCAGGGATCAAGCCAGGTCTCTTGAACACAAAGCATTCAGCTGAAGTTGTGCATATGGCAGAGAGAGAGAGAGAGAAAAACAGAGAGAATGTGTGTGTATGCATGTGTGTGTATGTGTATTTTTGGTCACATCTGGCAGTGTTCAAGGCTTGCTTCTGGCTCTACATATATGAATCACTCCTGGCAGGGTTTGGGAACCATACGGGGTACTAGGAATGGAATCCGGTTGGCTGGATACAAGAAAAGCACCTTACCCCTGTAGTATCACTTGCCCCTAGGAAGCCTGTTTTCAAAGTTCAGCCCCCAGGGCAAGGGAGAGATGCAGTCAGTCCGGCAGAGGCAGCGTGGTAAAGCATCCACTGTCACTCAGCTGGTCATTCAGCCGTCACTCACCTGTCAATCAGCTGCCAGCCACCACTGAGACTTCACTCAGCTGTCACTCAGTTGTCTCTCAGCCATCAAGAGACTGTCACCCTGCCTTCACTTAGCCATCACTCAGCTGGTCACTGAGTTGGTCACTTGGCCATCACTAAGCTGTCACTCAGCCTTTACTTAGCCAGTCACTCAATCACCACTCAGCCATGACGCAGCATTTTTTACCTTCTCGATTTTGTCAGGGTCAGACAGCAGAGCAGCTCCCATTCCTCCCTGAGGGAAAACACACAAAGGATCTTCTCACTCCTGTGGTAGGACCCCAGTATGGTCTCTGGGTGGCCAGCACTTGTCTCCGCACGATCAAGGGCTCCACAGCAGGAGGAAAGCAGGCACAGTCACCCTGATCTCAGACACCAGAGCGTGTGACGAGTTCTGATCCCAGACAAAGCCATGGAGCACGCAGCCATGTGCTCTACAAAAGAACGCATTTTCAAGATGCCCACTCCCAGTCCAAGGTCTTCAGTGTCCTCATAAACTAGAAACCTGCCAAGTTTTTAAAACAAATAAACAATAAACCATTCTCTCTTGGCAATGAGCTCAAATGCACCTTCTCCTCATCCTGCCCCCTTGTGTTCGGGTCCCTGCAGCCGCACCATAGCCACTTAGAGGCACACAACCTACAAATCTAGTCCAGGCCCTTGCCCCGCCCCCCAGCCCCCCCCACTGCCGTAAAATCCTAACCAATGTCCCCTTTCCCAAATGTCTTGAGGCCCCAGACTTCAAGCAAAGCCCCACCTGGATGGAAACCAACAACCCATGAGGCCAAACCAACAACCCATGAGGCCAAACAGACACTGGCATTAACAGCCACATGAAGTACCATGCAATGCAGCAACTGAACCGGAATCAGTCACATGCAAGACGAGTGCCTTAACCCCTGTACTGTCTCTCTGGCCCCAACAGCTGTTCTCTCTTGCTGGGATCACTGTTGATTTTTTCCTGTTCCTTTTCTATACTATTCAAATTCTGGACAATGGTATGAATTATTTCAGTAACGGGGAAGGGAGATCTGTAAATAGTGGGTGGCAGGGGCCAGAGCAATAGAACAGCAGGTAGGGCCTTGCACGTGCCGACCCAAGTTTAATCCCCAGCAACCCATATGGTCTCCTGGGCATGGTTAGGAGTGATTCCTGAATGCAGAAGCCAGGAGTAACCTCTAACCATCACCAGGTGTGGCCCAAAAACAAACAAAAAAAGTGGATGGCAGGGGTAGCACTGAGTACTGTCCTCCCGTTGTTCATTGATTCGCTCGAGCGAGCACCAGTAATGTCTCCACTGTGAGACTTGTTACTGTTTTTGGCATATTGAATACACCATATTCCTCTGCCCCTCTCGGAGAGCCCATCAAGCTACCAAGAGCATCTCGCCCGCACAGAAAAGCCTGGCAAGCTCCCTGTGACGTATTCGATATACCAAAAACAGTAACAAGTCTCACAGTTTGTTGTGAGATGTCACTGGTGCCTGCTCGAGCAAATCGATGAACAACGGGAGGACAAACAGAATATACCAGGGGGAGCTTGTCAGGCTCTGCCGTGTGGGCGGGATACTCTCAGTAGCTTGCTAGGCTCTCCGAGAAGGACAGAGGAATTGAACCCGGGTCGGTCACATGCAAGGCAAACGCCCTACCCACTGGGCTATCGCTTCAACCCCAATAGCAGGCAGGGGTCCCATAAGTAAATGCTGTCAGCACACCAACTGCACAATAATAACTGCTTGCAAGATGTGCTCAGGAGCCTGAGAAATATAGTATAAGTGGGTAAGGCACTACTTGCCTTGCATCCAGCCAACCTGAGTTCAATCCCGGGCACCCGCTCTTGTCTCCTGAGCCACACCAGGAGTCATTCCTGAGCACAGAGTCAGGAGTATCCCCTGAGCGTGCCTGGTATGGCCCCAAAACAAGAAGAGTTCAGTTCTCACAGGTTCATTTCAGGTTTAAGGATGACAGACTAGAATCAGCAGGAACCACCGGAGACTCGGCCGGAGGGTGCCCAGCACTGGCCAAAACCAGCCACTGACTCGAGCCAAGGAGTCCCTCAAGCCCGGCCACTCACCCTGGTTCACCCTGGCTCTGTCCGACCTTCACCTCGTGCACAATCCGGTCTTTCCTTGTGGAATCACAGGATCTAAAATCCAGCCGCGCGGCTGGGTTCTCACAATGGTCTTCTCAATTGGTATTTCCTTCCTGCCTTCCTATTGAACTAGCGTGTTGGATTTTGTTGTTGTTGTTGGAATAGAATATAAAAAAATTTTCATGGCTCAAAGGATAACAAGACAAAAAGATAAACAGACTCTCCCAGAAAAGTGAGGAACTTTTTGATCTAGACATGATTTTTAAATATATGCTTATTTTTTTTGGGGGGGGAGCAACAATGCTTTGGACTTACTCCTGCCTCTTCACTCAGGGATCACTCCTGGCGGTGCTCAGGGGAACAAATGGGATGCTGAGGATCGAACCTGGGTCAGCTGCATACAAGGCAAGAGCTATACCTGCTACAGTCTCTCTCCAGCCCCATAAAATGTATATTTTAACTCCCTCCACCATCTCCCACCCCTTCGCTGTTGCCATTATTACGACGCTGAGCTGTGCACATACGTGGCTGTGGTGCTCCTATGTTTTTCACCTGGCAGGTCACAGTGCACACTCAGCTGCAGTGCTCCCTGAGGTTTGTGCTCCTTTCACTGCAGGGCAGACACTCTTGACTGAGGCGCAGTTATGGCTGTGGAGCTGACGGAGTTAATGCAGTACTCACATGCGTGCTCGCCGGAGGCCACAGTGTTAGGCCTGGGGCTCACACATCTTAGAACCGTTGAGTCTTGCCGGGGTCACACCTGTTACTCAGACATACTTGGCTGCGGTACAGCGGGAAACTACTTGCGGTACCAAGGATCACAGATGGCAAAGCTGCCCGGATCATGAGCTCCGCACATGTGGGGCACTGGGGATTTGAACTGGTAACCAAATGCTTGCATGGCAGGTGCTCTAAGCCTCTGAACTATTCATCTCGGCCTCAATTTAAACTTTAGATATGGCTTCAATTTTGATGCATAGGAGGAGTCAAGGTTCAAGGGCTCTGCAGTGAGCAGTTTGGAATCTTAGTGGGATGCGCTCTAACTGGCCAACACCAGTGCTGTGCCAGTGGCAAACTGTTCTGGGAAGCAATCCTGCCATGGATTTACTCCCTGTGCAGAACCAAATAATAACGAGTTCTCCTTCGAAACCAACAATTGCTAGTTTCTTATAGGTGTTTCCAGTGTAGTCCATGAAAACTCAAACTATCTATATCTAAATGTTCCTTCCCCATTCCTCATACTGAAGTAGTAGAATAACCATATACAATTCTGCTTCTTGCTTCTTTCACTCCACAATACACTGGAATTATTCCAGCAATTCCACTCTACTCCTTACATAACTCGGGAGCACAAAGGGTAATTTCTGAGCAAAAGAGTCTAATGTTTTCAACGGTGACTTAGAACACCTGTCCTGTAAGTGTAGGGTCACAAGTTTAAATATGAGCTGAAGAAGCATTTCAAGGAACACGTACTTTTATACGCAGCCGACCTTTCCTCGATCCTTGGCATCATAAATGGCCCCTGAGCACTGCCAGAGGCCGCTCCTGAGCATAAAGCCGGGATAGCCACTAAGCACTGCCAGGCGTGGGCCCAAAACAAACAAACCAACAAAATACCCAAGATCCTATCTCTGGTGCCCCCATGCCCAGAGTGTGACCCAGCGGCTCAGCTCCTTAAGACTGGCAGCTCTGAAAACTCTGGATTCAACAGAACCGGGAATGGGTGTCCTCCCCCCATCTCCCCATCTCCCTTGACTCAGCAGTGACGCCCATAAACTGCCTCTGGCTGGAGCCAGATAATCTCATCAACAGCCATGACCAGAGACCCATTATAAATCTCTCGGAAGAGAGCACATGACAAGCCATAGCCATGCTGCCGGACCCCGCACCAGGTTGTTTCATTGGGGAGACCCAGAGGGGGGCAGGTGAGTTCCTCCACTTTGCCCCAAGGACCCAGACCCGGCAGCCAAAAACCTCCAGAACCACGTGGCCGCAAATATTCCAAGAGTAGTGCACCACATTTGATGGGGGTTAAAGTAAAAGGCACCAATCTTAGAGGGAAATATATTTTTACAGATAAATACGTGTGTGTGTGTGTGTGTGTGTGTGTGTGTGTATGTATCGCCCCTGGGTGAAATACAATAATCTTCATGCACTCTCCCCTAAGGAAACTTTTTGGATCAATTTCATAAATTTGGATTTTTCATAACAAACAATACAAAATAAATTATCTTGGGTCTGCTTTGGGGCAGGGGTTGGGGTTCGGGAAGGAAACTCCCGAAATATGGCGGTGGGAAGGAGTAATAGGGTGTAATGGGTGGTGGGATTGGTGTTCGAATATTGAATGTAATCAAATATTGTATACTTCATAAAATAATAATAATTAGGGGGCTGGAGTAATAGTACAGCGGGTAGGGTGTTTGCCTTGCACGCGCCGACCCGGGTTCGATTCCCAGCATCCCATATGGTCCCCGGAGCACCGCCAGGAGTAATTCCTGAGTGCAATGAGCCAGGAGTAACCCCTGTGCATCACCAGGTGTGACCCAAAAAGCAAGAAAATAATAATAATAATAATAATAATAATTTTTAAAAATACTGGCAGCTCTGTTGGGCCACAGAGATAGTGCTGCAGGAAAGGCACCCGCCTTGCATGCAGCTCACCTGGGTTTGATGCCTGACATCTCATCTGGTCCCTGGAGCCTGCGAGGAGTCATCCAGGCACACAGACCCAGAATTACGCCCTCAGCACAGTCGGGTGTGACCCCAAAAACAAAAACACACCAACAAAAACGAAAAAGCAAAAACTGGCAGTTTTGCAATCTCTGGTACTGCAAATGATTTCAAACAACAGTCCACAGAAGTACACATAAGCAGCACAATAGAGATGCAATCCCCAGAGACCCCAATGACACAAGCCATGCTCTCCATCCCTCTGCAGGTGGGCAGCAAGGCCCATCACTAAAGTAGTTTTAAGTGTCTACTGTGCGAACCCAGTGATCTAATTATATCCTCCTGTGCATCTCCCACTTAGCGCAGATCTAGTCCAGATGAGGCACGGCACTTAGTCATCATTCTGCTTGAATCTGCGCCCTGTATTTGTGAAGGCTGGAAAGAAATCCATTACCTTGGTGGAATACTCTTTTGGACAGCCCATATTGACGTCAATACCAGCCACATCATTTTCTCTGAAAAAAAAGAGAGAAAAGATAATCAATATCCAACAAGAAGGCATGTGGCTGTGCTCAGTAACCCTGCAGCATGTCCCATGCCCGTGAACACGCCAACACTCACTTACAGACACTGAAAAAAACTTGTCTCGAGCCAGAGAGAGAGAGCATAGCTGGATAAAGCACTTTCCTTGCACCTGGCCAATCCGCGTTCAATCCCTCACATTCCATAGGGTCCCTGAGCACTGCCAGGAGTGATGCCTGAGAGTAACTCCTCATATCACCAGGTGTAACCCCCCCTCCAAAAGAGGAAGAAAGAAAAAGACTGTCTCTAAAAGCTCTAAGTGCCCTGTGGAGGAGACGAGAGGAACATGTGGCAGGGGCTCTCGCAATGCACTCTGCTCCTCTGAGCTGCACCAAGTGCACCAAGTACCAAGAAACCATCACACTAAATTCATCCCAGCGTTCCAGTCCTGACTTGGAGGATGAAATCATCAGTTGCTGCAGAAACGTGCTATGAGCATAGGAGCCCATGCCAAGAGCTCTGGTCCCATCAGGGCTGCAGCCTCTAATCTCCAGTGTACAAAGGAGTCCCCCCACCACCACCTGCCATCCCAGGGATGCATGCAGTTGACAGCTCAGCAGCCACTACAACCTGAGTTCCCAGTCACCTTGACTGAAGTCAACAATGCCGAGGGGCCGAAGTGCATGCTATGAATGCAGAGAGCCCAGCTGCATCCCCACTGCACGAGCGCTCACACGCTGAGCACGGCTTGGATCAACCCCAGGGCACCAAGTCAGGAGTAGCCTCTGAACACTGGCCCCAAACCTCCTGCAAAAACCAAACCCTAGGGTCTGGAGCAATAGCACAACGGGTAGGGCGTTTGCCTTGCACGCAGTCAACCTAGGTTCGATTCCCAGCATCCCATATGGTTCCCCAAGCACTGGCACTGCCAGGGGTAATTCCTGAGTGCAGAGCCAGGAGTAACCCCTGTGCATTGCCAGGTGTGATCCAAAAAGCCAAAAAAAAAAAAAAAACCCTAGCATTTAACACGTACTGAGCACTCACTACATGTCACGTGCTGCAAAGACAGTCATGTATATTATTTCACTTTCCTTCCCGAACATGCAAGTGGTTCTACACTCTAGATGAAGAAACAAAGTGCTACGAGAGGTTAAGGACACACCGTGAGCAAGAAGCCAGGTCACACTTCCAACCCAGTCTAACTCCAAAGTCCAACTCCTTAGGCACCTACTTTTTTTCTTTTAATTAACAGTCTTGGGGATTAAGCCCAGGCCTTACACACAAAAGCCTGCACAGTAAGTCTTTTCCTGCTCTCTCTTTTTGGGGGTTGGAGAGGCAACACCCAGCATCCAGAAGCTACTCCTGCTTCAGGGTGAGAGATGAACTGGCTCCCACCCGATGGTGAGATGACACTTAAAAACTCAACGTCAGGAGAGTTTCCAGCAAGGGACCCTTAATCAACACAGCAAAACAGCCCCGCACAGAGGGTCTCTGGGACAGTGGGGACCAGAGTCTGAGGCCAGCCTTCAGGTGTTCCTGGGAGGGAAGAAAGGAGCCTTGACACTACAGGAGACAGACCAAGAGCCGGGAGAGTCGTGGAGAGCAGAAAGACCTCGGGGCACCCGCAGGCAGCACTTACACAAGCCTGGCCACGGCGAGGGCGCGCTCCGCATCAGAGGTTCCCTGGAAACACAAGAGGCTGGTCAGCCCCCACCCCAACAACACACAGCCACACACACATGCGCACACCCACAACGGCAGCAAGTGGGGCACTCCTGGTAAGCAGCTGGTCCATGGGACGAGCTCCTGTCGGGAGTCAGGATACGAACCTGGAGGGCCATGAGAATGTCTCAGGGCTGCAGTGACTTTCAACATAAAATAGACAGAGCATACAGGAGTAAGGCGTTTGCTGTGCACGAAGCCAGCCGGGATCAACTCCCAGCATGACATGTGGCACCACCAGCGCTACCAGGCTTAAGCCCAGAGCCAGGAGTGAGCCCTGAGCACAGCTAAGAGGTGGCCCAAACCACCACCCATGCCAAAAAGGTAAAACATATTAAAAAAAAGTTGATGAAGGTTGAAGCCGGAGCAATACACAGCAGGTAGGGCATTTGTCTTGCACGCAGCCAACCCAGGTTCGATTCCCAGCATCCCATATGGTCCCCCAAGTACCGTCAGGAGTGATTCCTGAGTGCATGAACCAGGAGTAACTCCTGTGCATCGCTGGGTGTGACCCAAAAAAAAAGCAAAAAAAAGTTGATGAAGGGGGACAGAAAGATAGCACTGTGGGTAAGGTGCTTGCCTTGCACATGGCTGACCCGGGTTTGATCCCCAGCACTGCACATGGTTGCCCAAGCCCCATCAGGAGGGATCCCTGAGCACAGAGCCAGGGAAAAGCCCAGAGCACTACCAGGGTGGCCTCAAAAGAACAAACAACAACAACAACAAAAAAAAAACAGCTGATGAAGCTGAAAAAGAAACATCTATATACCTATTATTTAGATTATATAATTAACACTGTTGTATCTGCTTTATCATGTCTACCCATTGCTATCAATTTTTAAAAAACTTAAACCTCACTCAGGAGCTATTTCTGAAGACCCACCAAGCAATGCCCAAAGTAAGTAACACGGTCATTACAACCTTAACACAAGCCTGGCAATTCTTGAGGAGATCTATTTTCCTTCTATTAAAAAAAAAATCCACAAGCTACAGAAAAACAAAGACTGTTATCTGGATTAATAATACTAGGGCTTCAAAATATATGTCATGCCAAACAGGCGTTTCCTAGCCTTCAGGAAATGACAGCTGAGACCAGGGCGCGGGGAGGCGGCCGGGACTCCGTGGCCATGGCCTGTCGCCAGCAGCACAATCACCCGAGAGCAGCTCCGGGGGAAGTGTGACGGCAGATTCCTTGGGAAGTCGGTGCTGTGCCACGGAGCCCCGGGCAGTTAGCACCAGCCTGGCAGAGGCGGGAGGCGGAAATCCGGAGGCTGGGTGAGAAATCCACGGGAGGGCTCTTGGCCTGGGGATCTCGTACCATCTGGAAGACGACCCTGCTCTGCTCTCTCTCACAGGTGCGGAAGACCACCCGGTCATCAGGGGTGACAAAGTCCACAGTGCTCAGTACCTCTGCAAGAAAACACAGACCACTGAAGAAGCGAGGCCAGCCTCTGCCACAGGGGCCAGGAAGATGGCTCAGTGGACAGCGTCTGATCAGCTAGTTGGAGGTCTGGAGTCCCAATCCCAGGGCCACGCATGTGTGCTGTGACTCTGAGAGCTCTTTGGGGTCACACACAATAAAGACCAGCAGATGGTCCTCCCCACCCCCCCCAAAACCTATTAATAAAACAAAAATTTTAAGAGGCAGGCTACCCACATGAAAGAGAACCAGCACAGCCGACAGGAGAACATGTCTATCCCACACATTTACTGTGTAAGAGAAGTGACATCATGGCCACATGTGGAATCCTGTGTCATTATCCACTTACTGGGCAGATTAGAAGGTCAAAAAGGCAGAGGGGGATCAAGAGACAAGTTGGGTTTTTTGTTGTTGCTGTTGTTTATTAGGTGGGGGTTGGAGCCACACTGGCAGTGCTCAGGGTTTACTCCGGGTCAGGGCTTTGCCAGGGCTGTGGGGAATACAGTGCCCAAGGGGTTGGCTGTGTGCAAGGCCAGAACCTTAGCTGCCGTCCTCTCTCTCCATAGGAGATCTTCTGGAGGGCTAGAACGCATGCCTGGTACACAGAGGGTTCTGGGTTCAATCTCTGATATCAATGGTCTTCCAAGAACCACCAGGTCTAGCCCTAATGGGTGACCTCCTAGAGGGGGCCTCCTCAATAATGCTTTTTTGGGGTGAGGGAAGGGCCTTTTTTTTTTGGTTTTCTGGGTCATACCCGGCAATGCACAGGGGTTACTCCTGGCTCATGCACTCAGGAATTACTCCTGGCCGTACATGGGGGACCATATGAAATGCTGGGAATCGAACCTAGGTCGGCTGCGTGCAAGGCAAATGCCCTACCTGCTGTGCTATTGCTCCAGTCCCAAGGGAAGGCCCTCTTTCCTGAAAAAAGGGTGAAGTAAAGAAAATACCATGCTAGGAAAGGTAACTACAATGATCTCCGACAACAGACATGGTTATAACTGGCATTAAGCAGCCTGAGAGCATTGCAAATGCTTAATGTGTTTACATCACACCTTTACTTACACATCAAAATTCTTGTAACCCCTCTACCCATTAAAAGATTAGTGAAATCAGGACTTGGAGAGATAGTACAGAGGTCAGGGCACTTGTCATGCACACAGCTAACCCAGGTTCGATCCCCAGCATCCCATATGGACCCCTGAGTGCAGAGCCAAAAGAAATCCTGAGCATTGCTGGGTGTGGCCCAAGAAACATAAATAAAACATTGGTGAAATCACTTATGAAAGTCATTGATTTTTATATTAGTACTGAAGGGGGGGAGGGCTGGAGCGATAGCACAGCGGTAGGGCGTTCGCCTTACACGCGGCCAACATGGCCGACCCGAGTTCGATTCCTCCACCCCTCTCGGAGAGCCCGGCAAGCTACCGAGAGTATTCGATATGCCAGACACAGTAACAACAAAGTCTCCAATGGAGACGTTACTGGGCCCGCTCGAGCAAATCGACGATCAACGGGAGGGCTTTTTTTTTTTTTTTTTTTTACTGAAGGGGGAAAGTTCTTAGGAGAAAAATAAGGACAAGAGCTGGAAAGATAGTACCAGAAGTAAGGCCTTGCATCCCACAGACCCTGGTTCAAATCCTAGGCACCAGGCTGGAGTAATAGTATGGCAGGCAGGACAACTGCCTTGCACATGGCCAACCCAGGTTCAATTCCCAGCATTCCATATGGTAACCCCAGTCCTAGTAGGAGTGATCCCTGAGCATAGTGCCGGGTTAGGCCTAGAGCATAGCCAGGTATGGACCCCAAAACATAACCAAGAAAAAATGAATCCTGGTCCCATATATGGTGCATAGCCAGGGTTCACTTCTGAGTACAAACCAGGACTAGCTCCTGAAGGCCTTTGGGTGTGACCCAATGACCATCACCACACACAAAAAAAAGAGCAAATTATGTGTAACATGATCCCAAGGAGATAAGGTAGGAAGGACATGCGTATGTGTGTATGTGAGTGTGAGTGTGTGTGTGTGTGTGTGTGTGTGTGTCTAACCCTGAAGGGCCTTTGGGTGTGACCCAACAATCATCCCCACAAAAAAAAAAAAATAAGAGCAAAATATGTGTACTATGATCCCAAGGAGATAAGGTGGGAAGGACATGCGTGTTTGTGTATGTGTGTATGTGTGTGTGTGTGTGTGTGTGTGTGTATGTAAACATTTACTTCTACTTGATATGTCAGAGATCAAGCCCAGGGCTTTACACATGCAAGGAGTACACTGTACTAATTAGCTAATTAGCAAAATCCCCAACCCAAACATTTAATATGTTTATAAATACACTAAAGGTTTAAAAATAAAGCCTAATCATTGCCCCTCTGCGTGGTTACCTTTTCAATTATGGGATATGGGGACTTTCATTTTCTGAATCATATAGGTACCTACTATTGATTCATAAGACAAAGAAAACGGTTCTAGTGACTTCTATTAAGGTTTCACAACACACATTTTAGACAGCCTCCCCAAAAGGTACCACAACTCTAACCAGAGCAGAATTGGCTTCTTCAATACAGTACACACAAAACCACAACTGACATATCCACCTCTGCAAAGCACCTGCCCATCTACCTTACCTTGCCTGACCAAGCCTGACTTAAGCAGCAGGGATTATGATTTTCACCACAGAGCTCCCCAAACAGGCACAGAGAGCTAATGCAGCTTGCCCGGGGACACACAGCCCACAAGAACAGGGCCCAGCCCAGCACAGAGCTGGGGCTTCCGGGTGCCCCCCTGGTGATTTCTAAGCCAGCAAGCCTGCAGGTAGAAAGGTTTCTCTGCCCTCTTCCAATACGTCTCTCGGCCATGGTCTCTTGGCGAGCAAGGAGCATGCTGGCAGGGCCTGTGAGTCCAGGCCAGGGTCTGACAGCCGCATGCAGAACTCTGGGCCCGGAGCTGCACTCACCATTGACAACTCTCTTGCACTGAAGCATCTTGAGGTCAATCAGCTCCTGCCAAGAAAGCAGAGGGCACGCGTCAGTCCTGGACTCCGAGAGACCAACTGGCCTAAAGCATGGCTTTGGGGAAGTGTGGCACAGCCCTCCACACCCAGGCCTCAAGCCTGGCTAGCGGGGACCCACCCCAAGTGATCCTCATGCTAATACTCTTCGTAGGGACCTTGGGGACATTTGGGTAAGGGGTACACAGGGAGCCAGAGAGAATAGCCTAGAATGTGAACTCCTGAACAGTTCCCTTACCTACTCCTTTCAGTTCTCGTCCGTGCCCCCAAAGACCCTCCTCCACCTCGGGTCACGGGTCACGGTCCTCCCGTTGTTCATCGATTTGCTCGAGCGGGCCCAGCACAGCGGTAGGGCGTTTGCCTTGCACGCAGCCAACATGGCCGACCCGAGTTCGATTCCTCCGCCCCTCTCGGAAAGCCCGGCAAGCTACTGAGAGTTTCTTGCCCACACGGCAGAGCCTGGCAAGCTACCCATGATGTATTCGATATGCCGAACACAGTAACAACAAAGTCTCCAATGGAGACGTTACTCCTCCACCTCAACCAAGAAAAAAAAAAGTAGGCAGGGAGGAGCTCCAACGGCCAGAGAGGCCGCATGAACAGAAGCACAGTGAGTAAGGTCTTCGATCTACTTCAAGAGGCCTAAACCCACCCCGCATGGGTCACACTAGGACATGAAAGGCACTGTCTGTCACTCAGCTCTGGAGATCTTCAAACAGATGTAGGAAAGAAACATGGGGGGTTTGGGGGGTAGGGAAGGTATTCCAAATGGGCTTCATAAAAACTGAAGGGGGGGGCTGGAGCAATAGCACAGTGGGTAGGGCGTTTGTCTTGCACACGGCCGACCCAGGTTCGATTCCCAGCATCCCATATGGTCCCCCAAGCACCGCCAGGAGTGATTCCTGAGTGCAGAGCCAGGAGTAACCCCTGAGCATCACCGGGTGTGACCCAAAAAGCAAAAAAAAAAAAAAAAAAAAAAAAAAACGAAGGGGAAGGGCACATCTCCTGCAAGAGTGAGACTCTCCACTGGGCAGAGGCAAGACCATTCTGCTAGGCTCAGGAGCACTTCAGCAGACTAGCGTGACAGACAGCGAACCAGCCCTGTCTACACGCCCGGGGCTCACGTCAGGGATTCTGGGGGGTCCCAGAAGATAAGAGGAGACACAGCCCATGTGCTCAGTCCCAGTCTGAATTCCCAGGAGCTCCAGCAAGTCCCAAGAGCAGCCAGGCGGAAACCAGCACTTTTTCGATCTTTCCTCCTTCTGTTTTTCTGGCCACACCAGGGGTGCTGGGGATCACTCCTGGTGGTACGTAGGGGATCACATGCAGTGTCAAGGATTGAACAGGGTCAGCCATATGCAAGGCAAGCAATTTAAGCCCTGTACTACCTCTACCTCTATGGCCCAGAACATGAGATTATCATAGATATTTCTATTAAAAAGTATATAAATGGGGCCAGAGCAATCGTATAGCAGGTAGGGGGCTTGTCTTGCACGTGGCCAATCCAGGTTCAATCCCATTCCAGGTATCGCATATGGTCCTCAAGTATCACCGGGAGAGATTCCTGAGCACAGGAATGGGAGTAACCCCTGAGCACTGCCAGGTGTTGTAAAAACAAACAAAAAAGATATCAAAATAATCAATGGGGGAGGGGGAGTCAGACAGTAGAGCAGATAAGGTGTTTGCCTCGCTCCTGCCCAACCAGACTAGAGTCCCAGCACTGCACACAGTGCCCCTGCAAGAGTGAGCCCAGAGCAAGGAGTGAGCCCTGAGATCAGCCAGGGGTGGACCACAAACCAAGAGGAGAAAAAAAAGGAAAGGAAATGGGGCTTCAAAGAGGTATCTGAACACCAATGTTCATCATAGCACTGTTCACAATAACCAACAATCCAAACAGCCACTGACAGATGAGTAATATACAAAATGTACCTTGTACATAAAAGGGCTATTCATCCCGTGTCACACATCTAACCTGGATGAACCCTGAGGCCCTTACGCAAATTGAAATACCACAGAAAGACCACGTCCCACGTGCCCACAGGCACACGTCAGGAGTTAAAGGAGTCAACACACAGACCCAGAGCGCACAATGGAGGCACAAGGGATGTGAGGGGGGGAGGGGTGCAGTGATGGGCTGCATAACAGGGACAGTTTCCGCTTTACAGGGTGAAAAGGTCTGAAGACCTGCTTTCCGGCACGGTGCGTGGGCTTGACTATAGCCTCGGATAGTTATGATGGTATACTGTATGTTATGGAGGGCTGTTGTTTTTTTAGTTGGTTTTGGTTTGGTTTGGTTTTAGGACTGCACCTCGCAGTGCTCAGGGCTTCCTCCTGGCTCTGTGCTCAGGGATCCCTCCCAGTGATGCTGGGGATCAAACTGGTATCAATCACATGCGACGAAAGTTTTTAAACCCCTGTACTAACTCTCTGACCTTATGTGGGTCCTTGGATTTTTTTTTCTGGGTTGTTTTTTGTTGTTGTTCATTTGGTTTTGTTTTGGGGCCACACCCAGCTGAGCTCAGGGGTTACTCCTGGTTCTGTGCTCAGGAATCACTCCTGGCAGGCTTTGGGGACCATATGGGGTGCTGGGGATAAAACCCAGGTCAGCCACGTGCAAGCCTTGCCCACTATGCCATCACTCCGCCCTCACGCCACTGTTTTACAGACAGAGGCCAGAGTGATGTGCCGTCCACTGGGCCCATTGAGTTGGTCATCGGACTCCAACTCCCTTAACTCTGGCTGAGCTACTTCGGCCTTTCTTTACTGCCAGCTGCAGAGGGTTCTGCAAAGCTTCAAAGTTGTCCACATGCCTGGAATATCCCGGGTCTTATACTCAATCCAACAAGGTGGGTAGGGTGACTTTATTATCCCACAGATGGCACACCTCACAGGAACCAGTTCAGGTCGTCCAGGGCTAGACATGGCCTGTTGATGCCACCTGCAGGTCATTCTTGCATCCACCAGGGGGTGCCAGGTACCAAACTACACCCAGGCCAGGACTTGGCACCCTGAATGCCTCTAAGCCTCTGCCCTCTGCCAAATACATGACACAGAATAAGCCCTGAGCACTGCCGGTGCACTCCCCCACCAGACTTGAGTTTGAGGGGGAGCTCTCCAGATAACTGTGACACCCACTCATACTCCCTCAGGGCACAGCATCAGCTACTCCTGTAATTCTATTTTTCCCCGGGCCCAGAGATGGCTCAAAGGAACACAGACTTTGCATGCCAGAGCCCCATGTCTGTTCATGGCACCATATTATCTCCCAGGAACTAGTAAAAGTGATCCCAACCCAAGTACTGCAGAGGGAGTAGCCCTTGAACAATGCCAAGTGCGGCCCACAAACAAAAAGAATTTTATTTTTCTTGCCTATATTTTTGTTGGAATTTTTTTTTAGGGCCACACCCAGTGGTGCTTAGGGTTTACTCCTAGCGTGCACTCAGGGATCGCTCTTGACGGTGCTCAGGGACTGAATCAAAGAAGGCCACGTGTAAGGAAAGTGCCTTATCTCTGGAGCATCAAATGCCTTTCATTTTCTGTCTTTCCTAGAAGATGCTTTCCTGCTTTTTCATTTTTCTAGGTGGGAGGGGAACACATGAGGATACCAGGGATAGAATCCAGGACCTCACACATGTGGAATTTACTCTCTGGAACAGCTATGTCCTCATCCCCTAGAGTCAACACTTCCTAAATCCACCTCTGACCTCAATCAATTAAAAAGAAAAAAGTTAATAAATAAGAGTGGGGGCTGGAGAGATAGCACAGCGGGTAGGGCGTTTGCCTTGCACGCGACCGATCCAGGTTCGATTCCCAGCATCCCAGATGGTCCCCTGAGCACAGCCAGGAGTAACTCCTGAGTGCAGAGCCAGGAGTAACCCATGTGCATCACCAGGTGTGACCCAAAAAGCAAATAAATAAATAAATAAATAAGAGTGGACTGGAGTAATGGTAATGGTATAGCAGGTAGGGCACTTGCCTTGCTCATGGCCAAACCAGATTTGATCCTCAGTATCCTATATGGTTCCCAAGCCTGCACAGGGTGATCCCTGAGTGCAGAGCCATAAGTAAGCCCTGAGCAGGTGTGGCCCCAAAACCAAAATATATAAAATAAAAACATCCGCTGACACTCTCAAAAAATAAATAAGTAAATCCTGGTGTGAAGTCCTAATATTCTCCAGCACTGCGAGCCAAGTAGCCTGTCCACCAGCTACTGATGCCACGAAACACTATGCCCCACTAAGCCACCTCATCCACCTTGCCAGGCCTGAATCTGGCCCTGTTCTTCCTCTTCCGGACCTGTGTCTGACCACTCCTGTACTAACTCACTAACCCAGATCCCCTGCAAGCTTTAGGAGGCCCAGGCTCCCAGCATGGCTTGTGCGGGTACTTTTCCACCTCCCATGGGGAGCGGTTGGGAAGTGAGTACCCATCCTGCCCTCGATCTCCTGATCAGCCCCCGAAACCCACCCAGGTAAGTGACCGTCCTCCGGGGGAAGGTGTCCGGGAAAGCGGAGGGGGGGCCCCTTACCTCACAGTACACAATGTCCGCCCCATAGTCCAGGGCCAGCAGCCTCATTGGCAGAGTCCCCACGCGAACCATCGGGGCCAGGATGAGTTTGTCGCTGTAGCACAGGGAGAGGCCGTTCACGATCATGCCTCCTCGCTGCAACCTGAGGAGAGGGGAGCAGAGTGAACAATTCCGACGGGACCCTCTCCTGCTCTCCAGCGCGGACTTGCCCCCTCCTGCTAACACGGCTTGGGGACTTTCCTCCAATCATGAAAAAAACTTGGGGCCAGAGAGTGGTGCAGGAGTGAAGGTATTTCCCTCGCACGCAGCCAACCTGGGTTCACTTCTGGAATCCCGTGTGGTCCCTCAAGTACGTCAGGAGTGAGCCCTGAGCACAGACCCAGGAGTCAGATCTGAGCACTGCCAGGTGTGAACCAAAAACCAAAAAGTAAATAGATCAGTAATAAATGGAAGAAGAAAGACCTAAGTTCATCCCTTCACCCCACAGACATGCAGCTCATTGTCTGAGCTAACATCTTGTCTCTTGGGCCACATTTGACACAAGATTGTCTTGCTCTGCTAGTGCTTTCGTGCTCATGGGGAACACGGGATATGCATGTCAAAGGAACAGGCAGGGGCTGGGGAAGACAGTACAGCGGGGAGGGCGCATGCCTTGGACGCAGCCGACCCAGCTTTGATCCCCGGCATCCCAGGTGGTCCCCCCCACACCACCAGGTGTGATCCTGAGTGCAGAGCCAGGAGTAACCCCTTAAGCACCTCCAGGTGTGGCCCACAAACAAAAACAAAACCCAAATTAATAGGCGAATGTGTCAAAAATGTACCGGAAATTCGGTAGGGCTAGAGCAGTGATTCCCAGAGTGGGTGGAACCCTCCGGAGGAGGAGGGGGCACAGGAATGGAATGACCTAGTGGGGACATCAGCAGCCTCAGGTGAGGACGATGCACCTGCTGTTCGTTTGCTTAGAGGCAGGTTTTCAGGGGAGCAGGGAGCGGTTTCTGTCAAGGAGGCAGTAAGGCCAAATCAATTCGGGAGCCTAGAGGAGGGAATGAAAGAGAAGACGGAGGGGAGACTGAAATTCTGAGGATGGGCCGGGGTGCAGCCCGAGCAGCAGAGCATGTGCCACCACAGAGCTCAGGCCTCAGTACGGCGGCCACCCCGGCCACAGCGCGCCCTGCTCACCGCGGCCCTCGTAAAGAAAAGGCAGAAAATGCCAAGGATTGAGGCCGGAGCGATAGCACAGCGGGTAGGGCATTTGCCTTGCACGCGGCTGACCTGGGTTCGATCCCCGGCATCCCATATGGTCCCCCAAGCACTGCCAGGAGTAATTCCTGAGTGCAGAGTCAGAAATAACCCTGAACATCACTGGTGTGATCCAAAAAGAAAAAAAAAAGCCAAGGATGAGTTAGAAACCTTTTTAGTTTTGTTTAGGGCCCACAAGCAGTGGCTTATCCCTGGCTCTGCACTCAGCCCTACTCCTCAGGTGGCTTGGGGGACTACAGGGAGTGCCCGGGGATTGAACCCAGGTCAACTCCACGGTGATAAAGAGCCTGTTTATCTCTATATCAAGGTCCTGGGTTTGATCCCCCGAGCCAGAAATTAATAAACTAATGAAAATTCCAGCTATTTGGAGATGTAACTGGTATGAACACTGCCCCAGGGACTGCAGCCACGCCTCGCTTTGTGGCTCAATTGGGATGGCACCCCCACATTTGCGTTCTTTGCCTCCTCACCATGAGCTTGGCAGGATGAGCACTCTTGGCTGAGGCACATGAGTTCATGGGTATGGAGCCTCTGGGGGTCACTAAGCTGCTCCCAAAATAAGCCTGACCCTCCCTGGCTGTGGGGCTCATACATCCTTTGTGGCTGCAGTGCTCGCCAGGCACTGCACCCGTTTTATTTTGGTTTAGGCCCCTACTCCCAGGCGCTTACAACTTCCCTCAGTCAGTAAGTCATTCTTACTTCTAAAGCGCAATACTACGAAACACCGCCTCAACTTCTCAGGGTTACTCGAGAGAGGGGACTGACAGAGTCTACGAAATGACAGACACAAATTAGGGGCCAATGGCGGAGGCCGGTTCAGTCGGGCTCTTGTACTCGCTGTGACTTTTGAGGGAATTAAAGGAAAGAGCCTATACATAGAGCAGTCACTGTCTGGTCACCTGGACCAAATATCTGAAAGGGGACGGATCAATAGTACAGCAGGGAAGGCATTTGCCTTGCATGCGGCCAACCCAGGTTCAATCCCCAGCATCCCATATGGCCCCCCCAGCACCTCCAGGATTGATTCCTGATGGCAAAGTCAGGTGTAACCCCTGAGCATCGCCAGGCATGACCCAAAAATAAAATTAAAAAAAAAAAACACAAATATTAGAAAAAAAATCCAAAGGCAAATATATATCTAAATATGTGTTTCTTATCATTTCTTTAATGGACCTACTCTGCCATGGTACAAAGAATTCTATGCTTACAGCTGAAAAGATGGAGGCACGTGTATATTAATAAAATGTTGGGGGCCAAAACAACACTAGAATGGGTAGGGCGCTTCCTTGCACATGGCAATCCAGTTTCAATCTCTGGAATTGTCTCAGATGATCCCTAAGGCTGCCAGAAATGATCCCTGGGCATAGAACCAAGAGTAAGTCCTGAGCGCCACTCAGTGTGCCCCTCCCCATCCAAAAAAAAAAAAAAAAGAAAAAAGAAAAGAAATATACTGAATTAGATATCTAAAGAGCTATTTAGTGGAGGAACAATGAGCCTTGAATTCTTGGAGAGAATCACAAGTGTAACTTAGAAGCACTCCATCTGGAGTATCCTTTACGTCAACTCCCATCTGATTTTATCACCAGTGGTCATCTGGGCAACACAGAACAGTGACAGGCAGTGATAGGACAGTGGGCTCTCATTGAGATAGCGCTATCACAAGAGCGCCTGCCTTGCACCCAGCTACATGGGATTGATTCCTAGCACCCCATATGGTCCCCGAGCACTATCAGAAGTGATCCCTGAGCACCGCTATGCATGGCCCCCAAAATAAAAAATTGATTTAGAAACATTTTTTAAAACTTAATGTAGGAGTACTGTTATTGATTCAGCCACCTATAAAGCTGATTGAATTGGCTAAAAACATTTTTTAAAGGGGGTCAGTACAGCAAGAAGGGCATTTGCCTGGCACACGGCCAACCGAGGTTCAATCCTCAGCATTCCATACGGTCCTGTGAGCCCCCCCAGGAGAGGGATCCCTGAGTGCAGAATCGGGATAAGCCCTGAACACTTCTGGGGGTGGCCCCAAAACCAAGAAATAACTTCTCAGTGAAGAAGCTCAGATCTCTCAGGCCGGATGTAGGCAATGCCAATGGCTCAAGTTCAGGATGAGTCACGAGTCTGCCATGGGCCTCAGTTCTGCCACCACACGGTGGACAGCACACTGCACCTGTCTCTCTCCTGAATGATGCATTATCCAAATACCTGAGGAGGTCTTATTCTCCCTGAACTCTCCTCCACCCCTCAGAAAACACTCCATCCTGCCTTTATGGCTTTCAGGGATCCCCACACACCTGATCCCAAGGGAGTCACAGACAGTGGGGTCAGGATGCCCACAGGATGTTCAGAGGGTGCATGGGGCTGTTCACGCTTTGGCAAACAGGCCTGAGGTGAATGTACATCCGGGAATCAGCCTCTCTGCAGTCCTCACCCTTTCCCACCTTCACCACCATTCAGGATGAACACTTTTGATTATTTTTTGTAAGGTGCTGCCTTATGCTCTGTATACTCTGTGACAGCAGTCTGGCCTTCCCCACCAGATGTCAGTAGCACCTCCCCAAAATTGAAAATGCTCCCAGCTACTGGCAAGTGTGTGTGTGGGGTGGGGGTGGGGGGGAGAATCACCCTCAACTGTCCTCTCCAATGGCTGCACCCCCATAACCCTACAAAACTCTCACCTACCCGGATTTAGCTCATTACTCCCCAGAAGTCAACGTGCATATCAAAATGGTATTTAAAATCTTGAAAGTATTTTTCTTTTGTGCTGAGGAGAGCGCTCAGGTGGTCGAGTATGAGTCCAGCATGGGGGAGTCCCTGAGTTCAATCCTACCCCACTCAACCCCACCCCACCACTGCCAGGAGTGGCTCCCATGAAAAAAAAAAAATGTTTGGGACTGGAGCCATAGCACAGCAGGTAGTGCGTTTGCCTTGCATGCAGCCAACATGGCCAACCCGGGTTCGATTCCCAGCATCCCATATGGTCCCCCAAGCACCACCAGGAGTAATTCCTGAGTGCATGAGCCAGGAATAACCCCTGAGTATTGCCGGGTGTGACCCAACCCCGTGCCGTATTCGATACGCCAAACACAGTAACAACAAAGTCTCCAATGGAGACGTTACTGGGCCCGCTCGAGCAAAAATAAAAGTTTATTTGCTCATTTAATTGGTTTCTTGGGCCACACACAGTGGTGCTTAGGGCTGAGTTCAGGGGGACCATATAGGGTGCTGGGGACCCAACACTGGTCAGCCAGATGCAAGGCTAGGGCCCTGCCTGCTGTGTTCTCTCTCTGGCCCTCTTGACAGTTGATGAAACTTAAATACTTTCTTCCAGATGTTAGGACACTCCCAAGCGGTTACCCCACATTCACCTTATCTCCCCCTCAGACACTGGGGGCTACAGGAGCCATCTGACACTCCCTCTCTAAATCTGTTAAGTACAACCAGAGGCTGGAAAATTGGTTCAGTAGGTAGGGTTCTTGTCTTGCACATCGACCCGGGTTTGATTCCTGGCATCCCCCTATGGCTCCCTGGAGTGGGCACAGAGCCAGGAGAAAACCGTGACCACGGCCGGGTGTGACCCAAACACTAGAAAGTAAAAAGGTGAGAAGAACAACGACTGAAGAACTTGGTGGAAACCTAAACATCTGAATTCTGGGCTGCGGGCGATAAGCGGAAAGGGCAGGCGGCACGAGAAGGGTACTCGGGCTGAGAAGGGCGACCTCGGTGACAGGGAGAGAGGACAGTGGGCCACGGCTGACAAGAGGAAAGCAAGGCAGGAAAAGATGAGTCCTCTCGAGGGGCAGCTCAACACCCGACTCCCCCTGAGCAGGGAGCGGATGCTGAAGCCGCCCACCCCGCCGGCGGGCGCCGGGGGCTCCTGGGGGTGCCTGCCCCCATTCATTCAGACTCTCCACTAACGATCAGAACCCGGCCTGCGCCAGCACCGCCTCGAGGAAGCCCCCGCCGCCCCCGGGGCGGTTCCGGGGTGACCCGCGGACAGCCAGGGCCGCGGAGGGAACGGCGACCACGACTCGCAGGACGCCGACGCCCATTCGCCTGACCCCCTCCGCCCCTCGGGGTAAGGCCGAGTCCCAACGGCGCGGGGCGCGGGCGCCAGGCCCGCCGGCCTCGCGCGCCCTTCCCCGTCGCTGGCCCAGGTCTCGACGTGGCCGGGCCGCGCTCGCACCTCCAGACAGACCTCGCGACGGCTGCGCTCCCCCAGATCCTCCTGCCTCAAGGTTCGCCAACAACTCCGCACACACGGAACTGAGCCGCGGCAGCCACCGTCCTCCCGGCCCTGGCGCGCCCGTGACGTCACTGCCGTGCGCCTCTTCCCCCGCCTCGGGGAACATGGCGCTGGCCCGGCCCCCGCGCCTCCTGTGCTTCACGGCTCGGTGGCTTCTGGCTCCTAGACGGGAGCTGGCGGTAGGGGACCCCGATGAGCCCCTGCCGGTGGTGCGAGTCCCGCGGGCTCTCCAGCGGCGGCAGGAACTGCGGCAGCGCGGCCGGGAGGGCCCCGCGCAGCCGGTGCTGGCGCGACCCGGTCCGCTGCTGGTGTCGGCGCGGCGGCCCGAGCTGAACCAGCCTGCTCGCCTCACGCTGAGCCGTTGGGAGAGCGCGCCCCTCGCCTCGCGCGGCTGGAAGAGCCGCCGCGCGCGCCAGGACTATTTCTCCATCGAGCGCGCGCAGCGCGACGCCCCCGCGCTGCGGAAGCTCGCGGAATCCCGCACCTTCGCCGACCTGGGGCTGCAACCCCGCGTGCTGCGCGCCCTGCAGGAGGCCGCCCCCGAGGTGGTCAGGCCCACCACCGTGCAGTCGAGCACCATCCCCCCGCTGCTTCGCGGCCGCCACCTCCTGTGCGCCGCCGAAACCGGCAGTGGTAAGACCCTCAGTTACCTCCTGCCTCTGCTGCAGCGGCTCCTAGACCGGCCGAGCCTGGAAACGGGCCAGCTCCCCGCTCCCCGGGGCCTCGTCCTCGTACCTTCCCGAGAATTGGCCGAGCAGGTGCGGATCGTCGCGCAGCCCTTGGGCAGCTCCCTGGGCCTCCAGGTGGCAGAGCTCGGGGGAGGCCACGGCCTGAACCGGATCAAGCTGCAGCTGGCCAGACAGCCGCGGGCTGATGTGCTGGTGGCCACGCCCGGAGGGCTGTGGAAGGCCCTGAGGCGGCGGCTGCTCAGCCTGGAGCTGCTCTCTTTCTTGGTGTTGGACGAGGCCGACACGCTGTTGGATGAAAGCTTCCTGGAACTGGTGGAATTCATTCTGGAGAAGAGCAATATAGCAGAGGGTTCCGCTGACTTGGAAGACCCCTTCAGCCCCAAAGCCCAGTTAGTGTTGGTGGGGGCCACCTTTCCCGAAGGGGTTGGCCAGCTACTGAGTAAAGTTGCCAGCCCAGAATCACTAACCACCATCACCAGCTCCAAGCTCCACTGTATCATGCCTCACGTCAAACAGACATTCATGCGACTGAAGGGGGCAGAGAAGGTGCCCGAGCTGGTACAGCTGCTCAAGCAGCGGGACAGTGGTACCTCGGGGTCAGTGCTGGTGTTCTGTAACAGCTCCAGCACTGTCAACTGGCTGGGGTACATTCTGGATGACCACAAGATCCAGCACCTTCGGCTGCAGGGACAGATGCCAGCCTCCATGCGGGCAGGGATCTTTCAGGCCTTCCAGAAGGGCTCCCGGGACGTCCTGCTCTGTACAGACATAGCCTCTCGGGGCCTGGACAGCACCCAAGTGGAACTGGTTGTCAATTATGATTTCCCCCTCACCCTGCAAGATTACATCCACCGGGCAGGCCGGGTAGGCCGGGTGGGGAGCGAGGTGCCAGGCACTGTCATCAGCTTTGTGACCCACCCTTGGGACGTCAGCCTGGTTCAGAAGATTGAGCTGGCAGCTCGCCGACGAAGAAGCCTGCCAGGACTAGTGTCCTCTGTGAGCGAGCCTTTGCCCCAGCACACCTGAGACCAGCGGGCTTCAGTGTGACACCACAGCAGGAGTGTGCTGCTCCCTGGGCAGGGCGTGCTCTGGTCAGCAGGCTCCCTGATGAGCTCTGGCAGGGAGAGGTCAGAAGCCCGCCAGCACTGCTGAGCTCGGTGCTCTCTAGTCTTTCTCCTGAGTCACGGGAAATAAAACAGTTTTGATTTTGCATGATCATGGGTTTCTAGCAGTAGATCATCTTTTTATGCATCTCCCCAAATGATAGGGGAAAATTCCTGAGAAGATTAACCTTCATACCCCAAACTGCCACACCCAGGATGAAGCCTCCCTCTTCCAGTGGATCTTCAAATGTTTTTGTGGGGTTTTTTGTTTTGTCTGGAGGTGGTACTTAGGCTTACTCCTGGCCAGCTCAGAAAAGCGTATGGGGTGCCAGGGATCAAACACACGTGGGCCATATGCAGGGCAGACACTGCACCTGCTGTACTAGCCCTCCAGCCCCAGTGAATATGTTTATCCCCTACCCCCAGAAGGTACCCATTTAGCCCCAACAAAGTGGACGACAAGCAGGGATATCCCAGTGATGCTTGAGGTTTACTCTGAGCAGTGTGTAGGGCACCATACAGTGCTTGGCATCAAACCAAGGTTAACCATATGCCAGGCATGTGCCTTAACCCCTGTACTATCTCTTGGTATATGTATGAGTATTTTGAAATGGTCTGTGGAATCCCCAGTGTCAAGCCCTCAGAGGTCGATAACCACTTGTCTCTATCCTGCCTTTTCCAGAGTCCCAGCTAAGTCCATCAGTACCCATCTAGTCAAAGGGAGAGTCCTAGACAAATGAGCTCTTTGTAACCCTGGAGATTATGTGTTCTGCTGGCCAATCGCCAGGACTAACCACATCCAAAGCTTTCCCTTTAGTACTGGGCTCCCTAAAGACAGCTCGTGTTAGGCCTGACTTCATCTGTTCTGCTAAGCATCATAGAGAAGATGCTTGTAGATCTCAACCAGGAATAGGAGCCCAGTAAATCTATCCTTGACACAGCCCTACTGTGTCTACTCTGCAATAGCCCATTAAGTTATTCTGAGCTGGACTGATAGTATAGCAGATGGGGTCCTTACCTAGCCCATGGCTGACCCAGGTTCGAATCCTGACACCAAGCCCCTTAGCACAGAACTAGGAGTAAGCCCTGAGCACTGCCAGGCGTGGCCCAAAGACAATTTGTTTAAGCCAGGAGTCGCTTGTAAGGATGGGTCACGCCAAAGTCCTCAAACTCGATGTCTACATGTGGGCCGGCTCCAGCTAAGGCCAAGTCGACTCCCTCTGGGTAGAACAGATCAGCTCTTAGCCCCTTTTGTGGTACAGACCACGTTGACCACTTGGGCTGAGCCTGCACCTCCCTCATCCTTCTTGATGGTGAGGTTGTCAGAGGGGTACAGTGTCATTTTATGTGATGCTATTTTGTCATGTGTCCTTTGAATTTCATGTTACTATGGGCCTGTCATTCCCACTAAATGAATTTGGCCTTGTATCACCTATGACCTCTCTCCCAGCTGCCCTGGAGAATGAGCAGAGCTTGTCGTCACATCCCTATCAGTTGAAACTCTGCAGTCCAGCACAAAGCTGTCATCTGCCAGATGCCCCCTCATAAGCCGTGTGACTGAGCTAGCACGAGTTGCTGGGTTTTCTGAAGAAAGCATTGGAAAAGGTCTGAATTCCCTGAATCTACATTCTGAGCAGGACAAGCAAAGAACTTGGCTTTGCTTTTTTCAACTGAAACTTTTTTCTTCCCTGTCCTGTCCACATGTCCAAAGCTCAGGCCCATCTTCGGGGACCCTTCAATGATTGCCCAGCACACATAAATCTGCCGCTCCAATTATTCGTACTTAGGTTAGTGCTGTTCAACCTAGTCTTTTAGGTGAATCTCCTCCATCCTACCTCAGAGGGCAGTCTCTCTTGCCCTGCCACCCCTACTATGTGCAAGAAGGACCAGGCCGAGGAGATTCAGATCACATGTCCCTATGCCTCAGAGAACCTAAAGTCGATCCTTGTGTGACCTCACTGGGTAGTGATGACGTCATAGGCCTCTCCCAAGTTGCCGGGCAGAGTTACTACACAAACGTGCCCTTGAGGAAATTTTCATTTCTCCCTGAGAGACCAGTTTGGTTGCTTGGGGGAAAATGTCAGATCGGATCTTTTATATTCACTCTAACTTGTCCTGTGTCCCGTGGGATGGCCCCACAGCTGGTAGGACAAGACCTAGTCTCTGGACCAGAAGCACTGATGTCCATGCACATAACCTCATATGGCTACCACCCCTCAGAACCTCCCTGCCTATCAAGTATCTACCCATGACCTGTGGCCTCCTCAGGGACCCACCTTGTTCTCACTCACTGCAGAGAACGTGTGAACTGTCATCCATGGGTAAGTGTCCAGGAAAGTTCTAATCTTCAAAACTGCAGCCTTCCCCTCAGGACTACGCAATGCTGCCATTCAGACCCTTTTCCTAATTGGCCTCTTGGCAAAGAGTCAAGTGCCTTTTGATTAGCAAGTGACAGATGGGGTAGTCCGAGAGAGAGAGCTGTTGAGAGCCCCTCCTGAACCCCACTTCACGCTGTCATGTAGACATCCACATGAGTTCCATCAGACACACGGAGCCTGAGCCTGCTGAGTCCCTAGGGAAGAGTGGTGGCATGTGGCTGGGAAGAACCAAAGCACCAGGGGAGCCATGACACAGCGTTTGGGACTCAACGCTGAGGAGATGGGGTGCCAGGAGGTCGGGGCCCTGTGATTACGGAGTGGGGAAGGAGTCTGCCTCCAAGCCTCCTGGTCACCCGTACCTCAGGGTCTGCTATTTTTCTTTTTCTTTTATTTTGCTTTGGGGCCACATGCAGTATTGCTCAGATTCACTCCCAGTGGTACTCAGAGGATGGAACTGGGCAAGCCTTGTGCAAGGCAAACACCCTACGGCAATACCATTGCTCTAGCCTCTGGCTATTTTCTAATATTCATAAAAGGATTAGAGCTTGGGTGATTAAACTCAGTGTGAAGGGGGCTAACAAGTTACCAAGGGGGAGGGATTCTTAACTGTCCTGTACTAGATTTTCCCCAAAAGTTAAAAGCCATTTCCATGAAATCCTCAGAAGTGATCTTAAGAGGCCAGAGCTGATTGTATAGTGGGTAAGCCTTGCACATGGCTGACCAGGGTTCGATCCCTGGCATCCCATATGGTCCCCTGAGCCCCACCAGGAGTGATCCCTAAGCACAGAACTAGGAGTAAACCCTGAGCACAGACAGGTGTGCCCTCCGACCAAAAAGAAAAAATAAAAGTGACCTTAAGAAATGTTTTGGGGGTGGGGCTAGAGCAATAGCACAGCAGGTAAGGCGTTTGCCTTGCATGCAGCCGACCCAGGTTCGATTCCCAGCATCCCATATGTTCCCCTGAGCACTGCCAGGAGTAATTCCTGAGTGCAGAGCCAGGAGTAACCCCTGTGCATTGCCGGGTGTGACCCAAAAAGCAAAAAAAAAAAAAAATGTCTGGTGGGGGAAAATGTTTTGGAGAGGCCAAAACCATAGGACAGCAGGTAAGGTGCTTGCCTTAAACTCAGCCAGCCCAGGCTCAATCCCCCAAGCACCACCAGGAGTGATCCCTGAGCTCGGAGCCAGGAGTAAGCCTTGCATGCAGCTAGCTGTGATCCAACAAGTTCCCTCAAAAAAAAAAAAGTTTTCTTGGAGCAGAGATAACAAATGGAGTGCAGAGCTTTCCTGGTATTCAGTGACCTGATTTGACCTCCAGCACCACATGGTGCCCTGTGAGCCTTCAGGAGAGACCCCTGAACACAGAGCTAGGAGGAGCCCTGGAATACTGTCTCAGGGTATGGCCCAGACCCCAGCTCAAGCTGGAGAGACACCTCAACAGGCTGGAACACATGCTTGGCACGTGGGAGGCCCAGGTTTAATCCCTGGCACCGCATGTAGGCCCTGGAGCACCACCAGAAGTGACCCCCAAGCACCACGGGATGCCACTCCTCCAAAACCAGAAAGAAAAGAAAAAAAAAAAAGAAAACATTTTTCTGTTGTGGAAGGGAGATTGCCTGCAAACTTTGTGGGGTTTTTTTGTTTTTTTGTTTGGGGGACCACACCCAACAATGCTCAGACGTTACTCCTGGCTCTGTGCTCAGAAATGACTCCTGGCAGTGCTTGAGGGACCATATGGGATGCCAGGGATCGAACCCAGGTCATCCAGGTGCAAAGCAAGCGCCCTACTCACTGTACTATCTCTCCAGCCCCTCTTTGTGGGGCTCTACTGATAGGAGCAGGTTCTCCATGTGCTCCCTGGCTCCCATTTGCAGCCAACGTCAACACTCCAGGGACTCAATGGCCAAGGCCATGTCTTAGATACCAGATTAGAGGGTGTAAGGCAGAAACGAGAGAGCCGTGGGAGCGGGAGGTGCGTGGGGTCCGACAGCCGCATAGGACTGAGCTTGTGCCTCCCTTTGCAGCAGCAGTGGCACCCTCTTCTCCCACACCCGGCTACTACCATGTCCTCTACCGAGGGTTTGGAGAGAGCCAGGTGGGCTGGCATGGCGAGACATACTGCCTGGTTGGCGGCTACCGGACCTACGGAGATGCCCCCGTGGCCACCCCAGAGAAGATGGAAACAGAGAAGCCGGCCCCCCGACGGGCTCCCAAGAGACGCCACTCTCTGTCCGAGTTGGACAACGAGCTGGGCTGCTCCAGTCCCAAGATTCAGCGCTTGCATGAAGTGGCAGAAGGCAGAAACTCACTGGCTGAATCCCTCTGTGGAGAGAAACCATGAACTGCCGGACACAGCGCATGCCTCTTCCGTCGGACACTCCACGGCTCATGCTTCTTCTGTCGGACACTCCCCCTGCTCTCGTGTCTGTGCCTTTCTTAGCCCACAGCCTCTTTCCAGGACACTGAGGTCTGAAACGAAAAGCTGCTGGGAACATCCTGGGCTGAAGCCGAACTTGGAAAAAACCCTCAGTGTCCTCTGCCCCAGCCTCAGAGTCCCTGCCATGGTGGCAGAAGGAAAGGAGCACTGTGCTGGCCGAGCGGGGAAGACGCCAGGGCAGACACGGGACAGGGTGGCTTTACCCACATTCCTCCCTGGTCACTGCCAGCAGCCACTGCGCATGTCCGGAGGAGCAGGGGTGCTTGGAATTAGCGGAAGTAATCTGTGGCTCTCTGGGGGTCCCCTGAATAAGGACACCCAGAAAGACCTGCTCCCCAAAGCAGGAATGGGAGAGAGAGCCCGGCAGTCTTCCATCCGAGACTCACCTTGTCTTTATTCCCAGTTCTCTACCCAGTGGGGTTCCTTCCAATTTAATAAAAAATTTTGTTTCTTGTAACCATGCTGGAAATCCAGCTTGTCCAATCTAGGTCTCAATTCTCCCAGTTTCCATGAAGTGCATCCCTATGTCGGCATCCTCTGAGACCTTCTAGCAAACCTCCCAAAAGGCTCTGATGGCCTCTCGAAGGTCTCCTGGCTGCAGCACTGTGCCTCTCACAGGGACCCCTATAAGAGCAGGAACAAACACAGATTGATTCTTTAAGAAGTATGGAGCCTGGGGCTGGCCTTCAAGCCCACATTCTCTCTTACACATACATTCCTCTCTCTACCTTCACTTCTTTGTTTGTTGGGGGGGTCACACCCAGCAGTGCCCAGGAATTAACTCCTGGTGTGCTCAGGGTACCACATGGGGTGCCAGGGATCGAACCCAGTTCTGCCTCATGCAAGGCAAGAGTCCTACCCACTGTACTATCTCTCTTGCCCCTCCCCTTATGTCTTTTTTTGTTTTGTTTTGTTTTTTGGGTCTCACCCGGCGATGCTCAGGGATTACTCCTGGCTCTGCACTCAGAAGTTACTCCTGGCAGTGCTCAGGGGACCATATGGGATGATGGGAATCGAACACCGGGTCAGCTGCGTGCAAGGCAAACACCCTACCCACCATGCTATCTCTCCAGCTCCCCATTACGTCTTTCTAAGTAAGTTTTGTTCAACAAAAAAAAAAGATGGTGGTTGTAAAGGGCTGGAGCACAAGTTCTGCATGCAGGAGGCCCAGATTCAATCCCTGACACTGCGTGCTTCTCCGAGCACCAGAAGCAACTATTGAGTACTGAACTAAAAGTTGTCCCTGAGTATCACCATGTGTGGTGCCCGCCCCTCCCCCCAAAATTGTAGAAGCAAGGCCCAGGTATGCGGGTTCCAGGACTAAATCTCAATGCTGCATGGTGGCAGAGGTGCCAGGTTGTCCCTCCCAGGCTCCCTGCCCACTCGTTGGCCTGGCTGTCACCCCCACAATGTGCCTCCAGGAGCCATCTTAGCACACCAACAGCCCTGGTCTAGAGACGCCCAGTTGAATCCCAAAATGGATTGGTGCCCTACAGAGATGTCTCTGGAACCCAACCATGTACAATTTAGGATTCCAGAAGTACGTGGTCGCGGCACCCGTGATATTCAAAATGAGAACTATCACTCTCACTATCACCCCATTGTTCATCGATTTGCTCGAGCGGGCACCAGTAACATCTCCATTCATCCCTGTCACATGCTAGTGTTAGTGTAGCCCGATGGCATATTGGGGGCTCTTTCAGGGTGAGGGGAATGAGGACCATCATTGTTACTGTTTTTGGCATATCGAGTACACCACGGTAGCTTGCCAGGCTCTGCCGTGTGGGCGGGATACTCTCGGTAGCTTGCCGTGCTCAAAATGAGCGATGGGACAATAAATGATTTAGCATCTGCCCCTGGCAGGCAGGCTTGAATGGTGGTGGGAAAATTCGAGCAAAACATAATCCCCAAGGGGGCTGGAGAGATAGCACAGCGGGTAGAGCATTTGCCTTACACATGGCCAACTCGGGTTCGATTCCCAGCATCCCATATGGTCCCCTGAGCACCGCCAGGAGTAACTCCTGAGTGCAGAGCCAGGAGTAACCACTGCGCATTGCCGGGTGTGACCCAAAAAAGCAAAAAGAAAAAAATAATACCCAAAAGTAGAGAGTATTTGGGAAATTACCAGCCATGGAGGCAGAGTGAGGACTGGGATGGGTGGGGGGAAATATACTGGGGACACTGATGGTGGAAAGAGTGCACTGGTGGAGGGATGGGTGTTCAATCATTGTATGGCTGAATCTCAAACATGAAGTCTTTGTATCTCACAGTTATTAAAAAAAAAAAAGTAATGTGGAGTTCGTGCCCAATTCGATTGTTCATCGATTTGCTCGAGTGGGCCCAGTAACGTCTCCATTGTGAGACTTGTTGTTACTGTGTTTGGCATATCGAATACATCATGGGTAGCTTGCCAGGCTTTGCCGTGAAGGCGAGATACTCTTGGTATCAGTACTCCTACATTAAAAAAAAAAAATTGTAGAATTTGATGACGATTTCTTGTGTGTATGTGTGCTGGTGGGAGGGGGAAAGGCGAGCCACTCCATCCATTAGTGTATCCACTCTTAGGAAACGGATTAATGCATATGAATAAGTTTATTCGATTATTTATTCAACAAGGACTTAAATGGCGCCTACACACCAGCCACGGAACCAGTGTGGGATCTACTGGTGAATAAGATGCTCAGAGTCTGGGCTGGAGAGACAGCAAAGGGAGAAGGTACTTGCCCTGCATGCTACTGACCCCAGGATGGCCCTGGCACCGCAGAGAGGGTTCCCTGAGCACCATCAGGGCTGGGTACTCAGAGAGAGAAATGAAGTACCTCTCTTGGTGGCTGGAGCAATAGTACAGCAGGTAGGGTGCTTGCCCTGCACACAGCCAACCTGGGTTCAATCCCCAGAATCTCATATGGTCCCCCTAAGCACTGCCAGGAGTAAGAGCAGCTGAGAGTGCCCCCCCCGCCCAAAATAAAGAATTAAAGTTTCTCTAAAGGCATCCACTGATCATCAAGTAAAGAAAGTGATGGATGAATAGGCCAAATACAGAAATGAAGTGCTAGAAAAGAAAGTAAAATAAAATAAGAGAAAGAGGTTGGAGGAGCTGGAGTGATAGCACAGCGGGTAGGGCATTTGCCTTGCACATGGCCGACCCGGGTTCGATTCCCAGCATCCCATATGGTTCCCCGAGCACCGCCAGGAGTAATTCCTCAGTGCATGAGCCAGAAATCGTCACTGTCTCATTTGCCAAGGCATCAAAAATCAGATGGGCTGGACACATAATGAGATTTAGAGACGACCGCTGGACTAGAGCGTTAACGACTGGAGTCCATGGGATGTCAAAAGACCACATGGCCGTCCACCTACCAGATGGTTAGACTTCTTCATCGAGATCATGAACTATCGGTTTGAGGCTCTTCATGTTCCTAGAACAAACAGACGCCATTGGGCTACACTAGCACACGACAGGGACAAATGGAGACATTACTGGCGCCCACTCGAGCAAATGGACGATTAATGGGAAGTCAAGTGATCAAGTGATCAAGTGATGAGCCAGGAATAACCCCTGTGCACCACCAGGTGTGACCTAAAAAGAAAAAAGAGAAAGAAAGTGGTTGGAGGCAGAGGACAGTGGCTAGGTTACATCAGGAGTCAGGGAAGGCATCCGTGAGAAGGTCATACTGCAGTGGACATGGACAGAAGCAGTGGGCAGAGATGAAGAGAATTCCTGGCGGGCAGGGCCGTGGCTCAGTAATGGAGCACTTGTGGGGCGCTGGGCTCCAGCTCTAGCAGCGCAAAAAAAAAAAAAAAAAAAAAGAAAAGAAAAGAAAAGAAAAGAAAAAAGTGAAAACAAGATGAGTTAATAAAATTGATCAGGTTGAGTTATGGATGTGAGGGGGGTCAATATACTCATCTCGCTACACTTTTGCAATTTTCAAATTTTCTCCTGGAGCCAGAGCTATAGTACAGTGGGGAGGACGCTTGTCTAGCATAGACCCACTCGGCTTCAAAACCTAGCACCACCTATGGGCCCCTGAGTCCTGCCAGCATTATCCTGAAGTACAAAGCCAGGGGTAAGCCCTGAGCACAACGGGGTGTGGCTTCCTCCAAATCAGAAAAAAGAAATTTTTCTCCCAATTGAAAGAATTTGTTTGGGTGCGGAATACGCCAGGAGTGACTCCTGAGCACAGAGCCATGAATAAATTCTGAGGCACTGCAAGGTGTGGCCTAAGAACCAAAGGGGGAAAAATAATTTCAGGAGTTGAAGTCAAATCAAGGCATTTGAGGTTTCCTGAGAGCTGTGAGTGAAAATACAGGCAGAAGGATAATAGCTGATTCGTTCCCAAGACGGAAAGGGTGAGCTCTCCGTGTGGGAAAGGAAACCAGGAGGAGGTGAGGGCACTGAGGAAGAGGCATGGGGAGGGGGAGACTCCCGTGGAGCAGGGTGGAGGCCAACCCCACAGGACACGATGAGACCTGAAGGGGCAGAGGCGAGCAGGGGATGGACAACAAGAAGAGTGACCAGATGCTGCCCACGGCCAGCCCCGGGTATGGCTTACCCTTTTATATGTTACCTTTTTCTAATCACTGTAAAATATAATAGATGTGTATATATAACAAAAAAAAATTACCATTTTAGGGTAAGAAATAGTATGGGGTAGGGCAAGGCCTGGCTCATGGCCAACCCAGGTCGGTTTGTGCCCCAGTAACCCATATGGTTCCCTGAGCACCTTCAGGAGTGATCCCTGAGCACCAGGATGTTGCCCCAAATCTATCAAAATCCCCTTTCAATTGTGAGGTGTGGTGATGAGGACTGACCCGTGCCTCACAGCTGCAAGGCTATTTGCTGCGCCACGTCTGCCCAGACTGCCCCCATGTCCGGGTCTGCCTGCTGAGCCTAGGGGACCCGAGCTGGCAAGGCTTCAATAGTGCTTCTCTTTCTTCATGGCTTCACATGGGGTGAAGGGGAGAACAGGCACCCCTGTTGGCTGCGCCGTCCATATGCCCCGGCGGGCACATACTGGCTATATATTTCTGTGATCGGCTCTCGATGGGAACCTCAAGGCCATGATCAGCAGAACTGCCCCATTTTTTTGGGGGGGGGGTGCGTTATTTTTGGACCACACATGGTAGTGCTCAGGGCTTTTTGCTGGCTCTGTGCTCAAGGATCCTGGCAGAGCTCAGGGTCAAACCCAGGTCAAATCCAGCCGCGAGCAAGGCAAGCACCCTACCAGCTGTACTACCTGTCTGGCCCTAGAACTGGCCTCTTTAGGAACTGAAATAGAACCGACTCGAACCTCGAACCTGGCTGATTGGGAGAAACGGTGTCTGCCTTCTCTGGCTCCATACAGCCTCTCTCTGCTCAACTGGCATTTCTCCCAAGTCCTGGCAGGTTTGACATCCAAGTCCTAGAGGAAAGAAACACACATTGGGCCAGAGTGACAGTACAGAGGGGAGGGCATTTGCCTTGCATGTGGCCAACCAGGTTTGATCCCCAGCATTCCACGTGGCCCCCCAAGCACCGCCAAGAGTAATTCCTGAGCATCAACAGGTGTGATCCCCCCCAAAAAAAAAGCAAAAAAAAAAAAAATAAACACATTAAGTCTCCTTTCTTACCCCTCTTAGCAGATGCTATTGATCTAGCTAAACTTCCAGCCAATCTCTTCCCATTGTACGTGTTTTCCTCTCTTTTTTCTTTATTTGATTTTTGTTTTGGGTTTCCAACTGGTCGTACTTAGGGGCTACTCCTGGCTTTGCACTCAAGAAATACTCCTAGGCGTGCTTGAGGGACCATAAGGATGTCGGGTGTTGGGGCTGGCCGGGGACAGACCTTAAAGCATCTCAGCAGTGGAGCTTCTGCGAGAAGAGACATTCCCTGTGTGTGTGTCGTAGGTGTGATGTGTGTCTAAGCGGTGGTATATGTTGTGTACATGATATTTTGTCGTGTATGTGGTATATGTGGTATATGTCACTGTCACTGTCCGCCCGTTGTTCATCGACTTTCTCAAGCGGGCCCAGTAACGTCTCCATCGCAAGACTTTGTTGCTACTGTCTTTGGCATATCGAACACATCATGGGGAGCTTGCCAGGCTCTGCCGTGCGGGCGAGATACTCTCGGTAGCTTGCCGGGCTCTCCGAGAGGGGCAGAGGAATCGAACTCGGGTCGGCCATGTTGGCTGCGTGCAAGGCAAACGCCCTACCCGCTGTGCTATCGCTCCAGCCCATGGGGTATATATGTTATGTATATAGTGTGTGGTGTTTGTATGTACGTGGTGTGTGGTACATGTTTATGGTGTGTGATTGTGTCATGTATGTGATATCTACGCAGTACTTGCACATGTATATAGGTAGTATGTGGTATGTTGTATCCATCACAGCTGGGGTGTGTGTAAGCCGTGCGTGTCTACGTATGTGTCAGTATGTGCGTTTGCCATGTATGTGGTGTGTGTCCAGGTGCTGTGTGAGAGGTTCACAGAGGAAACAAGAACCCTGAGACAGGGCGGGTGGAACCTCAGAATGCAGGTAGGGGCAGTTCCTTAGTACCTGGGGTTCTAATGTCAGGGAAACCTGGTGGGCTTCCACTGACACAGGCGGCCAGCTTCAGGGGAGGAGGCTGCCGGGGGCTGCCCTGAAAGCACCTCATCTTCTGCTCCAGCCTCTCACCATCGGCTCCCCAGACACCCCCTCAAAGTCCTGCTGGAAGACATGCAGTATCTGACATCGGAACTCGCTCACTAAGGCAACTGGAGAAGAGAAGGAGGTTGGGGGTAGATCCAGAGCCCGGACACTCTCGGCAGGTCTCCCCTACGACTGAGTGGAGTGGGGGGAGGGTGCATGGAGACAGAGCACTTGCCCAGCGTGTAAGAGGCCTTGGGTTCCACCCCAGCCCTGCCAGAGATCAACTCAAACACAGAGGTGTAGGCAGAGGGCGGGGCAGGGGAGCCGCAGGATGGGGAGATGGGGGACAAGCTCACCCCTGAGCCCTCCTAAATGCAGGGTGTACACACCAAAGCCCCCCATTTCTAGAAACCACCTCTTCCTCAAGCCCGGCAGAGCACCCCGGCAGCTGTGGATGGAGACATTTTGCTGCGAAGACTTTTTGTTGTTTATTTTTTTCTTTTGGGTCCGGGGCAGAGTCTGGCAAACTCCCCGTGGCGTACCAAATATGCCAAATACCAGTAACAATGATGGGTCTCATTCTCCTAAAGAGCCTTGAATATAACCTCAGGGCTAGGATGAAAGAGACGTTACTGGGGCCTGCTCGAGGCAATCGAGAATAACAGGGTCCTGGGCGATGCCTGGGGCTTATTCCAGGCTCCGTCTGTGCCCAGGGCTGGCTCCTGGCGGGTTCGGTGTGTGTGTGTGGGGAGGAGGACCAGGTGGGGGTGCCAAGGATCGAACCTGGGTCGACCGCATGCAAGGAGAACGCGCTCCCCGCTGTGCCGGGCCCCGGCCGGGCTCCGGGCGGTGGGGGGGGCGCTGGCTGGGGGAAAGGGGGCGCGGGGGGGCGCGGTCGGGGCCGAGGCGGGAGGCGACGGGCGCCCCCTGGCGTCGGCGCGCCGCCCTCCCCTACGCCTCACGCGGCCGCGCCCACACGTGGGCGGCACCTCCCCGCCCCGCCCCCGCCGCTCGTCCGTTCACCTCTGGCCTCTGCGTCCGCCCGCCCAGCCTCGCCGACCATGCCGGCTGCACGCCTCGACGGCCCGTTGCGCCTCCCGCCCCTGCTGCTCCTGCTCTGGCTGGCGTCCGTGCCGCACACCCGCGCCCAGACCCTGTCGTCGGGGGCCCTCCACCACGCGGCCACGCCGGGCGCCCCCCGAGCCCCAACACGCCCCGCGGCCAGCGGCAGGCTGCGAGGGCGGGTGCGCGCCCTGATGCGGGACTTCCCGCTCGTGGACGGGTGCGTGGGGCGGGGGGAGGGGAGAGGGGAGGGACAGGCCACCCCCCCCAAGAGGAAAGCGGGCTGCCTGGGGAGGGGGCCGCCGTCCACTCACCCGCTAGGACCCTCCCTGCACCCCCTTTCTTGGGAGAACCCCCCCGCCCCCAGCCCAGGCTTCCGCGGGTCCCACAGTGGAGACCCCAAGCGACTGCACACCGGTGAGGGTCCCGCCACCGGGGGCCCAGGCCAGGTCGCCTGCCCTGCCTCGTCCCAGGGGCCTCACCACCACCGTTTGCTTGCTGACCACGTGGGCCTCTGCCTCCCTCCAGCCACAACAATCTGCCCGCGCTCTTGAGGCAGCTGTACCACAGCCAGCTGGAGGAGGTCAACCTGCGCAATTTCCACCAAGGCCACACCAGCCTGAACCGCCTGAGAGACGGCCTCGTGGGCGCCCAGGTACCACGGGGTTTTTATTCTTTGGGCCACACCCAGAGGTGCTCCGGGCTTACTCCTGGCTCTGTGTTCAGGGGTCAACTCTTGCCAGGGTCCTGGGACCATCCGGGGTACTGGATATCAAACCCAGGGGTACTGGATATCAAACCCGTGCAGACGCCTTGCACGCTGTGCTAACTCTGGCTGCAGGATAGGATGTTGGGGATTTATCCCTTTTTTTTTTTTTTTGGTTTGTTTCTGGGCCACATATGGCTGTGCTCAGAACTCAAGAACTCCTGGCTCTGCACTCAAGAATCATTCCTGCAGGCTCAGGGAACCATATGAAATATCAGGGATCACACCCTGGTGTGCAACATACATAGCAAGCACGTTACCCATTGTACCCTCTTCTCAGGCCCCCAAGGTTTATTTTTCTCATTTTTAATTTTTTTTTTTTTTTGCTTTTTGGATCACACTGCAGCAAGGCTCAGGGGTTACTCCTGGCTCTGCACTCAGGAATTTCTCCTGGACCATATGGGATGCTGGGAATCGAACCCGGGTCAGACGCGTGCAAGGCAAACGCCCTACCTGCTGTGCTATTGCTTCAGCCCCTCATTTTTAATTTTAATTTTGTGTGTGTGTGTGGTTGTGGGGCCACACCCAGCTGTGCTCAGGGCTTACTCCTGACTCTGTGCTCAGGGCTCACTCCTAGCGGTGCTCAGGGGACCATAAGTGGTGCCAGGGACTTGACCTGGGATTGGTCTGGTGCATGGTAAGCACGTTAGCCCCTGTACTCTCTTTGTGGCCACTATTTTTTTTTTTGCCTTTTTAAGTCAGATCCGGTGATGCACAGGGGTTACTCCTGGCTCTGCACTCAGGAATTACCCTGGCAGTGCTCAGGGGACCATATTGGATGCTGGGAATCGAACCCAGGTCGGCCGCATGCAAGGCAAACGCCCTACCCGCTGTGCTATCACTCCAGCCCCCCCATGGCCACTATTTTTTATTTTCTAGTGACAGTGGCAATGCTAGAGGCTACACCTAGCCCTGTCGTCTGGCGTCACTCCCCATAGTGTGAGGTCGGCATCATGTGGTGCCAGTCAAACCTGGGTGTTCTGCGTGCAGAGTATGTGCTCCAGCCCAGAGCGCTGTCTCCGGGCCACCTAGAGAGCATGACTTTGAGCAAGACCACCCTCCCCAGTTGGTCACATGGGAACTCTATTATCAGAATGACCCTCCCCCCCCAAAGTGCCATGACATCGATTCGGGAGGGGATGAAGGACCAGGTTTGGGGTGGTATCCAGGTGCCGTGGAATAAGCAGCATATTAGCTAGGACCTCTAGACCCTTGGGGGTGCCATGCTGGCTGTGGGGAGCAGGAAGAGCCCAGGTTGCTTCAGAGTGGCACCTGCTCAAGCTTACCCCCTGAAAATGCGCCCTCCAGTTCTGGTCAGCCTACACTCCGTGTGAGACCCAGGAGCGCGACTCTGTGCGCCTTACCCTGGAGCAGATCGACATCATCCGCCGCATGTGCGACTCCTACTTAGAGCTGGAGCTGGTGACATCGGTCCAGGGTAACTGGGTTGGGTAGGGCCGGGCTGGGACACACTGTCGGAGGCTGAAAGTAACCCCAAACTCCCCACCCCCAGCCCTGAAGAATTCTTCCAAGCTGGCCTGCCTCATCAGCGTGGACGGCGGCCACTCACTGGACAGCAGCCTTGCCATGCTGCGCACCTTTTACCAGCTGGGCGTGCGCTCCTTGACGCTCACACACACCTGCAGCACGCCCTGGTGAGTGAGTGCGGCACGGATGCTGTGGGACTACTGAGGCAGGGATCTGCCCCTTGGCACACGGGCCCAGTCAAGCTGCAGTGAGGAGGGGAGCGGGGGTTCAACAAGAAGACTGGCACACTGGTGCTTGTTTCGGGGACTGCAGGGATAGAGAGTTCGGGGACATCTCTAGACTCTCACGGTCTAGTTATTTCCACCAGTCCTATGTCCCCTGGCTCCCAACATCCCCCCCCACACACTATTCTGCAGGGCTGAGAGCTCCACGAAGGACACCCACCCCTTCAACTTCAACGTCAGTGGGCTGACCAGCTTCGGCGAGGTGAGGGCCCTGGTTCCAGCCCTGTCCCCCCGGGGTACTTGTGTCCCACCTGTTCTACCAGTAGGTATGTGTGCGTGAACGCCCCTGATCAGCTGGGCCTGGGCTCTCTCCCAAACTTGCAGAAGGTGGTGTTGGAAATGAACCGTCTGGGCATGATAGTGGACCTGACCCACGCCTCGCCTGCCACAGCCCAGCAGGCCCTGGAAGTGTCTCAGGCACCTGTGATCTTCTCCCACTCGGCTTCCTGGGCTGTGTGCAAGGACGCCCAGAACATTCCGAATGATATCTTGCTGCTCCTGGTAAGAGCTGGCCTGACCCCTCTGACCCAAGTCAGAGCCCTGTGACCTGAAGCCTGGCTCCTCTGACTCCTGCACACCCCACAGCAAACGGCTCTGTCCCCCGAGGCCACAGTCCACAGCCACTGACCTCTGAACTGTGGTGGGGGGGACATCTAGGGGGCAAATATTTCCCTACCCCTCAGACCCAGGGCCAAGGCACTGCCCCCGCCCCCAGCAAACCAGGCTGAGATTCCATTCCCGCAGAGCTGGGGACCAAGACCAAGAACTCCCTCCCAGGGGCCCGAGGGGACAGCAGGTGGTCTTCCTGGGGATGGAGCTGAGTGTCCGTCTGTCCACCTTGCAGAAGAAGAATGGTGGCATCGTGATGATGTCTTTGTCCGGGGGGGTGCTGACCTGCAACAAGTTAGCCAACGTGTCCACTGTGGCAGGTAAGCCCCTGCCGCCAGGGCTCTCTGAGCAGTGCCCACACGCCCCGAAGCCTGCGGGGTTCCAGAGCAGCTGGTAGCCAGCACAGCATCCCTGCAGCCAGTGAGGGCAGGTACAGAGCACCCAAGGCCCGGTGGCAGTGAAGCCGCAGTCCCTACTGCGATCCTGTCTAAGGGGGCTGGGGGGGTCCTGCCCACCCTCCGTGCCTCTGCGGGGGATCTGCCCAGCACCTGCCCCCTGCCCCCAGCCTTGGGTCCCTTTAATCTCTAGCAGCTGTAGTCTTTGTCCCTCTCATCCTCCACACCCATGTAAAGGTACAGTTTTTTTTTTCATTTCATTTGGTTTTGGGGCCACACCTGGCTGTGAGGGGACTACTCCCAGACTCCCAGCTCAGTGCTCAGGCTGCTCCCAACAGTGCTCAGTGGTACCAGGTATTCAGCCCTGTGAGCTGTCTCCCTGCCCGCTGCCAGGCCCACACACACACAGTGTGTTGGAAGCAGAGTGAGGCCTGGATGGGAAATGACCCCACTAGGTAGCGCTGAGGACAGTGCCATCTCGGAAGTCCCATGAGAGCATTGAGGATAACTTTTGGCCAAATCCAGAGCCTATAGATGGTTTACTAGGTGCCAGGCCTGCAGTGCCCATAGATGCCAAGCAGGGGGAATCAGTGGAGTCTGGGCCTCAGCCCCCACACCCTTGCTGCCTCAGAAGCCCCACATGGGCTGGAGTGATAGCACAGCGGGTAGGGTGTTTGTCTTGCACACGGCCTGACCCGGGTTCGATTCCCAGCATCCCATATGGTCCCCTGAGCACGGCCAGGAGTAATTCCTGAGTGGATGAACCAGGAGTAACCCCTGTGCATCTCTGGGTATGGCCCGAAAAGCAAAAAAAAAAGAACAGAAGCCCCCACACAGCTGCCTCTCTGTCTCCCAGCTCACTTCGACTACATCCGGGCGGTGATAGGCTCCGAGTACATTGGGATCGGCGCAGACTATGATGGGACAGAGCGGTGAGTGCATCCCCGCGGTGCCAGAGCCTCCGGTCTGCTGAGCACTTCGTCACCCCACTTCCAGGGTCCGTTTTCTGGGCTCTTCTGTCGACCTGTGGCCCACTGGGTCCTCTCCAAGTTGTCTGATTGGGTGAAGCCCCAAACAGGCGCACTGACCCACGGCCTGCAGACACGCTGCCCACAGCAGACACTCGGCACTATCTGGTGCGGGCCGGCGTCCTCTTCTCTGTCGGCCGCTGGCTCTCTGCAAGCAGGGCTCAACCCAGCTCTTTTTCTGTTGCTTTCCCCTTCGGTTTGGGGGCCACACCTCGTGGTGCTCAGGGACTGCCCCTTACCTCCATGCTCGGGGTGCTGAAGACCCGGTGCTGCTAGGGATTGAGCCCGGCCTCCTGCATGCAGAGCCTGTAGTTCAGCCCCGGAGCTATCCCCTGACCCATGCCCTCACACACACGAGGCTTGCCCTCCACCACTGCAGCCTGGCTCAGCCCACTACTTCTTCTGGAAAGGAGACAGTACTTACATGCACCAAGAGGCGTAGGTCACCATGTACCTTCGGTGAGCTTGGAGGTTCGGGAGGTTTGGAACCTCCTTTATGGAGGAAGGTTCAGCCTACCCTTCAGTGCTCAAGGCCACTCCTGGCTCTTTGTCCAGGGGTCACTGTTGGTGATGCTCAAGGGACCATATGTGGTGCTGGGGATCGGGTTGGCCACTTGCAAGGCAAGCACCTTACCCTCCGTACTATCTCTCCAGCCCTTTGTTTGCTTGGCCTGGCCATGCTTGGGGGTTGCTCCCAGTGAGGTGCCAAGGAACATGTGCTGTGGCTTGAACCCAGGGCCTTGCGTGCGCGCGCGCGCATGCGCGCGCACACACACACACACACAGCAAATCTCCCACCACTGAGATAGCCCTGGCCTGGTCAAGGAGGCAGGAAGCCGACTTCTGAAAGTGAAAACCAGGCAGATAGGATCAGGGAAATGCAAGTAAGGCATGCACACAGCCAACCCGGGTTCGATCTCTGGCATCCCGTATGGTCCCCTGAGTATCATCAGGGATGATTCTTGAAGTGCAGAGCCAGGACTAAGCCCTGCACATCACCAGGTACGGCATCCCCCTCTCCCCAGGGTAAAATCATTTAGTCCCCTCTAAGTCTCCATTTTTCATAGCCAACCTGGACTGAGGTTTGAGGGGACCCTGGTTCCGAGTCAGGACCAGGGATCAGCGCTGAGGCCCCATGCTGGCCGGCTGGCGGCCACACAGGTTCCCCCAGGGGCTGGAGGACGTGTCCACGTACCCGGTTCTGATAGAGGAGCTGCTGAGACGCGGCTGGAGTGAGGAGGAGCTCCAGGGCGTCCTTCGAGGAAACCTGCTGCGGGTCTTCAGCCAGGTGGAACAGGTGGGCTGGGCCGGGCCACAGCGGGGGTGCTGGGGTGCGGGTCCTGTGGGGCTGCTGACAGCTGCTGCCTGCAGGTACGTGACGAAAAGGGTTTACAAGGACCTCTGGAGGACGAGTTCCCGGATACTCAGCTGAGCAGCACCTGTCGCTCTGTCCTTGGGAGGCAGCAGCTGTCTATGGAGCTCACCACTCTTTCAGGGCTTCCAAACGTCACTGTAGCCACAAAGAAGCCATCCTCCAGCTCTCCCCCCACCGTGGCCCTCAGCTTCCCCGTTCTAGCTGCCTTCCCCAACCTCATTCTGTGGCTCCAGTAGCCAACTTACTCCTACCATCCAGCATGATGGAAGCTGCAGATGCCCTTGGACTCCCCCCCACCCTCACCCCTTCGTCACCATCACATCCTCATGCAGGTACAAACATTGCCTATGAATAAATATTTTGGCAATGCAAGCAGGTGTGGTGCCTTTTTCTGTGGTGGTGGCACAGTCTCCCAAGGATGCGGGGTGTGGGGTGTCTGCAGTTCCACCACCAGGTTCTCCAGGAAGACCTGTTAGCCACGGCCCTGGGAGACCCAGGCTGGGGCTCAGCACTTCACAGACAGAGTAAGACAGACAGGACGATGGAGCCTGTTCTAGAGTCCCTCTGAGACGCTCACCTCAGCCCACAGCCTGACCACCGTCTGCAGATCACCCAGCGAGTTCTCACTGCAATGCCCAAGAAGGATCTTTACTTGGATCACAAATGATCTTCAGTTGTCTTTGAAGGGAGCCCAGAATCCCAGGTCCCATTATGTACCATGCCCACCCCCCCAACAGTTGGACTCTGGACTCTGGACAGCCCTGGGTGTGGGCTCACTCGTCCCCTGTCTTTCTCCAAGAGGTCCAGGCTACTTAGACCCCCTCACTCCCTCGCCTCCCACACCCCACTTACCCCCTGGCCATGAATGGTAATAGTAACTGCAGAAGTCACCAAAAATGTTGGCCCAAGAAATGATATCTAATAATAACATGATGATACATAATGGCTAATAAAAATTGGGCCGGAGAGATAGTATAGCAGGTAAGGCACCTGCCTTGCATGCATCCAACCTGGGGTTCGATTCCTGATACTTATATATGGTCCCCCAAACTAAGCCAGGAGTGATTCCAGAGCACAGAGCCAGGAGTAAGTTCTGAGCACTGTTGGGTGTGGCCCCCAAACCAGACAAAAATAAATTTTAAGAATAATAGTAGGGGCTGGAGCGATAGCACAGCGGGGAGGGTGTTGGCCTTGCAAGCAGCCGACCCAGGTTCGATTCCCAGCATCCCATATGGTCCCCTGAGCACCGTCAGGAGTAATTGCCGAGCGCATGAGCCAGGAGTAACCCCTGAGCATCGCCAGGTATGACCCAAAAAGCCAAAAAAAAAAAATAATAATGGTGAATACTAATAGTTATGCATATCTCGTAAGAGCAGTTTTACACGGGTATTTCAGCAGGGATGCTGCATAAGTTCCCCCCAAAGGCATCTATTAAATTATTACTTATTTACTGGCTTTTGGGGTCACACCCAGCGATGCTCAGGGGTTTTTCCTGGGTCTGCATTCAGGAATCACTCCTGGCAGTGCTCAGGGGACCATATGGGATGCCCGGGATCGAACCCGGGTAGGTCAGGTACAAGGCAAACACCCTACCCACTGAACTATTGCCCCGCCCCCTCCACCCCACAGGCACCCAAGCGCCAAGGCTGGAAGCAGCTGGATGGCCTGGATCCTTCAGCTCCAGGCATGAAAAGGGATGAATCAAGACCCCGAGGAGCGAGGCCCTTCCCTATAGTCTAAAGATCAGGCCACTTCTCAGGGAGCCCAGGTGCGGGAACAGGAAGTGGATGGACCAGGACACAGAGAGCTCAGTGAAGGAGAGGACTGGTTTATCCATATTGAGGGCACCTCTCAGCTTGGTCAGACGGGGACAGGTCCAGGAGGCTTGGAACAAATCCAAAGGTGTTTTAGTGAACGGCTCTCCCTGTATCAGGGTTTCCTGAAGAAAATAATTGTTGGGTCTGAGTGACAATGCAGAGGTTAACACACAGCCAGCCCAGGTTTGTTCCCCAGCACTACTTATAGTCCCCCAAATACCTGTAGGAGTGACTACTGAACACAAAGCCAGGAGTAAGACTTTAGCATGGCTGGATGTGCCTCCACAAAAATAAATAAAATTTCTTTCCAGGCCTTTTGCCAGTCTGGAAATCACATTACCAGTTTTGTGACCTTGTAGTACTTAGGGCTAGTGCTTCATGAAGTGCTGAAACTTGAACCCAGGACCTCACTCAAGCTCTGCTACATGAACCACGTTCCCAGTCCACGGAAACTATCTTGTGTGAAGGATTTTGGCCCAGATCTAACCATGATCCCTCAGACGTTGGGTCCTGACCTCACCCCCTACTCAATCCTTTAGAGCAGCATTTCTCAACCAAGGTCACAGTGAACTGTGGGCACCCCAGGTATCCCAAGGAGGCCACAGATGAGATTAGCATAAATGGAAGTCCCTGGCACAAGACTGGGAGTCCAAACAAAGTTAGAAGGAGGCAATGGCAGGGGAAATGTCGGGAAATACTGTGTTGGTGCTCAGAGGATCATAAAGGATGCTGCGGATCGAACCTGGGTCAGCCTTGTACAGGGCAAACGCACTACCTGCTGTACTATCTCTCTGGCCCCCAAATTGCATTTTTTTCTTTTTGGGTCCCACCAGTGATGCTCAGGGGTTACTCCTGGCTCTGCGCTCAGGAATTACCCCTGGCTGTGCTCAGGGAACCATGTGGGATGCTGGGAATCGAACCTGGGTTGGCCGTGTGCAAGGCAAACACGCTACCCGCTGTGCTATTGCTCCAGCCCCCAAATTGCATTTTTATTTATACATATCAGCGACGGGCCAGAGAGCATTTTTCAAACAGACAACCTGGGTTCCACCCAGCACTACATGGTCCCCCGAGCACTGCGCGGGGAGTAGCCCCTGAAACCTTTGTAGGGTGTTGCAACAAAACACAAACTAGAGTGTTTGGGTAGATTATGGACCCCACACCAAAAAATAAATACGGAATAATTCTGTTAGTGAAAACCTGCTCCTGTGAGCAGGGGCTAAACATTCGTGGAATAGTTGACACATTGGGGTTGGAGGATAGTACAGCAGGCAGGATGCTTGTCTTGCACGTGGCTGCCCCGGGTTCGATCCCTGCCATCCCATAAGGTCCCTTGCGCCCCTCCAGGAGGGATCCCTGAGCACAGAATGAAGTCCTGAGCACCGCCAGGAGTGGCCTCAGATCAATATACCGACTGTTTCCGCACAGGTTGCTTTAGCTGCAGGGCATGAGCTATGTATGCTCCTGTTACTCTGTCCCTCCTGGGTGCTATCAGGAAGAAGCGGGTGGTGTCGCCAGATTCCACCGGTTGCTTCTGACGCAGCCAGGCTGGGTGCAGGGCGCGAAGTGCCACGACCCGACGCTAGTGGGCGCTTTCGCGGACGCGAGGCGGGAAAAGGAGGTCGCCCCCTGGCGTCGGCTCGGCGAGTCCCCGTGCGTCCGTCGGGTCCCCACCCCGAGCCGTTGTCGGCTGGTGCCCCTGGACTTTGCGACTGGCCCCTGCTGCTTGCCCAGCCCCGCGCGTCATGCAGGTCCCCGGTCTCGACGCCCCCCCCCCCCCCAGGCGCTCGCCCCGTGACTCGTGCTGCGTCTGCTGCCCCTGCTGTGGCTGTCGCCGATGGCGAGGCCCGACACCCGCTCCCAGACCACGTCGTCGTCATCAGGAGTCCCCGGCTTCCTGGCCCGCACCGACACGCCCAGCGGCGCGACCACCCCTGGCGCCCCTAGTATGCAGCTCCTGCAGGAGCGGGCGCAGGCCCTGATGCGGGATTTCCCACTCGTGGACGGGTGTGTAGATAGATGCTCGTGCAGGCCTCGTGGCACGGGGAGACCCCACCACTGGCCCGATCCTAGGGAATTTCCCTCCTAGCTGTGCCCCCAGAGAAGCCCTCCCCGTGCACCGTGCCTGGCAGGGTGGGGGCCTGGGCCCACCTCACTCTGCTCCTGCCCGACCTAGCCACAGCAACCTGCCGCAGTTCCGGAAACAGCTGTTGGAGAACAGGCTCCAGGATGTCAACCTGTGCCACTTCAGCCACAGCCTGGACGGCCTGAGGGACAGCCTTGTGGGTGCCCAAGTACCACGGGGCCACGCAGGGGGCCAGGCCTCTGGGTGAGGAGTGATCAGAGGGCACTTAGCTCTCACATGGCTACTGAGGAGTTGGGGGTCTCAGAGGCCATGATCGGTCACCACAGGGAACTCAGGTTCTGTGGAGACTCAGAGAGTGCCCATTGGGTGCTGCTCCCCCCAATGCCACCTTCGCCTTGGGGCGCTCACAGAGCACAGGCACAAACAACAGGCAAGGATGTTCCCTGAGTCCATGGTCTGGCCATTGGTAAGCAACCTGATCAACCAGGTACCAGGAGTACCATGGAGGGCCACTGACCCACATGGATACAGGGTATATGTGCAGTGCAGTGGAGGACGGGGGACCAAGGGCATTGGAGATCACCCCGCTCTCATTCTGTACTCCAGCCTTCCCCCAGTTCTGGTCGGCCTACACCCCGTGCCAGACACAGCAGGGGGACACTGTGCACGGCACGCTGGAGCAGATCGACTTCATATGCCACGCATGCACCTCCTGCAGTGAGCTAGAGCTGGTGACCTGAGTCCATGGTAGCGGGCTGGCGAATGAGGGGCAGGGAAAGTTCGAGGTGGGGGGTTGTCACAATTGTGGTTTGAGTCCTCGCCTTGTGATTACTCCCTCACTTAGGTCTGGAAGACACTCAAAAGGCGGCCTGCCTGATCAGCGTGCACGGCGGCCACTCACTGGTCAGCAGCCTCGCCATGCTTCGAGCCTTCTACCTGCTGGGTGCGTGTGCCCTGGTGCTCACGCACACCTGCAGCACGCCCAGGTGAGCCAGCCTGGTGCCTGTTGGGGCGCCGGGGGGAGGGGGGAACTGGGGGAGCAGAACTGCCAGCTGGCCCAGGTCCTCACTAGAGATGGGGTGACTGGGCAGATAGGGGGACAGCAGGACCCCTCCCCCCAGGCTCTCGATGGCCAGGACATGTGTGTCCTGCAGGGCTGAGAGCTCCACCAAGTTTTGAGAGCACCTCTACACCAACTAAAGAGCACCTCTACACCCGCCAAAGTGGGCTGACAGGCTTCAGCGATGTGAGCACTCCCGTTCCCCCTCCTCCCTGCAGGTCCCAGCACACATAGGCATCCTCCCCCTCCTCCCCCACCCCCTGCAGCGAAACCTGTCCCTACAGCAGGTGCTATGGGAGATGATGGTGGACTTGTCCCACGCGAAGGACGCTTTGGCGCAGCAAAGCCTGCGGGTTTCGGAGGCCCCCGTGATCTTCTCCCATTCGGCTGCCAGGGCCGTGTGTGACTCTGTACTCAACGTGCCTGATGACACCCTGCGACTCCCAGTGAGCCGGCTCTCCTGCCCTCCAGCCCGGGACGAGGCAGGCATCCTCTGAAGCGGCCTGCCAAGACCCTGCTCACCCCTCGACCCAAGGCTGGTTAGCCAAGCCATCTTTGCCATTCAGGGCCCCCATGAGTTCCCTGCAGGCACAGGACCCAGAGAGAAGGCACGTTTCTATCAGATGCCCCAAGGCCCTCACCAGTAGGCCTCTCTGAGTGTCCCTGTGTTGATCCCTACAGAAGCAGAACCAGGGCGTCATCATGGTGATGCTGTCCATGGGGATGCTCCACTGCAACCTGTTGGCCAACGTGTCCACTGTGGCAGGTGAGCCCTATTTTTTTGTGTGTGTTCTGGTGTTTGGGCCACACTCGGCAGTGCTCAGGGCTTACTCCTGGCACTGTTCTCAGGAATCACTCCTGGCAGGGCTTAGGGGACCACACGGGATGCTGGGGATCAAACCTTGGGTACAAGGCAAGTGCCCTACTCTCTGTACTATCGCGCTGGCCCCATGAGCCCCATTTTGACTCTGATGGTAACTCCAGCTTGGGCCTGGGGCTTCTGGGGCTGTCAGGAAGGTCAGGAACTCTAGCATCCCTATTGGCAGTGGGCAACTGCTCAGCACACCAGGGTGTGCCACCCAGATCTGTGCCCGAGTCCTGCAGATGGCTCTGAAGAGCAACCCCTCAGTTCCTTAGTCTCCCTTTTTTGGTTTTATTTTGGGGCCACACCCAGCAATGCTCAGGGGTTACTCCTGGCTGTACACTCAGGAATTACTCCCAGCAGAGTTCTGGGGACCAGGAAGCAAGGTGTGCGCAAGGCAGATGCCCTACCTGCTGTCCTATCTCTCCAGGCCCCCAGTCTCCCTTTTGCTTGCCATCCTGAACTGTTCTCATCTCCCCACTTCATTGGACAGGACAGACAAAATCCCCACCCCCAGCTCTTGGAGGTCCCAGCAGCAGCACCGTGGGGTGGTTCTGGAAGGTCCATTGTAGGCCCAGAGTCCAGTGTGCAGCCTCTGCAGAACTCGCACCTGGCCAGGACACCTGTGGCAGTGACTCTGTGACCTGGAGCGGTGGGCAGCGGCCTTGGCCAGAGACTACCTCCAGCCCAGCTGCTTAACCACTGCTTAACCTTTGTAGATCACTTTGTCAGATTTTTTTATTTGTTTGCTTTTGGGTCACACCTAGCAACGCACAGGGGCCACTCCTGGCTCTGCACTCAGGAATCATTCCTGGCAGTGCTCAGGGGACTATATAGGAGGCTGGGAATCGAACCCGGGTCGATTTGCATGCATTTGCATGCAAGGCAAATGCCCTACCTACTGTGCTATGGCTTCGCTCCAGCCCCTGTAGATCACTTTGACCACATCCGGGCAGTCATTGGATCGGAGTTCATTGGGATTGGCGGAAGTTATGATGGGGGTGACCGGTGAGTGTGCCCCTGGGTCTGCCTTGTTCTTTGGTCTCAGGTCCCCGTCCTGTGGGCCTCCACCCTTCTGGCCTCGACCCAGGCTCTGGTTCCAGCGCACCTGACATTTCCCTATTCCTGGGGCCCTGTTGTTGGACTTTCCCCAGGTCCTCGTGGGCCCAAAAGGACTGACTGGCTCCAGGGCAAGTCCTCCCCTCCCCCGGCAGTGCTCTCTGTCCAGCACCTGCTCCGGCTTGCAGTCCCATGTTCAGGAGCTTCTATGGGTGCAGTGAGCAGCCCGAAGAACCAATCTGTGGTTTCTGGGACCGGGGAGGCGGGGGTCGGGGAGACAGTGGGCCCCAGACCGGAATCAGCGCTGAGGCCCCATGCTGGCCGGCTGGTGTCCACATACCCGGTTCTGATAGAGGAACTGCTGAGACGCGGCTGGAGTGAGGAGGAGCTCCAGGGCGTCCTTCGAGGAAACCTGCTGCGGGTCTTCAGCCAGGTGGAACAGGTGGGCTGGGCCGGGCCAGCAGATGATCAGCGGTGCATGCCGGTGGGGGGGGGAGGCCTGTGGGAGGCACTGACCACTCAGCATCACCCCCAGGTGAGAGAGAAAAGCCGTGGGCAGAGTCTTGCAGAGCAGAGCAAGTTCCCAGGTCAGCACATGGAGTGTCTTGCCAGTCCCACCTCCACGCTCAGCAGAGGGGACACCCGCCCAGGAGGAAGTGGTCAACCAACCAGGTGCTCCAGAGGCCTATAGAGACCTCCCCGCATCTCGTCATCAGCCTCGTGACTTTGGCCACCTTCGCTGCCTTCATCTTGTGGTACCGGTGACCCGGACCTCTCTCCAAGGTCACCACAGCCGAGTCTCATGCACTCCTGCTCTTCATCGGCAGAAGCATAAACATAATAAATGTTTTCTGCATGCACCCGGAGGGAGTGTCCTTTGTTCTGTGTGGGGGCAGCCAGTGGGCTCTTGGGTGAGGGGTCTGGTCTAGCTCCAGCCACTCCAGGCAAGTGGTCACTCTTTGCCTCCAGCTGTCAGGAAAGACAGGCATCTTCCCTATTATTTTTATTATTGCTATGAAATGTGACCATGATCCGTGATGTATTCGATATGCCAAGAACAGTAACAACAAGTCTCACAATATGTTACTGGTGCCCGCTCGAGCAAATCAATGAACAACGGGAGGACAGTGCTATAGTGCTACTATGAAATTTAATTAATTTAATTATTATAGGGACCAGAGCAACAGTGCAGTGAGGTACTTGCCTTGCATGCAACTGATCTGGGTTTGATCCCTGGCACCACCTATGGTTCCCCAGTCCCCATCAGGAGCGATTCATAAGTGCAGAGCCAGGAGTAAGCCCTGAATACTTCCAGATGTGTCCCCTATCACTATCACTATCACCCCATTGTTCATCGATTCTCCTGAGCAGGCCCAGTAACGTCTCCATTCGTCCCTGTCACATGCTAGTGTAGTCCGATGACATATTGGGGGCTCCTTCAGGATCAGGGGAATGAGGATCATTCATTGTTACTGTTTTTGACATATCAAGTACACCGTGGTTAGCTTATCAGGTTCTGCTGTGTGGGTGGGATACTCTCAGTAGTTTGCTGGGCTCTCCAAGAGGGATGGAAGCTTTTGGGGCAGCCTTTAATCACCTTTACACGAATATAAGCGGGTTCCTAGTCAGGCATATAGGCGGGTATGATACTCTCAGTAGCCTGCTGGGTTCTCTGAGAATGAAAACTAGAGAGTAAGAGGTCTAAAACTCTAAAACCGGGAGCTTGGTTTTAGAGTCTCTGGATCCTGGCCGTTGATGGGGTTACATGGCAGTTGGTGGGTGTAACTGTCTAGCTACTGGAAGGTGGGGGAGCTGGGTGGAGGAGGCCCGGCAGTCCCGAACTGAGCAGGCTTGGAGATCTCAGCCCTGGGTCCCGCACACCTGGGTTCCTCTGCCGGTTCCTCGTCCAAGCGTGTGGAGAGTGGTCTCAGCATGGCTTTGGCCCCTAAACTTTTTAAAACATTCGTTATATTTTGGGTCACATATTTACAAAGTTAGCTTTGTGGTTGGGTGTTTTGGGGGAATGGGGGTATGCGTACCAAATTACCTTGTTTGAAGGGCAAAATAAAACTGAAGTAGAAAAGATAAAGGTAACCCCAACATGCACTTACTGCCCTGGTGACCCAGAGGCCACCTATAGCTATGAGAAGCAAATATAAGGTTTAGCTCTCCTTGTCACAATGTCACTGTGTCGCATGTATGCTTGTCACAGAGATACTCTGCCAGGCCAGATTCAGGGGCCCCCTTCTTGCACAAGTTGTTTACATGGTCATCCAGTTCTTTTTTTTTTTTAATTGAATCATCATAGGATAAACCATTACAAAACTGTTCATGATTGGGTTTCAGTCATACAATGCTCCATCACCCATCCTCCCACCAGTGCACATTTCCCACCACTGTTGCCCCAAGCTTCCCTCTGACCATCCCCCAACAAACCACCACCACCTCTGCCCCCCGAGCCTGCCTCTATGGCAAGCACTTTTTTTTCTCTCTCTCTCTCTCCTTTTGTGTAGTATGGTTTGCAATACAGATGCTAAGAGGTCATCATGTTTGTTCAGGGAGTTCAGTATTTTTATCGCAAAGGTATAGCTGAAGTAGCTTTTTTAGGTGGGTGGCAGCTTTGGGGTGGAGAAGTGACTGCCAGGGCATCCGGAAGTATAGGGAAGTGGGAGAAGGTAACTCATTTCAACTCTAAGAAAAGCCTGGAGATTTCTTTCACAAAACCCGCATACCCGAATTTTCAGCAGATTATATCTCTGTGAGGTCTGTCCTCAGATGGTGGAGTCCGGCCAGTGGCATGGCAGAAATTTTGGATTGTGGGAGGAAGTGGCTGCTGTGTGCCCTGTTTGGGCCAGCACTGGGCTATACCACTCCCCTCTGATGTTCCCTGGATTATTCAGCCATGCAAGGGTTTGAGATTTACTGCAGCTTTTTTTTTATCTCAAGATTTATTTATGGGTCTCTGGAGCAATAAATAAAAGCTAGAAAAGCTTACATGGTGACTCCTGGAGCCTCCGGGAGTATAAGGGAAAGGGGGGAGGTAGCCCATCCCAACTCTGAGAAAGCCTGGAAATTTCAGTCACAAAACCCACATACTGAATTTTCAGCAGGTTAATTTCTCAGCAAAGTTCATCTCAAGAGGATGGGGTCTGGGTGGGGAAATGGCATATATTTTGGATTGTGGGAGCAAGCAGCTGCCAGGAGCCCTGTTTGGGAGGACACTGGGCTAACCCGCTCCCCCTCCGATGTGCCCTAGATTATTCAGCCTGCATACCACCAGTTCTTTGATGGGCTTCACCTGCTTATCCAGGGAATGAGTCTTTTTTGTCTGTGGCCAGTTGGTGTAATTTGGGTAGTGGCTGACTCATACTTTTCTCCAAGTGTAATGTACTCCATCTCCTTGGGCCTGGGTTTTGGATCTGAAATAAGCTCTTCCCACTGCAGTGCTTCTGCAGCTTCATCAGCTTCTCGACATGTCCCATGATCTCATGAGACTTATGAAGAGAATATTGGGCAAAGTTCTTCAAAGCCACACCATCACGGACAAAATAATGAGACAGACATGTAGATGCAGGTGGCGTAAAGGTCTACTGGTCTGTTGGTGAACGGTGGCCTCAGTCCTGCAAGTAGCTCTGGCATGGTGGTCATTACGCCCTGGTTGTTATGCTGTGGCCAGGGCTTCGGGTGGTCTAGAGCGGCTTCAAGGGGAGGATCGTAAGTTCTGAGCCACACAGGTAGGAGAAGAGCGCTGGACACCACGGACCTCTCTGCACGTTTGACTGGTTTGTATTTTTTGTTTTGCGGGGGGGCTACATTCAGCAATACTCAGTGTTTACTCCTGGCTTTGTTCTCAGGATCTCTCCTGGCAGTGCTCAGGAGTGATATATGTGGTGCTGGAGAGCAAACCTGGGTCAACTGCATGCAAGGCAAGCGCCCTGCCCACGGTACTATCGCTCCGGGCTGGAGCAATAGCATAGGGGGGGAGGGGGTTTGTCTTGAATGCCAACCCAGGTTCAATTCCTCCATCCCTCTTGGAGAGCCCGGCAAGCTACCGAGAGTATCCCGCCCGCATGGCAGAGCTTGGCAAGGTCCCTGTGGCATATTCAATATGCCAAAAGCAGTAACAAGTCTCACAACGGAGACATTACTGATGCCCGCTCGAGCAAATCAATGAACAACTGGAGAACAGTGCTACAGTGCCCTCCCAGTCCTCAGTCCCACAGCGACCTCTATGTTTAAGGTTTTGACATGCACAATTACCACACCTCAGCACTTTGGTGAAAGTGCCCAAGACCCTCCATGTCCACCAGTCTCTTTCACTTCCAGTTCACCTCTTCATTCCCCCACTCACTTGGTGTTATTTTATAATCCAGGGCCAAGCAAAGTGTTCTTTTTTATGTGAGGTTGTGGGGGCTACTCTGCTGGGTTCAAATCGTGGTCAAAGTGTATACTCAGCCTACTGAGTGCTTTCCAGCCCCTTACTGTATTCTTTTTGTTATATTGGGGTAACAACCAGCATTGTGCAAGGGATACTCCTGGCTCTGTACTCAGGGGTTACTCCTGGTGACGCTCAGGGGATTATTTGCAGTGCCAAGAATTGAACTTGGGTCAGCAGCATGTGAAGCAAGTGTCTGAACCCCATACGATGTTTCCAGCCCTTCCGTACCATATTCTTCTCTGTGTTTTTATTTGGGGGCCACACCTGGCAGTGCTCAGGGATTTCTCCTGACTCCACACTCAGGCCTGTGCTCAGGCCACTCCTGGCAGTGCTTGGGGTTCAGGCAGTGATCCAGGGTAAGCTCTGTACTTGCTGCATTGTTGCTCTGGCCTTCTGTACCATATTCTCCTTCTATTTTGGTCACATTCAGTAATGCTCAGAGGTTATTCCTGGCTCTGCACTCAGGAATGACTCCTGTCGGTGCTCGGGGGACCACATGGCATGCTGGGGATCAAACTTGGGTTGGGCACCTTACCCACTTTACCATTCATCCAACCCATCTATACCATATTTTTATGCTAAAATCCTGGACCCACAGAAGTGTTCAGTGCCATCTCATTAATGAGTGCGGCATGGGTTCTCAATCTCTCCCTGAAAGGTTTAAATGGATTTTGTTTGGGGGCTATACCCGGCAGTGCTCAGGGCCTACTCCTGGCTCTGAACTCAAGGATCACTCCTGGTGGGCCTCATGGCGGGGGAGGGGGGTGGAACGGGATCATACGGGGTGCCAAAAGTTGAAGCTGGGTGCAAGGTATGCACCCTACCCACTGTATCCATGCTTTGGCTCCTAGAGTTATCTGGGAGAGGGTGGCTAGTGACAGGAAAGGGGACATGAGACATTTCTGGGTCGCAAAGAAAATGTCGTATCGTGATCTGGATGTTGGCTTTAGGGGGTGCTCATTTCATCTCTTCTACCATACCAACTTACAGTCTGTCAAATTTCCCCTGCCGGCTTCCCTCTGCTGCTGTCTTCTCAGTGGCCAGGAAGCATGCCTGCACCTGGCTGTGCTGCTCCCAGTTTTATCTTGCTGCTTGCCTGGGCTCATGTGCCAGGCCGTTAGGCCCACAGGCTTGATGTGGGCGGTGCTCACTCACCCAGGGGGGCACTCCTGGAGTTGTGGTGCCTGTGGGGGTCGTGCCCCTTTAATGGCTTGCACACACCTGGCCAGTGCAGCTGGTGATCACTAAGGGCTGCTGGGGTCCCATAGCGTAGCTGCCAGGCACCAACAGCAGAACCCACAGCACAGTGTGGCGCCAGGAGCTGGTCTCTCGCCTTGAGCTTGCAAGTCAGATGCTCGAAGCGCCTTAGCTATTCCTCAGCCCCTGGGCTTTCCTTTTCCCCCCGATTCTTTCTTTATTTTTATGGGGGTGGATGGGGATCACAGTGATGTTCAGGGGCTATTCCTGACATTCCCCAAGGTTCAATCCTGGCAGTGCTCAAGGGGACATGGGGTGCCAGGGATTAAACCCTGAGATGTGCTCAGCCTTTAAACCAGCTCTGGCCAGCCCTGATTTTTTTCCTCCTTTGTCTCTTTCTTTCACTCTTTCTTTGTGGGGTAAAGGTTGGGTTACACCCAGCCCAGCTTTGGGATTACTCCTGGCTCTGTGCTCCAGAATCACTCCTAATGGTGCTCAGGGGACCTAAATCATTCCTGATCAGGCACCTAAACTTCTGTACAATCTCTCTGGAACTTTCTTTTTCTCTTTCTTAGTAGTAGGAGGGATTGAACTCAGGGCCTCACTTTACCACTGAGCCACAGACCAGACCAGAAAGGTCGTTTGTTGATTTCAGTTTTTGCCTTTGGGCCACACACTGCAATGCTCAGGATTACTCCTAGCTCTGTGCTCAGGATTGCTCCTACCGTGTGCAAGACAAGTTCCGTATTCCTTGTGCTATCTCTCTGATTCCAGAATGTTTTATTTATTTTTTGGCTTTTGGGTCACAGCCAGTGATGCTCAGGGATTAATCCTGGCTCTGCACTCAGGAAGCACTCCTGGCGGTGCTTGGGAGACACGGGTCAGCCACGTGCAAGGCAAATGCCCGACCCACTGTACTATGACTCTGGCATCAAAGTCATAGTCATTTTAAACTTAAGAACAATTAGGCACCCTTATTTTATTTATTTTTGGTTTGGGGGCCACACCTAGCAGTGCTCAGGACTTACTCCTGTCTCTGCTCAGGGATCACTCCTGGAGGGGCTCAGGTGATTATATGGGATGTCGGGGGGTCAAACCCGAGTTGGTCGTGTGTCCTTCCCGCTGCACTATCACTCCCACCTTCTCTTTAACTGTTTTTGGGGCTATCCTCAGCATTACTCATCCCTGAAACCCAGTCTGTGGTTTGATGGTTCCATCCATAGGCACCACTGCACTCAGATGTGCCCCTGAGCACAGAGCCAGGAGTAGTGTGGCCCCCACACCAGCCAACCAACCAACCAACCAAAACAAAATCACATTGAAAGCAGGAACTGAGGATACCAAAGTAACAGGGTCAAGGAGGGAGGGACAGGAACAGCATTAATCAAAGATGCTGCCAGTTCCCTGCTCCCTGCACTGGGAACTTGGAGGGGCAGGTGCTCAAGGGACACCCCAGGAAGGAGGATGGGGGCGTGTCAGGCTGCTGGAGGGCAGTGTGTCCAGGGTTAAGAGGAGGGGTTCATGGGGTGGGCACCCGGGTGGCATCTTCTGCCCGAGAGTGAGGATGTGAAAGGACTGAAACATCTGTGCCTGGAGAGGAGCGGGGCGCAGGGTCTTGTGGGCCTGAGAGGTGTCTGGGCCGTGCTGTGGCTCTACCCAGGGCAGGCGGTGCTGCAGGCCTGTTTGGAGGCGCTGCTGAAGGAGGATGACTTGGCGCCGGGAGCTGGCTCGCAGGATCAGCCGCTGTCCCTCCGACGGGCCAGGGGAGGGGGGCGCAGAGTCAGCGGTCCTGCCGGATGCTTCTAAGACTCCAAAGTCCCGAGCCCCATGACAGGGCGGAAAAATGGGAGACGGGAGAAGTGAAAGAAGCCCTGGGGTGCCCCGATAAGAGACCCAAGTTGAAAGGACTGACTAGATGTTTCAGATAAGCCAACAAGGTCAGTTATCTGACGCCCCAGAAAGCGAAAGAAAAGTTCTCGGCGGAGGAGCAAACAGCTTGAGTCAAGGAAGCCGGGGAGGTGAGGCGGTAACAAAGGCGAGGGGCGAGAAGTCGATTCGGGAGTCCGAGAGGGTGTCCCGCATGGGCCGACCAGGCCGGCGGAGGGGGGCGCAGCCCGGGGACTGCGGCGCGGGTGGCCGCGGCGGGGCAGGACCGGCCTTGGCCAGGGTCGCGGTGTGAGCCCGCGGATGCCAGTGGGGCGGGGAAGCGGCGGCGGCCTCGGGCTCCGGCCAGGCGCATCCTGGCCCGGGACAGAAACGGGCAGAAACGCGGCCGAGCGCTCGCCGGGCACCACGCGCCCCGTCTCGGCGCGCCCGAGGAGCGCCCCAGCGTTGGGGGCGCGCATCCCCCACCCCATTTCCTAAGGCCCCCCGCGCAGCCGAGGCTCCGAGAGGACAGAGCCCCGCCGAGAGCCGCACAGCCGGCCCCGGGACCGCCCCGGGGGCTTCGCCGAGCCCCTCCTGCTCCCCCGCCCCGAGGGGCGGCCCGGGGGGCGGGCGGAGGAAGTGAGCGCAGCGGGGAGGAATGCGGCGGGCGGGGCGCGGCGGCCCGGAGCGGCGGGGACAGGCGGGCGGGCGGGCGGCCGGGGTGGCGGGGCGGCCGGGCCGAGCGCGCGCGATGCCGCACTTCACCGTGGTGCCGGTGGACGGGCCGCGGCGCGGCGACTATGACAACCTCGAGGGGCTCAGTTGGGTGGACTACGGGGAGCGCACCGAGCGGGAGGACTCGGACGGTGAGGGCGCGCCCGACGGGTCCCTGGCGGGGGCGGGGGGCCGGCCACGCGGGGCCGCGCTCAAGCCGACGCGCGCACGTCGGTGCGGACCGACTAGTCGATCCCTCCTGATCCCCGGATCCCCCCACCCCCACCCCCGCTCCGCGCTCGCAGATCACACAGTCCCGGGCCGCGGCGCCTCCGGGCCGCGCGTCTTCCCCTCCCCGGCTCCTCCCTTGCGGGCCGCGGGCGGGGGCTGTAGACGTGGCCGCCCGCGCGCCCCGGGCGCCCGCCGAGCCCTCGGCGCCGGCCCGTTGCGGGGCCCGGAGCACGGCGACAGTCCCCGATCCCCGATCCTTGCCCTCCAGCAAACCGACCCCAGACTCTGCCTAGTTCCCCAGTTTGAGCTGCAGGGTCTGCGTCCCCCACCCGCCCCCGCGGGTCCCTTGCGTCCCCTCCCTAGTCCGTCTCGCTGGCAGAGAAAGGGGTGCCTTGTCCGAGGGCCTCTGTGCGCCCTCCGGGCCGTGCCAGTTTAGATCTGGGGAGCCGCGGGCATCTGTGGCTCGGTCACGGCTTCGCGTGAATTGGCTGGTTGGATGTTCCCAGCTCCTGCCCGGAGGGAGAGGAAGGCGCGGACTTGCCGCGTGCCTCTGGGGGAAGAACCATGGGGTAAGACTCTAGTCCAGGTGTGCGGGCTGGACCTGGAAGTAAGTCCCTCTGCTCTGGTCCCGTGCTGGCTTCGCGCCCCTTTCTCCATCTTCCACCCCAGCCACCCCAGAAGGTGGTAGCCTGGGAGGGTGCAGCCCGCTGTGCTGGTGTAACTGTGTTTGTCCAAGTGCGTGACAGTAAGGAAGCACCTTCTCTCGGCCACAGCTGACACGTGTCAAGTGATACGTGACAATGATTTCTGTTTGTCTTGTTTGAGCTAATGGCCGTACTCAGGTGGCTGATGGGGCGGTTCCGGGCTCGGCCCTGAGATGCGCCGCTGACTGGGCCCAGTGGTGATGGATGCGGAACTGTATGGGGCTCCCAGGCTCCAGGTGTTCCTGGCAGGGCAGGGGGGTTGGGGTGGGGGCTGGAACCTGGATCTTTACACATGCAAGGCAGCACCCCTGACTCCTGAACTCTGTCCCCAGCCCCCAATGACGTGATATATATGACTGATGAGTTCCTGATGGGGACCTGACTGAGGTCACCCATGCCAGCTGGGGGTGATAGCTGTATGTTCCCAGTGATCAAGTGAGGGGGACAGTCAAAGGGTGTGTGTGTGTGTGTGTGTGTGTGTGTGTGTGTGTAGTGGGACTGGACCAAGGGTGTGTGTGTGTGTGTGTGTGTGTGTGTGTGTGCGCGCACGTGTGTAGGTGGAATAGGACCAAGGGATGTGTCTGTGTGCTTGGAGGTGGGTCAGGACTGAGGTGTATAGCAGGGCAGGATGGAGACAGGGCTGCTGGATCAGGACGTGCTCTGGGCTTGTGCCACACCTGCCCCCGCCCTGCTGCCCAGCTCAGAGCAGGTGCCTGTATCTCTCCTCACTATCAGCCCAGACTTTCCTCTCCAGAGGCTGGGCTGGGCTGCCTCCTGGGGATCCCTGTGGGCCAGTGGGCTGGCAGAGCCAAACCCAGCCTGTGGCCCCGCCTCGGCCTCTCCCAGGGTGCCGGCAGGGACCTGGAGTCACATTGACTCTGTCCTGCCAGGTCCCTCTGGACTGGTCAGCTCCTCCCACCAGTCCCCCCCCCCCCTTCCTCCTCTCAGCCAGATCTTGACTTGCCTCTGCGGGATGGGGGACACTCTGCGCCCGGGTGAGTGGGATCTTTCTTGGTGGGGACAGCAGCAGGTTGGGGGCACAAAGAGAGTGAGCTTCAAATTCGTCTCTTGGGGTCCCTTATCTAGGTGCCTGAATCCCAAGGCCCACACCTTTTACTCTACGGGGCAAGGCTGGGCTTGTTTATGTAGCCCACAGGGACCTACAGACAGGGTGTGGAAGGTTCTAGAGGGGGACCCGGGTGGATGCCTATGAGCTCAGGGCATTGTCACTCCGGTCACCACCTGCAGCTGGTGTATTTTATAGCTGCTGGCAGGGGCACCCGTATGTATCTACCTCATTAGCGCTCCCCAGGCCCACACTATCTTCGGGGTACACCAGGGGGCTCAGGTGGTATCTGAGCACTTTCAGCCTGGCAGGCAGGCCCAGACCTGCCCTGGAATTTTTAGAATAGCTGAGAGCAGTACAGACATCCAGTGACTGTTTAGACACCCCCCCCCCATTCCCACAATCCCCTCTGTCCTTAAGCAAGGCTTTGGGGAGCCCTGAGGAGTGCCCGCTGGGTGTCTGGCACCAGACTCTCCCTCTTCAGTGTACCTGGGTGGTCTGGAGGGTGGGGGAATGAGGCAGCACAGAGAAGCCAGAGGTTGCCTTGGGGGACAGAAGGAAGGGTGGGAATTGCCACAATTGCCAGCACATCCCGGACACCTCTGGTTACAGGCCTATGCTCTGTCCTGGGGGTGATTCTGCAGGGCCTGGGCCCAGAGCTGAGGTAGGGAACTGGCAACTCAAGCTTCTACCTGGCTCGTGTCGATCCCGGGACCCAGGACTGGCCCTGGTGACATTCATTCCCTTGGGGTTCCTCTGAGTTTTCGTCCCATGTTTTGAAAAGGGGGTACATGATAGCCCCATGGTGAGTGCTGGAGATCTACACAGCCTTTCAGGGCTCTGAGTTGCCCTAGAGTTGGGACAGCAGATGGGCTGAGTCTTAGAGGACCATCCAGAAGGACTTGGGGAGAACTTCTCAGCTCTGCGTTTCCTAGATACTAGAGCAGTTTCCTCAGAGACAAGGCAGTGATGGGGTAGGCTTCATGGCCCAAGTTTAGAAAAACTTGTAACTTTTTTGTTTTTGGACCACACCTGACATTGCTCAGGGCTTACTCCTAACTCTATGCTCAGAAATCACTCTTGGTAGGCTCAGGTGCCGGGGATCGAACCTAGGTTGGCTGCATACAAGAAAAGTACCTTACCACTATACTATCTCTCCTGCTACAATATTTTTTAATTTGATTTTTTTATTTTAATGTATGAGTATTGCTATTTATTCAGCCTAATTTTATTTTTTACCTCCAATAACTTGCAACTTATTTTATTTTATTTTATTTTTTGCTTTTTGGGTCATACCCGGCAATGCACAGGGGTTCCTCCTGGCTCTGCGCTCAGGAACTACCCCTGGCGGTGCTCAGGGGACCATATGGGATGCTGGGAATAGAACCCGGGTTGGCCGCGTGCAAGGCAAATGCCCTACCCTCTGTGCTGTTGCTCCAGCCCCTTGTAACTTATTTTGAACCTAGTTCCCCCAAAGGATCAGGAGAGAGATGCAATAAAGTGCCTCCCCAGAGGCTCGAGGTGAGAAAGCTCAGAACCTTGTATTGAAAAGGGAGGACTGAGATGAAGCAGATGGTGGTTGTGTAAGGAATAAATTTAGCTTAGAGATTCCTGGCAGTCAGGGCAGACAGGGAACTAAGACGAGCTCTCTGTCATTGTCATCATTGAAGCCTTTATTCAGCAGACTTTCTGGGTCACCAAAAGTCCAAGAGTAGTTTTCAGTGGCTTCTCACTAAAGCCCGTCCTTGTAATGAACAAAGTTATTGGGTTTGAGATTTTTTTTTTCCTTTGTGGCTCCTTATCCCGAGGGAGCAAGCCTCAAGGGCAGAGCAATGTAGAAGCATGTCTGAGGAATTCAGACCCCTGAGAGTCTTTGACACTATCTGGTGGGGCTGGCTGACTTTCTCACTGCTTTTATTGGTTTTTGTTGTTTTGTTTTGGGACCACACCTGGCAATACTCAGGGGTTACTCCTGGCAATGCTGGGTGGGTAGAGACTATATGGGATGCCAAGGACTGAACCTGGGTAAGCTGTGTGCAAGGCAAGTGCCCTATCTGCTGTACTCTCTCTTCGGCTCCACTTCTCACCGCTTTTGTCTATGGTACTCTTGTGAGGCCTATGGAACTGAGCCGTGTGGCCCCCACACTGGTCTAGTTTGCTCCAGGAGACCTTGGCTGCTTCCAATGGCTGTGGGGAACAAAGGCCTGACTGCCCTGGAAACAGCTGTCATCATGCCTTACCTGTACCGTGCAGCTCCTGCTGAGTGACGGCTGGCTCAGAGAAGACGAGTTCAGTGTCAGTGATGGCAAGAGGAGAAGGCAGGGAAGGATGGATCCTGAGTATTCTTAACTGCAAACACAAATGAACTGTGGCTTTTTTAGCAGAAAAGGTTGGCAGGTAGCTTCCCCCAAGCCACGTCTAGACTATCTACAAGTCTGGGTCAGTGATGACACCGTCACTTGCCACCAGTCCAGCACTGCTGGCCCCGTTGCTGGTCTCCAACATAAATGTGGCTTGAGCCAAGACGCCAGCTTCCTAACCGTTGGGAGGCCTTGAACCAGTGCAGCTGCTGCCAAGTTGTACAGAGGAGAAAAAACAACTAGAAAAGAAAGACTTGGGGCCGGAGAGATAGTACAGTAGGTAAGGCATGTACTTCCCTTCCCTTTAGTCTGTTGAGTGTGGGGCTCAATCCCTGGCACTGCATATGTTCCCCCCCGCCCCAAACCTAGTCAAAAATGCCCGAGCACAGATTCTAGAGTAAAGAACAGCCGGGTGTGGCTCCAGAGTTACCAGGAGTAAATTCTGAGAGTCAGCGGCGTGCAAGACAAGACTATCCCCTGCTCTGGTGTAAAAAAATAGTAAAGAAAATAGTTTTATTGAAAGAAAAAATCATGGCTTAAGAAAAAAAAAATCCCTATTTTTATTTTTTTTTTTGTGGGGGGCACACCCAGCAGTGCGTAGGGGTCACTCCTGGTGGTGATCCGGGGACTATATGGCATACTGGGGATCGAACCCGGGTTGACTACGTGCAAGGCAAGTGCCTGACCCACTACTATCGCTCCAATCTCCCCCCATCCCCGCTTATTTTTCACACTGGAAAGTGTAGCGGGTCTGAATGCGTCGTCTGAGCTTCCGTTTCCCGCAGTGCATGTTGGCCCTGGTAGCTCCCTAGGCACTAGAAACAACTAAAAGTTCCGGCCCCCACCACCACATGGTTTCTTAGGGCCGAGCACTGCTTCATCCCGGGGTTGGACGTAGCAGGCCGAGGCTGGAGTTGGCCACACACCCAACCTGGTCCCGCGAGGTCCGCTTCCACCCGCGCCTTCCACCGCTCGCTCGGTACATGCTGGGGGTAGCCCCAGGACGCCAGCGTGTGCCCGCGTGGTGCATGCTGGGGGGGTAACCTCGGGACGCCCGCGCAATGCATGCTAGGGGTAGCCCCGGGACGCCCGCGCGGTGCATGCTGGGGGTAGTCCCGGGACGCCCGCGTGGTGCATACTGGGGGGTAACCCCGGGACGCCCGCGCAATGCATGCTGGGGAGTAGCCCCGGGACGCCCGCGCGGTGCATGCTGGGGGTAGTCCCGGGACGCCCGCGTGTGCCCGCGTGATGCATACTGGGGGGTAACCCCGGGATGCCCGCGCGGTGCATGCTGGGGGTAGCCCCGGGATGCTCGCGTGTGCCTGCGTGGTGCATACTGGGGGGTAACCCCGGGACGCCCGCGCGATGCATGCTGGGGGTAGCCCTGGGACGCCCGCTGGCCATGGCAGCTAAAGGCATCCTGTGTGGCTTCATCTACCTGAAGGGCAGAGCCCGGGCGGGTCCTGAGGACACAGAACCCTTGGCGCCCAGCGCCCTGGGTATTCAAGAAGGTCCTGGAGCGGGGGAGGGCGACCCAGAGGGGCCCCTTCAGGCACGTGGCTAGCCAGGGAGTCTCGGGTCTTCACCCTGGTGTGATGCCCAGGGCTTGAGTCCTCATCCATTACCAGCCCTGGCCCTGATTCAAGGAGGCTGTTAGGGTATGAGGGGGAAACTGAGGCTCAGCCTGGTCACACTGGCCCCCAGAAGGCTCCAAAAGAGCTGGAGCCAGCTAGTAACGGGGTTCTGTTTTCTCTGCCCACAGGTCATGGCAACCACCGGGAGAACAGCCCTTTCCTCTGTCCCTCCGAGGCTTCCCGAGGCAGTGACTACTATGACCGGAACCTGGCACTGTTTGAGGTAGCTGAGGATTCGTTCTGGGCTGCAGGTGTGGCAGACAGGTGGGCGGGCAGGGGCCTGTCCTGACCGGGCCTCAACTAGGCGGGTGTCTCGACTCCACCTCCAGTCTCCCTGGTCTGTCTCGTTCCCTTGGCAGCCCCGCTGCGGTTCCCAGGGCCCTTTGAACTGCAACTGCTCTCTCAGAAGCCACTCAGCCTCACCTGCCCTCGACCAAACGACCCTCCTCTCAGAATTGTTCCCTTCAGGATTGTCACTCTCCTCTCTTCTCCCAGGCCTGGTCCCTCCCCTCCTGCACTTTCTACTTCCTGTTCACCGAGCCCCCTACCTTCTCACACTTGCCTCCGCTCTCTCTCTGGACACAGTCCCAGTGCTGAACTTGAAAGTTATCCTTTTCAGAGTTGAGCTCAGAAACGTCCTGGATTTAAGACAGAATTTAAACAGATGAGGCTAAGGGAGCTTAAGGAGCTGAGCACATGCTTTGAGGAGACCTGGGTTTGATCCCCATCACTGCATGGTCCACATGGTCCCCAAAGCACTGCTCTGTGTAGCCCTCAAAGCAAAAGAACTCTGACCCACACATTCACCACGCCCCCCACCCCCACTCAGTGTTTCAGAAGCTCCTTAAGCCCACATCCCACATCTTGAACACCTGCATCTTCCTTTTTTGTTATTGTTTTTTGCTTGGTTTCTGAGCCACACCCCCAGTGCTCAGGGCTTACTCCTGGCTCTGTGCTCAGGCGACCGTGTGTGTCACCGGGATCGAACTCTGGTAGGCCATTGTGCAGGGTAGGCATGTCACCTGCTGTACTGTCTCTCCGTCTCTGCGCTTTCCCTTCAGAGGCCAGTTTCTCCTTGTGTGTAGGTTCAGGGGGAGTGGACAGACAGGGGCAAGGGTTAGCAGAGGTCCAGTGTCGGGCAGGCGGCAAGAGTGAGCAAAGCTAGGGGCTGGAGCGATAGCACAGCAGGTAGGGCGTTTGCCTTGCACGCGGCCGACCCAGGTTCGATTCCCAGCATATCATATGGTCCCCTGAGCACTGCCACGAGTAATTTCTGAGTGCAAAGCCAGGAGTAACCCCTGTACATCACCGGGTATGACTTAAAAAAAAAGTAAGCAAAGCTAGACCTGGGATATTTGGGGAGCATGAGACCTGAGACCCCCAGGCCCAGGAAGCAGTACATCTCTGCAGCTCGGACCTTGACCCGGCCCCACCTGAAGACAAGCTCGGGCACTGAGGTTAACCACGGGGCCTGTGGCCCGGAGGGTCAGGATTTGGCAGAGGGGAGAGAGACTTCAGTTACCCGAGACATCTTTTGACTTCCTCAGTTCCCTGAGGTACCAGCCTGGCCTTTCGAGTGAGAGCCGAGGGCCAGGAGGCGGCCCAGAGGCCCAGTGGCCATTGGGAAGGTGGCCAGACAGCAGAGGCCGGGTGGAGTGTGCGGGTGGAGTGTGCCGTCACCACCACCGGCCCAGCCCTGCCTGCCCTTCCCTCTCTCCCCCGAGGCAGGTGGTTTTCTCAAATGGGCCGGTGGTGATTGCAGCCAAGGTGGGGCAGGAGTGAGTGGCCCAGCGGCCGAGGCGTGCCGCATGCTGAGGTGTGGCGCCTGAACCTGCCTTGTTGGCCCGCATGGGCTTCCCCAGGCCACAGCTGGGATCAGGCCCAGGCTTGCCTTGGGGCTTGGGACGGGGCCAGAGGCTGGCCTGCTGGCTACACGAGGTAGCCTGGCGCCAGCTAGGCCCGTTGCCAGATTGCCCTGTGGCTTTGTTTACAGGAAGAGCTGGACATCCGCCCGAAGGTATCATCTCTTCTGGGCAAGCTCGTCAGCTACACCAACCTCACGCAGGGCGCCAAGGAGCATGAGGAGGCCGAGACTGGGGTGGGCACGCGCCGGAGAGCCGCCAAGGTGAGCTGCGGGCCAAGAGGTTCCCCACCGGGCTGTGAGCCTCCCAGGGAAAGTGGGTGCTGGGTGCGGTCAGCGGGGCAGACAGCTGTGAGTGTCTGGGACTCGAGGGAGCTTCCAAAGGGATTAAGGAGGGGCCCCCAGTGGGCTCTTGAGAAATGACTGGGGGAGGTACCTGGCCCGTACTCCGTCTCTGGCTGGAGGCGCCGTGCCAAGTAGGGCCTGGACTCTTATCGTTTTCACATCACGAAGAGGGGCAGAGTGGCGGGTGCTGTTACCATCCCTGAGTGTCGATGAGGAAACCAAGTGGGGGTTGGCATTGACTCATGTGCCTCACACGGCCCAGGTCACTTGGCTGAGGCTGGCCCCGACGTAGGGCTGGGCTTCCTAGGAGAGGGCTGTGCGGAGCTGCCCACAGGGCGTCTCTGACCCAGAATTCCTGGCTTCCTGGTTGCCCCTTGGGCTGTGTGACATAGAACAAGTGACCCAACCCTCTGTCCCTGACACTGTTGGATCTGCTGGTATCCTCCACAGCCCCGAGGGTCCTGAGCCTCAGGGAGGGGCTCCTCGCTCCCTCTCCCTGTCCCACCCCTGGTCACTGTCACGGCCTTCGGCCTAAGTCCTCTCCTCACAGTGAGCCACGTCTGTGTTCAGTGGCCCTGTGGGAGGCACAGTTTAACTGAGAGATGGGGAATTTCCGACATTTCTGGAGGCCAGAAACCCTTCCTCTCCGCCCTCTCTCCGACTCCCTGATATTCGGGGAGCGGCCGTGTGCTGGAATGCAGCCCAGGAGGGCAGCGTCTCTGCTAGGTCTGGAGGGGCCGGTCCCACCCTCACAGCTGCCCAGGGGGGTTATGCCTTTCTGGAGTGGGCCTCGGAGAGAGAAGAGACCCCATTGATGTGCTCCTGCCCTTCTCCCTCAGCCCCGGGAAGTGAACCAGCCCCCCTCAGATGAGACAGCTGCGTGCTGGGGGTCACGCAGTATGCTGCTGGTTGGGACGTTGCAGGCATTTTCTGTGCCGCAGAAAGCAGAGGTCCTAAGGGAGCTCGTGGGCTCCAAGAGTATTTTCTGCCTTGGGTGGTCGGACTCCGCGGTCAGAGCTTCCTCCTGTCCCTTCATGCCAAGCGCCAGAGCTGCTGGCTGCGAGGGGGTCTCCGCACAAAGTCGGGGACTGTGACAGACCACGCCGCCCTGAGCTCACTGCAGGGGTGTGAGAGCTCCGGTGACTTCCCTGGAAGCGGGGAGCCTGCTCAGATCGACGGGGTCCCCATCCTGGAGGTCTGAGCAGGGACCTGGGCGAAGGGCGGGCCTCCGAGCATTGGCCGCCCTGGTGCTGGCCTGCTGACCTTCCGAGGCTGCCAGAGGTTATTTGGGGATGTAGAAAGCATTTCCGGCCCTGCCCTTTCCCACACTGCCCTTTCCCCAGTGACTCAGCCAGGCGGGGGGTTGGGCTGGGGACTCTCGCAGCCACTGTCCAGTGGGTGGTCGAGCCACTGAATGTGGCCAGATTCCGTATCTGTCACCAACGTGTGCAAGGCGGTTTCAGGGACTATCTGTCCTTGGGGCCCTTCCAGACCTTTTTTTTTTTTTTTTTTGCTTTTTGGGTCACACCCGGCGATGCACAGGGGTCACTCCTGGTTCTGCACTCAGGAATTATTCCTGGTGATGCTCAGGGGACCATATGGGATGCTGGGAATTGAACCTGGGTCGGCCGGGTGGAAGGCAAACACCCTATCTGCTGTGCTATCGCTCCAGCCCCGTTCCAGACCCTTCTAAGCTCCTTTGGGCATACAGACTGGCCCTAGACCTGGACCCTTCAGAAGAGATCCACGGCCCCAGCTTCAGGGCATTGGGGGCTTTTCTGGGACTCTGGGGGAAGCTCTTAAGGCCCCAGTCCCCCGAGCTGTGCTCAGCCGCTGCCCTGGCCTCCTGGTGGCCCTGGTTGTCTTTAAGTAGATGACGTCTCGTAGCCCCCCTCACCTGCTCTCCCTGAGTCTCTGCTCTCTATGTGGATTTCCCTCAGTGGTCATCCCAGGGTCTTCCCTCTGGGCACATGTCGGGCAACTGGTACCAGGACAGTGAGTGAACAGGCAGCGTGGCCGTCGGGCCCTGGAGAGCAGTGGTGGGGCCACTCTGCCGGATGCTGTGTCAGAGCTGAGGGGATTGAGCGGACAGTCAGCACCATCACGGGCCACCCAGCAGCTGGAGGAGACAGTGGTTCAGCCAAGGTGGCATTTGCCAGTCCGGAGAGCAGGGCACCCTCCTGAGCAGAGCCCAGCACTTGCCTTGGTTCTGGGGGTTATTGGCCTATTGATGGGGCACTTGGTGGCTCCCACCAAGGAGTCAGGCCCCCACATGGATGATAGGTTGGAAGCAGGGCTGACAGTTGGGTTTGGCGTCATTGAACTGTTGTCAGGACAATGGGCTGGAGTGTGAAGGCAGCTGGGGACAAGGGTGCCCCTCCAGATGCCCGGGGCTGTTGCCCCAGATTCGAGGGGCTAAGGAATGGAGAGGGGCTAGAGAGATGGAGGGTCAGTCAACTTCAGGCTTGGGAGACATGGGGGCGGCAAGGTGGGGAGCGCAGACAGACCCCTCTGCCCAGAAGCTTAAGGGAAGTAATGGAGGAGACGGTGCTGTCCCTAGAGGGTTGGGGGCCGCCCGTGGGACTGCTAAAGGAATCCTGTTTCTAACTGTCTTTCGACACAGAAGACAACACCAGCACCTAGCTGCCCTCACAGCCCTGTGCTCTGAGGCCATGTGGGGGGCCCCTCTCTGCACCCTGTTCTCTAGGGGCGTGGCAGGGGTCCCTCTGATGCTCTGATGCTCACCCTGTTCTCTGGGGGCATGGCGGGAGCCCCTCTGATGCTCTGATGCCCACCCCGTAGGCTCCCAGCATGGGCACCCTCATGGGGGTGTACCTGCCCTGCCTGCAGAATATCTTCGGGGTGATCCTCTTCCTGCGGCTGACCTGGATGGTGGGCACGGCTGGGGTGCTGCAGGCCCTCCTCATTGTGCTCATCTGCTGCTGCTGTGTGAGTACCGGACTGGGGGGGAGCCTGGGCCGGCCCGCAGGACCCCCCGCCCAGCCGCTCACCGAGGCCCTCCCACCCACAGACCCTGCTGACGGCCATCTCCATGAGTGCCATCGCCACCAATGGCGTGGTTCCAGGTGGGTGTGTGCCACTTCCGGGCCTGCTGGAGGGAAAGGGCGCACAGGCAACCCTCACTCACCTGCCCGGGTCACCTCCTCATTACCGCTCCCTACCCCCTGCCCCCCCCACCCCCCCGCCAGCAGGTCTCCACTGCGGTTTTTGCCCCCATCTCAAAGCCACCACTTAGGCTCGTTTGAGCTGGCCACTGTGGTTATTTTCGGCCTAAAAGTCAGGTTTCTAAAGGGGGGCTGGGGCACACCTGCTCAGCAAGCCCAGGAGTTCCAGACACACCCGTGGGGGGACGGGATCCATTCTCAGCAGGGATGCTCAGATTGGACTTGATTTTCAGAGACCTCATCTTCTCCGTTTGTTTTGAAGTCACATCCAGCAGTGCTTGGCGGCTGCACCTGGCTCAGGGCTCAGGGCTCATTCTGGTTGTGCTTGGAGGAGGATGTGGGGCTGAGGATGGAAGCTCGGTCTCGCATATGCAAAGCAGGTGCTCCGGCCCTCTGCGCCACCTCCCTGCCCCTCCCCATTTCTTTATCTACCCTTCCTGGACTCCTGGATATTTGTTTTTTTCCTTCGGATCATAAGCAAGTATTGTATTTTATATTTTGTTCTCAAATTGTCCTATTTTGGCTATGTCCTTTTTTAAAAGAATAATTTTGGAGGCTGGAGAGATAGTACAGCCGGTAAGGTTCTTGCCCTGCATGCAGCTCACCCACGTTTGAACCCTGGCATCCCATATGTTCCCCACAGCCTGCCAGGAGTGATTCCTGAGTGCAGAGCCAGGAGTAACCCCTGAGCATCACCAGGTGTGGCCGCAAATAACAACAACAAAAACAATTTGGGGTGGGGGGCAGGGAGCTAGTACAGGGGTTACAGCACTTGGCCTTGGACAAGACTGAGCCTGGTTTAAGTCCGTGGCAGCACACCTGGTCCTCTGTCCACTCAGAGGTCATTCCTGAGCACAGAGCCAGGAATAGCCTGGCGACCACCAGTGAGGCAATTCCCCCCCCCCACCACCACCAAATAAGTAACAAAAACTCTTTTATGAGTAATAGTGGAAATGCTAGAGATGTTTACAATAGAGGGTTTAGGGCCAGAGCCATAGCACAGTGGTAAGGTGCTTACCTTGTACGTATCTGACCCAAGTTTGATCCCTGGCATCCCATATGGTCGACTGAGCACCACCAGGAGTGACCCCTGAGCATCGCTGGGTATATCCCAGAATAGCACCGTAGCGCTGTCCTCCCGTTGTTCATCAATTTGTTCGAGTGGGCCCAGTAACATCTCCATCGTGAGACTTGTTGTTACTGTGTTTGGCATATGATTACGGGCAGCTTGCCAGGCTTTGCCGTGTGGGTGACGTATCCCAGAATACAACAAACAAAAAAATAGACAAATTAAAAATTAAAGCAAGAGGATTTAAAATACAGAAAAATGTAGAGAGGAAAAGTGAAAGTACTCAGTCACTCCCATCCTGTTCCATAACTATGATTACTGTTTTTTTTTTTTTAAAGAAGTCAATTTATTTTTCTTTTTTTGGTCACACCCGGTGGTGCACAGGGGTTACTCCTGACTTTGCACTCAGGAATTACTCCTGGTGGTGCTTGGGGGACCATATGGGACATATGGGATGCTGGGGATTGAACCCAGGTCGGCCGCGTGCAAGGCAAACACCCTACCTGCTGTGCTACCGCTCTGGCCCCCTTATTAGTGTTTTGATATAAGTGTCTTATGAAGTGTTTACACATATTCCCCCCCCCATTTTTTTGTGTACCAATTTCAGAAATGTTGGACTGGCTTGTCTTATTTTTCAGACAGTCGCTCTGATGGTGCCTAACTGACATGGTCATTCTTCTCGCCCGGGCTCTCCGTGGCCACTGTGTTAAACATTCTAGTCAGAAGCAGTCTTGCACACAGAGCTCCCTTCATCCCCTGGCAGTTCCCAGGAGGGGTGGGGCTCGCAGCATGAAAGAGATCATCCTGTTTATCATTTCTAGATCCCTGCTCTCTGATTTCTCACCAGAGACCTGTGAGTGGCCATATGCAACCTGGCTCACTTGTACCTGTGCCCTCCGATGTGACCCAATCCCTTCAGGACTCAGGAGGGTCAGCCGTGGCAAAGTGCCAGGCGACATGGGGTGGGGTGGGGTGGGGGTAGGGGACCAGGCTGAACCCAAAGGAGAATGGGCTGTACAAGACCCAAGATCCCTTCCTCATTCTGGCCTGACAAGCAGACAGGGACAGGATACTGAGATAGGACACATCCTTCCAGAGGAGTCAAGAGGGTTGCTTAAGTGTAGAATTAGGGGTCAGGGAGGCCCCCAGGCATGGCTGTGAACCTAGAGATGCTTCAGTAACGATTTCATTCATTTCCTTGGTCCCCTCTAGGCCTGGAGTAGATGGGATTGGGAGCCAGCCCATGTCAGGTCACTTACTGACTGGCGGCCTCAGGAATTCTCCAGCCTCTGGTCACCATCTGCTGGGTTTGGGTGGGGGGCACACCTGGCAGTAATTGGGCTACTCCTGACTCATTGCACCTGTGCTGTTTGGGGACCTTGTGGTGCCAGGGTCAAATCTAGACTTTGCACATGCAAAGCATATACTCCAGCCCTTTGAGTCATTTCCCTGGTCCTGGTCATCTGTTTTAAAGTGGGAAAAGCAATTCTTATACTTCTGGATGGTTTTGAGGGGCTGTCATAGAGGAGATCCCTTGAAAAATTAGATATTTGTGTGTGTGTTTCTTATGTTTCTGGGCCACATCCAGCGATGTGTGACTCCTGGCCTCTGCACTCGGGAATCACTCCAGCAGGCTCAGTGGACCATATGGGATGCGGGGTGTAGTCTTTCTTCGACCCCTGAAGATCTGGGTTTTGACCTGTGTACCTTTTCATTGTTGTAGCCGGGGGCTCCTATTTCATGATCTCCCGCTCCCTGGGGCCTGAATTTGGAGGTGCTGTGGGCCTGTGCTTCTACTTGGGAACTACATTTGCAGCGGCCATGTACATCCTGGGGGCCATCGAGATCCTGCTGGTGAGTCATTCGGTTCTGGGAAACTCAGGTTTTACCCAGACCTATAGGCAGAGCCCAGCTAATCAGGCCCCTCCCATAAGGGCTTCTTTGGGGAGCAGAGAGCCGGCCAGTGGAGCCGCAGGGGTCCTGACTCCCTTCTTCTAAGCCCTGCCTGTTCCAGCACCCCGGCATTTTCTCACCTGCCGGTGGTCTGCAGACTGTCGAATTCCACTGGGCACCAGACAGCGACAGTGGCATGAAGCCTGCCTCCTACAGGCAGGTGGGCCAGGCCAGGGTGTCCCCCCAGGGTTCTGAGGACTTCGCAGTTCCAGCTTTGCCTCCTCCCTAAATCAGGGTATGCAGACACAGGCACAGGCCTTGTATCTGGGTGCCCCCTCCCTGAGTCCCCTTCATGCCGCCCCAGCCTCCCGGTCCCCACTGAACTGCCCGAGTGGCGGGAGGAGAGGTGGGGACAGAGGAGGCCCTGGCACGCAGGAGCCCCAGGCGGGTGTGTCCCTTTCCACCTGCCCGAGAACTGTTGAAGCAGCTGCGTCCCCTCCCTACTCCAGGTCTCTGCTGCTCCCTGGCCCCGCTGCCAGGTCTTTTAGGAGGCTGGCTGGAGTTGGGTTTTCTCTTGTCTACGTTCCTACATTATTTGGGTTTTTCCCGTAAGAAAAGTTTGTGTTTTTCCCATTGATTCCACTATGTTTTTGTATCAGTTTTTGAACTTCTGGATATTTATTTATTCTCTGGCTCATAAGCCAGTCAGTACTATCATTATTTATCTTGTCACTCAAACTATTCCACTTTGGCCGTTTACCTTATTTAGGTTGGCTTCTGCGTCCAGATCCCCACCGCCTTCCAGTTTTTCCCCGAGAGGCCAGTGTGAGGGCAGGAGAGAGAGCTGGAAGGGCAGGAGTGGACGCTTTGTGTACAGACAGCCCAGATTCGATCCCCGACACAGCATGACACTCTGAGTGACACCCAAGTACAGAACCAGGAGCCAGGCCCTAGGCACCACCCGTTGTGGCTTAAACCCATAAAGTCACAGAGTTATAAAACTACCAAAAATGACTTTAGAACATTTTCATGGTGCGGGAGATATAATACAGGAGTTAAGTGCTTGCCTTGTACACAGCTGACCAAAAAAAAAAAAACCATTTCCATCCCCTCAAGAACCTGGATGCGGTCCTTCTCCATGTCCTGCTCCCTCACCAAGTCCCAGCAGTCATTCATTGTCTTTCGTCTTGATCCTGAGTTAATCAGATGTGTCTATCCTGGACAATTCACATAAACAGAGCCATAAAACAGCGATTTTTTTTTACTGTATTTTTAGGGGGTGGGTATTTTTATTAAAGAGAAAACTGAGGGCTGGCATAAGAGTACAGTGGGTAAGGCACTTGCCTTTCCTGATTCAACCTCAGAACCCCATAGAGTCCTCCGAGCCCCTCCAGGAGTGATCCCTGAGCACTGAGCCAAGAGTGAGCCCTAAGCATAAGCCAGGTATAGCCTCAAAACCAAAAACAAATAAAAAACTGAACTGACTGTCCTCATACGGGAAAAGTGACTGTCTCGCCCATCTTTTTTTCAGACCTACATTGCCCCAGCTGCCGCCATTTTTCACCCGACGGGCGCCCATGACACCTCAAGCGCCACTTTGAACAATATGCGGGTCTATGGGACGATTTTTTTGACCTTCATGACCTTGGTGGTATTTGTGGGTGTCAAGTATGTAAACAAATTTGCCTCGCTCTTCCTGGCCTGCGTCATCATCTCCATCCTCTCCATCTACGCTGGGGGCATCAAGTCTATCTTTGACCCTCCTGTGTTCCCGTGAGTCACCTGGAAGTACACTGGACCTTGGGGACCCCGGCTGCCCGAGACTGGCGGGTGGGAACAGTTCGGGACCGCGGGCTGAGGAACTGCTCTCACTTCTGCCCCCACAGGGTCTGCATGCTGGGCAACAGGACCCTGTCCCGAGACCAATTTGACATCTGTGCCAAGACCACCGTGGTGGACAATGAAACAGTGGCGACCCGGCTGTGGAACTTATTCTGCCTCAGCCCCAACCTCACTGCTGACTCTTGCGACCCCTACTTCCTGCTCAACAACGTGACCGAGATCCCTGGCATCCCTGGCGCAGCGGCTGGCGTGCTCCAGGGTGGGTGCTCCGTCCCGTGCCCCCTTCCCTGGGCAGGAGGGTGAGCGGCATACAGAGCTGCCCTTGTGTGGCCAGCTCGGGGCTGGGGACAGGCCTGGCTGCCTTCCCGGCCCGGCGGGGAGGACCCGTACAGCTTAGTTGCGGCTACCCAGAGCCCGTTTGGCCGCGGTCCCAGGCTGGCAGCAGCCCCTCTCCCGAGCCACCAGGCCCCGGAGCTTCCTGGGACTGTTCCCGCAGGAGCCATGGGAGGGCCTAGGAGACAGGCCGAGGCCCACGGGCGCTGGTGGCTGGGCTGCAGCCACCTTGGCCCCACACTTGCAGCCAGGCCGCCACCTCTGACCACTGGCTGGGCTGCCCTGGTGGCCTCGGGCGGAGGGGGGCCGTGGGCTGATGCCGCTGTCCCCTCAGAGAACCTGTGGAGCACCTACCTGGAGAAGGGGGAGGTGGTGGAGAAGCACGGGCTGCCCTCCACGGACGCCGTGGGCCTGAAGGACAGCCTGCCCCTGTATGTGGTGGCCGACATCGCCACCTCCTTCACCGTGCTGGTCGGCATCTTCTTCCCCTCTGTGACGGGTGAGGCCCTCCTGCCCACTGCCTGACCCCCCACTTGCCCTCTGGGAGCCTCTGACAACTCTGTCGGTCTTCACAGGCATTATGGCCGGCTCCAACCGCTCTGGGGACCTCCGGGACGCCCAGAAGTCCATCCCGGTGGGCACCATCCTGGCTATTGTTACCACGTCTCTTGTGTGTATCCTTTGCTGACCTGGGGTGCCTGGAGGGAGGCGGGTTGCTCGCCAGCAGATCCCCACACCTGCATGCCTGCATTTATAGCTCCTGTCCTCGGGTGGCGGGGGAAGGGGTGTGAGGCAGGAACAGTACAAGGATTAGGGTGTGTGCCTGGCCTCCCTGATACCACAGCTTCCTGAACACGGCTGGGGGTGGTCCTGTTGCACCCCCCCACACACACACACGACACCCACAGACAGTGGAATCCTCAACCTTAGCTCCTCTTCCTCCGGGTGAGTCTTTCCACACCCCTCAGCCTGACAAGTACCCTCCTGACATATTCCGCAAGCACCCCAGGGGAGGTTCCCCCCAAATCCAAATCATCTCACACCCAGCCTCACCACACACGGACAGTGCACAGGCCTCAGCTGAGGGTGTCCCCGTGATGGGCCCACGGGGGAGGAGCCAAGCCTCCCTTTCCTTGACGGAACCACAGACTTCAGCAGTGTGGTTCTCTTTGGCGCCTGCATCGAGGGTGTGGTGCTCCGGGACAAGTGAGTGAACTGGGCCCCGCCCTGGGCGGTGTCCCCGCCTGTCCCCCAGCATGCACAGTCCCACACATGCCCTCTGGCCACCGGCTCCCTGTGACCCCGTGTGCCTCTGGGTGGGTGAGCCCAACCAGGGCCTTTGCTTGTGAACGGTGCCATTGGAATCTTGGGGCTGGGCCCAGGGGGGCAGACAGAGCTGGTGGCCTTCTCCACTGGAGGGTCAGAGTTTAGCCTGCCACAGTGCCCCTCCTAGCCCCGGGAACCCCCATTCTGGGCCACCTTTGCCTGGATATGGCCTAAGCCCAGCTCCTGCAGGTATGGTGACGGTGTCAGCAGGAACCTGGTGGTGGGCACACTGGCCTGGCCTTCACCGTGGGTCATTGTCATCGGCTCCTTCTTTTCGACCTGCGGCGCCGGCCTGCAGAGCCTCACTGGGGCACCACGTCTGTTGCAGGCCATTGCCAAGGACAACATCATCCCCTTCCTCAGGGTGAGTCTTCCCACACCCCCAGCCTTGGGGACAGGGGCTGGGGACGGGTGAAGGACATCCTGCCGGGGCCTACAGAGAAGCCTGGAGAGGGAGGGCAGAGAGTGGGAGTGCCTGTTGGCCTGAACCCCAAAGGGAGGTGTGAGGGTTCCACTTTCTCCGGTACTGACCCCTCTGACGTGGTGTGGGCAGGTGTTTGGCCACGGGAAGGCGAATGGCGAGCCAACGTGGGCGCTGCTCCTGACAGCACTCATCGCGGAGCTGGGCATCCTCATCGCCTCCCTGGACATGGTGGCGCCCATCCTGTCCATGTGAGCTGGGGGCCGGGCTGGGAGGTGCTCTCGGGAAGGGCTTTCAGGACCCTGCTGGCTGACCAGGGCACAGCTGATACAGTCAGGACTCGGCCTCCCCTGCATGCAGGCAGGAGCCTGGGCCTCACCAAGAAGGTGTAGTGGCCAAAGGCCCCGGCCCTTGGGTGGGAGGCCCCAGGAGGAAGTGATAGAGCGTTTGGACGAAGCCCCACTGCCCCAGGGCTGGTACTCCCAAGGGTTCCCGCACCTGCAGAGGCGCCCGCATATGGCTTTTCCTGGCATCCGGGACCAAGAGCACATGCTCACTGGACCCCATCCCTGTCTTCTGACACACTGGCTCCACTGCCAACATGCCACCTGCGGCTTCAGTTCTGGCGCCTGTCTTAGTGCCCCCACTCACCTCACTCAGCCTATCGGCCTTTCCCCATGATTGTAACCCCCCAACCTCCCAGCCCCCACAACCAGGCCTGCAGGAGTCTGTGCACTTTCACCACTTTCACTACTCAGAGTCACAATGCCCGTGGTGCCCAGCCCCGCCACTGAGGTGTAGAGCTGACGTGTAGGAACCTCAGCCACAGTCTCTGGGGTGGGGCCACGTCACGGCTTGAACTGAGGCTCTCCTGGCACCTCCCTGGGACTGGCCATCCACATCATGAGCCCACGACATAACCTTCCCTGCTGGCTTGGCAGCAGCCCAGGGTCGCAGCTCTGGGTCGTCCTGCTGTCCCCAGAGGCCAGATTGCCCTTGGTTCTTGAGACGCTGAGCACAGCTCTGCCTTGAAAGGGGCCGGCATGGGAAAGCCCCGCCAGCAGGCTACCAGTCAGCCACACCTCTGCATAGGGTCTCTCTGTTTTGTTTTTGTTTGGGGGCCATTCCTGGCATGCTCAGGGCTTACTCCCAGCAAGGGGTTTGGAGGACCATCTGGGGTGCGTGCAAGCCCAGCTCTTCCCTGCCCTCTCCTGGCCCCTACAGGTTCTTTCTGATGTGTTACCTCTTTGTGAATCTGGCCTGTGCCGTTCAGACGCTCCTCCGGACCCCGAACTGGCGGCCTCGCTTCAAGTACTATCACTGGTGAGCACGGCAAGTCATCCCACCAGGAGCTAGAGGGGTCACCAAGAACCCCCTTCTGAATGTGGTTGGAGCTGCCTGGAGGCAGTGGCTGTTGGTGGGAGTTTGGGGGCCACAGGGCTTGGCCTTGGGTCTTCCTGCTCCCACCCTCACTCGGACCCTTCCCCCGTCTGGCCCAGGACGCTGTCCTTCCTGGGCATGAGCCTCTGCCTGGCCCTGATGTTCGTCTCCTCCTGGTACTATGCTCTGGTCGCCATGCTCATCGCGGGCATGATCTACAAGTACATCGAGTACCAGGGGTGAGTTGGGGACTGAGCGGGCCCTCCATGGGGGCTGGGGGGGGGGGGAGCCAAGCCACCCCCCTCCCGCCACCATTGTGCTGGATCTGGGGGACTGTGGGACCTGGGCCCGGGCCCCCCCATCTCATTCACAGAGACAAGTTCTGGGTGGGAGCAGGGCATCACTGGCTTGTGGGGGTCTCCGCAGGGCTGAGAAGGAATGGGGTGACGGCATCCGAGGTCTGTCCCTGAGTGCCGCCCGCTACGCGCTGCTGCGGCTGGAGGAGGGGCCTCCTCACACCAAGAACTGGCGGTGAGTTCACACCCAGACCAGGAAGGGGCCCTCCAGGCTCTCGGGGAGCACTGGGTGGGTCAAAAGTGTACTCCTCACCACTTGGGGCTGGATCTCTAGTACAGCGAATAGGGCATTTGCCTTGCACACAACACATATGATCCCCAACATCCCATATGGTCCCCTGAGCACCGCCAGGAGTAATTCCTGAGTGCAGAGCCAGGAGTAACCCCTGAGCATTGCTGGTGTGACCCAAAAAGCCCAAAAAAAAAAAGTGCACCCCCCCACCCCATCCAGGTTTCCTTTCCTGGGACTGCTGGGGGCGCCCTCTGGCTTGTTAAGCTCTTGGGCTCCTGCCGCCTCAGCCTGCCCCTGAGCCGCAGTGGGATGAGGGGCTCCCCGGAACCCTCTGACCAGGCCTTAGGCTTTTCCTTTGGCTGCCACAGGCCGCAGCTGCTGGTGCTGCTGAAGCTGGACGAGGACCTGCACGTCAAGTACCCCCGACTCCTCACCTTCGCCTCCCAGCTGAAGGCCGGCAAGGGCCTGACCATCGTGGGCTCCGTCATCCAGGGCAGCTTCCTCGAGAGCTACGGCGAGGCCCAGGCCGCGGAACAGGTGTCCACGCTGGGCCGGGAGCCGAGTGGGCTGGGGGCAGGGCCCTGATGCTGGCCAGCCCAGTGGGCTGCCCCGTGCCACCCAAGCGCAGGACACGTGGCCATGGCTGCCGCCTCTTGAACGCGTGGGCTCTGGGAGGACCCGTCCACCCTCCCCGCAAGTTGCTGTGTACCCTTGGGAACTTGGGAAGGAGCCCAGCAGAGGGGTCGCTGAGGGCCGGTATGTCCCCTCCAGACAATCAAGAACATGATGGACATTGAGAAGGTGAAAGGCTTCTGCCAGGTGGTGGTGGCCAGCAAGGTGCGCGAGGGGCTGGCACACCTCATCCAGTCCTGTGGCCTGGGCGGCATGAGGCACAACTCTGTGGTGCTGGGCTGGCCCTACGGCTGGCGCCAGAGTGAGGACCCGCGTGCCTGGAAGACTTTCATTGGTGCGTTCGGGGCCTGGGCTCACACCCTGGGGCCAGGGCAGAGGAGGGCAGAGGCCAGAGGGCCACAGGCTGGCAGTCAGCGGCACCCCTTGCCACCCCCACCCCACCCCCAGATACCGTGCGCTGCACCACGGCGGCCCACCTGGCCCTGCTCGTGCCCAAGAACATCGCCTTCTACCCCAGCAACCACGAGCGCTACCTGGAGGGCCACATCGACGTGTGGTGGATCGTGCATGACGGCGGCATGCTCATGTTACTGCCCTTCCTGCTGCGCCAGCACAAGGTGCGACACACACGGGCACGGACGGCAGGGGCCGCCATGAGGGGTGGCACCGCATGACCAACCTGCCCGGCGGCCGTCTCCCCGCAGGTTTGGCGGAAATGCCGGATGCGCATCTTCACGGTGGCCCAGATGGACGACAACAGCATCCAGATGAAGAAGGATCTGGCCATCTTCCTGTACCACCTCCGCCTGGAGGCTGAAGTGGAGGTCGTAGAGATGGTGAGCGCCCCCCTCCCAGGCCCCCCGCCCAGCACGCCCCTGCCCTGGGCAGCCCTGGGCAGCCCCGCCCGCCCTCCTCACGGCCTCTCTCTTCCCAGCACAACAGCGACATCTCGGCCTACACCTACGAGCGGACTCTGATGATGGAGCAGCGCTCCCAGATGCTGCGGCAGATGCGGCTGACCAAGACGGAGCGGGAGCGAGAGGTTGGTGGTGCCGGCTGGGCCTCAGGATGGACGCCCCCGGCTTCCGGCATCTGTGTCCCTGCAGCCCACGAGCATGCTGGGCTGCTCAGACCCCCGCCCGGCTGTCCCCAGGCTCAGCTCGTCAAGGACCGGCACTCTGCGCTGCGGCTCGAGAGCCTGTACTCTGACGAGGAGGAGGAGTCCTCAGTGGCGGGGGCCGAGAAGATCCAGATGACATGGACCCGCGACAAGTACATGGCCACCGAGCCCTGGGACCCCAGCCACACACCCGACAACTTCCGAGAGCTGGTGCACATTAAGCCGTGAGTGCAAAGGATGGGACCCCAAACTGGGGGCCGGATGTGGGGCCGGGGAAGGGCCATGATCAGGTGTATGCCCTGTAGGGACCAGTCCAATGTTCGACGCATGCACACGGCTGTGAAACTCAACGAGGTCATCGTCACTCGCTCACATGATGCCCGCCTGGTCCTCCTGAACATGCCTGGGCCTCCCAAGAACAGCGAGGGGGACGAGAACTGTATCCTTCTGTGGAGGGGCAGGCAGCAGGGAGCCGGAGGGGTGCGGTCAGCCCATTCCCTCCCCCGGGGCCCCAGGGCCCCTGTCCCCCGTTGCCTCCTTGACCCTGCTCCGCAGACATGGAGTTCCTGGAGGTGCTGACCGAGGGCCTTGAGCGGGTGCTGTTGGTGCGTGGCGGCGGCCGGGAGGTCATCACCATCTACTCCTGAGCCCAGCACTGACGCGCGGCCTGGAACGGAGGTGCCCCAGGTGACCAAGATGGACGACACGGATGACACCCCCTCACCGCCACCCTCCAGCTCTGCGGGGCCCAGCTCCGCTGGTCTCCCTAGAGACTGGACCTGGCCTGGCAGTGGAGATGGATCCGAGGTCCGGCGAGGCCTGCGAGGTCTGGGGGGACTTTCCCTGCCCCGGCTGGAGAAGACTGGGAGGCGCAGGGGGGCTTTGAAGGCTCAGGTCCTGGAACGCTATTTATTGCATATTTATTGTTCAGATGTCACCAAGAGAGGAGAGGGAAAGGGCAACGGGGAGGGCCCAGCGTGCCTGGAGGAAGGCCTGGCCAGGCGACTGTGGGCAGGGACCCCCGCCACGCCGGGCTGAAAGGAGCTGGCCAGCTGAGGCCTGACTTTTTTCAATAAAACATTGTGTACTTCTGGGCCTCCTGCTGCCCTGGCTGTTTCCTCTGGCGCCAAGGGAAGGCGGAATTGAACCCGAGCCCGAAGCCAGCTCTCTGAAGCTATGCCCTTCCCGGCAATCTGGCCACCCCCATTGGCGGGCTACCCCTCCCACCAGCTCCCAGGCCCCTCCCAGCCCCGCACAGATAAGGCCAGCCCAGGTCCCTGTGTCGTCGGATATCAGGCCCCAGGGCAGGAATGGGGCGGCCCGGCTCCCCGCGGCAGTGGGGGCTACTGCTGCTGGGGCTGCTGCTCCCCCCGGTCACCCCCTTCTGGCTCCTCAATGTGCTCTTCCCCCCGCACACCACGCCCAAGGCGGAGCTCAGTAACCACACACGGCCCGTCATCCTCGGTAAGCCCCCGCCAGGCCCCCCAAAGCACCAGGCCAGACCCTGGGGGCGGCTCCCACCTTTACCCTTCCTCAGTGTTGAGAGGGGCCACCAGCGTGTCGCCTGCCGAGAATCAGCCCTTCCCCAGCACCCTCCGGGGCTCGCAGTTGCTTCTCTGCTTCTGAAGTTGGGGGGGTGGTGGCCAGGGAGCCACAGGCTGTGGCCAGCTGGAGTCACCGGATCATGAACCGAGCCCCCGCCCCACCACGGCAGGAGAGACCCAAGAAGTCCTGCCCCCTGCTCCTGTGCACAGCCCCCCACCTACAAAAAAAAAAAAACCTTAAAGCCCTGTTTGTTCTCACCTTGGACTTTGGCAGTCACCGAGAGCCAGGGGACATGTTTGCTTGCCGGGGGAGGGGACAGCAGCCTTGGCCCCTGCACTTCCGTGCCCAGCTGGAGGGGTCTGGATGCAGGAGGGTCTGGAGGTCGGGTGTGGGGGAGCTGGGTGGGTGACAGCCATGTCCAGGTTGGGGAGGCCGGTGGGGACCAGGGGAGTTGGAAGAGTCCAGAGTGAAGGCCAGTACCCGCAGTGCCTGGCTGCCTGGGGAATCAGCTGGAAGCCAAGCTGGATAAGCCAGACGTGGTCAACTGGATGTGCTACCGCAAGACAGAGGACTTCTTCACCATCTGGCTGGATCTCAACATGTTCCTGCCCCTGGGGGTAGACTGCTGGATCGACAACACCAGGTAGGGACTTTCTCCGGGACCCCCAGCCCTGCCCCACGCCTGCGCCTGCTAAGCGGCCCCCCATCCCCAGGGTCATCTTCAACCGCACCTCAGGGCGCCTGTCCAATGCCCCCGGCGTGCAGATCCGCGTCCCTGGCTTTGGCAAGACCTATTCTGTCGAGTACCTGGACAGCAACAAGCTGGCAGGTGTGTGTCCTCCCTGGCAGGGAGCGGGTGGGCCTCCAGGCTGGGTGCCCCTCCCCCCAGGCCAGAACCCCTGACACTGCCCCTTCCCTGCAGGTTACATGCACACCCTGGTGCAGAATCTGGTCAACAACGGGTACGTGCGGGACGAGACGGTGCGGGCCGCCCCCTATGACTGGCGGCTGGAGCCCAGTGAGTGCCTGGTGGGCAGGCGGGCTGAGAGTGGGCTAGGTGCCCCGGACCCCACATGCCCTGACTCTCCCGTTCGCTCGCCCGCCAGGCCAGCAGGAAGAGTACTACCACAAGCTGGCCGGGCTAGTGGAGGAGATGTACGCGGCCTACGGGAAACCCGTCTTCCTCATCGGGCATAGCCTGGGCTGCCTGCATGTGCTCTACTTCCTGCTGCGCCAGCCCCAGTCCTGGAAGGACCGCTTCATTGATGGCTTCATTTCTCTGGGGGCCCCCTGGGGCGGCTCCATCAAGCCTATGCTGGTCTTGGCCTCAGGTAAGAGCCTCTGGTCACCTTCATCCTGTGAGCAGGGGGAGCTTCCTGGCCTCTCGCTTCTGCCGGCAGGGCCTCGCTGAGGGTGTCAGTTCCCAGAGGCCAGGATTTTGGCCTCCCCAGGAGCAATGAGCCTGGTCTGGGTTATCAGAGCAGCTCGTGATGACAGAGCGCAAGTAGGGCGGAAATGAGCCCCGCAGTCTGACTCACTGCCCCAGTTTTGTTGCAGCGTGCAGCTACCTTCTGCTCCCAACAGCCCCTTCCTGAGGGAGCTGCCAAAGCCAGGCCTGGTCCCTGAGGCCCCTCCTGTCCTTCCCAGAGGAGTGGGTACTCTGCAGCATACAGAGTACCTGCTGTATGCTGCGCATGGCCAGAGGTGACCTTCCTCAGTCGGCGCCCCCATCACACACGAGCTGTTTCATCCTCAGAACATGGCTCTGATCCCCATGCAGCACAGCACCCCACAAGCCCCTCACCCCCAGCTGCCCGAGAGCTCGGCCTGCTGTAGTCCCAGGCTTGGAATTGTGGGGGTGGGTCAGGGAAGGACAAACCAAGTGTGCAGCTGGGGGTGGCTGAGGGCGGGTGGTGCCGGGCCGGCAGGACGGGCTTCTGCCCCACCGTGCTCCTTGTCCCCAGGCGACAACCAGGGCATCCCGATCATGTCCAGCATCAAGCTGAAAGAGCAGCAGCGCATGACAACGACCTCCCCCTGGATGTTTCCCTCCAGCATGGCGTGGCCCGAGGATCACGTGTTCATTTCCACGCCCCACTTCAACTACACGAGGCGCGACTACCAGCGCTTCTTTGCAGACCTGCACTTTGAGGAGGGCTGGTACATGTGGCTCCAGTCCCGCGACCTGTTGGCAGGGCTGCCCGCGCCTGGCGTGGAAGTCTACTGTCTGTACGGAGTGGGCCGGCCCACGCCCCGCACCTACATCTATGACCACGGCTTCCCCTACGAGGACCCTGTGGATGTCCTCTATGAGGATGGGGACGACACGGTGGCCACGCGCAGCATGGAGCTCTGTGCCGGCTGGCAGCACCGCCAGGCGCAGCCCGTGCACCTGCTGCCTCTGCACAACCTCCAGCACCTCAACATGGTCTTCAGCAACCAGACGCTGGAGCACATCAACGCCATCCTGCTGGGGGCCTACCGAAACAGCACCCCGGTGCCCCCCACTGCCAGCCCCGGGCCCCCACCCCCTGAATAAAGACAAGTCTCTGAAACTGACTGCTGTGCGCTTCGGGCTTGGAGACTACAGCAGCTGCACGCAGCAAGGGGAGTGGGGTGGAGGGTGTGGACTGGAGCACAGGGTGTGCATGTGCATGACGGAATATACGCCAAGGGTGTGTGTGTGTGTGTCTGTGTGTGTGTGTGCATGCACTAGCATGCACAGGACTGAGTGACAGCCACTAGTTAATTTCATCTTAAAAAGTTTACTTTTGAGGGGGCTGGACCGATAGCATAGCGGGTAAGGTGTTTGCCTTGCACGCGGCCAACCCGGGTTCGATTCCCAGCATCCCATATGGTCCCCCGAGCACCGCCAGGAGTAATACCTGAGTGCATGAACCAGGTGTGACCCAAAAAGCAAAAAAAAAAAAAAGTTTACTTTTGGGGTCTTTGTTTTGTTTCTCATCCTTCTCAGATGCGAACAGATGCCATTGGGCTACACTAGCACGCGACAGGGACAAATGGAGACGTTACTGGCTCCCGCTCGAGCAAATCGACGACTAACGGGAAGTTAAGTGATTGTTTTGTTTAGGTTTTTGGATCACCCTTGGAGGTGCTCAGGGGTTACTCCCAGCTCTGCACTCAAGAACCACTCCTGGCGGTGCTCAGGGACCATATGGGGTGCTGGGGATCGAATCTGAATCTGGGTTGGCCACATGTAAGACAAGCACCTTAGCTGTTGCTCTATCACTCTCGCTCTTAAAAAATTTACTTTTTAAGTGTAAAGTTTACTTGGAGGGCCTGGGAAATAGTACAGCTGAGTACCACTGGGTGTAACAGCCCCCCCCAAGAGAAGATATATTTATTTATTAGTGGAGCTAAGTGGGTCTGGGGGAGGCAGTTGAAGCAACAGTAACAAGACCTGAGTGGGTGGTCCTGTATCCCACCCGCCTAAGGGCAGAGTGCAGCTGTGACCAGCTTTCCAACCCAGAAAGTGTCCACTCTCTGCTACAGAGAAGTGTGGGGGAGGTGCTGCAAGATACAGGCAGGAGCCAGGTGAGATAGGACACTGGGATTTAAGCTGTAGATTAGGTCTGGGGGAGGGTGCAGGCCAGGGAGACAGGAAGTGCTTTCCAAGCAGGAGGCCCAGACTCAATCCCAGGCACGGTAGGGAACAGCCCCCCACCCCCATATGGAGCCAGGAGTAGCCCATGAGAACTGCAGGGTGTGGCCGAGACACAAATCGAAAAAGCAGTAGTTAGGAGAAAGTGGGAACAAATCATTTCCCAGTGGTATTGAAAGGCAAGAAAGCCTCTGAGGGGCCAGAGCCACTGTATAGCAGGTAGAGCACTGGCCTCGCATGCAGCCAACCCAGGTTCGATCCCCAGCACCCCCTTTGGTCCCATGAGGCCTGCCGGAAGTGTTTGCCCTGAGTTCAGAGCCTGGAACATGCCTTGAGCACTGTTGGGTGTGGCCCAAAAAAAAACGCCAAAAATAGCTCCTGAAATATGCAAGATGGAAGGAAGGCTTCAGGAGGGCTCGGGGAGGAAGGAGGTAAAGGCAGGAGAGGGGGAATTGGGAAGAGGGTGACCAAGAGGTTGTTTTGGGGAGGGCCACACCCAGCTATGCTCAGAGCTCTTAGAGATCACTCCTGGTAGGTCTCCGTGGACCATATGGGGATGCTGGGGATCAAACGGGCTGCTGCATGCAAGGAAGGCACCCTATCCACTGTACCATCTCACCAGCCCTTGACCGAGACAAGGCAGCCATGCCTGCTACACAGGGGTCAGTTAAGAATGTGCAGCCAGGGGCTGGAGTGACAGCATAGGAGGTAGGACATAGGGTAGGCCTTGCATGCGGCCCGACCTGGGTTCGATTCCCACCATTCCATATGGTCTCCCGAGCATGGCCAAGAGTGGTTCCTGAGTGCATGTGCCAGGAGTGACCCCCTGTGCATTGCTGGGTGTGATCCCCCCCCCAAAAAAAAGAATGTGCAGCCAGTGGGGGATTTAAGTCCCTCTTCAGATCGGCATCTGGGGTAGCAGGAAGGAGAGCGGAGTAGGCCACTTAAGAGATGTGAAGGTGAAAGCGAAAGAAGACAGAAGACGCAGAGAAGTGCCAGAGTCCATAAAGGTGAAATCGAAAGGGGGAAGTGACCCACGCCGAGCCCCAGCGAGGACTAGGCGGCCGCCTTTCTCCTCGGAGCTACGACCGCCAACGCCTGCGGCGCCCGCCCGCGCCCCCGAGATGCTGAAGCTGGCGCAGGAGCCCCGAGGGGGCTTCTCCTTCGAGAACTGCCAGAGGTGCGGGGGTTGGGGCAACTCGCCGAGTAGCAGGGAGCGCTGCGGGGAGCGGGCGCGCCCGGGCCTTTGTTCCAGTGGGGGCGCGGGGCGTCTACGGAGCGACCCGGGGCGGGGGCGGGGGTAAATCTGTGCACTGAACTGAGGTACAGATGGGAGGGTCTCAGACGCTAAGATCCGAACCTGGGAAAACTCCCCTCCGTTTCCAGAAACTCCACCTTGGAACGCGTGCTTCCGGGTCTCCGGGTCCCCCACGCACGCAAGACTGGGACCACCATCGCGGGCATCGTGTTCCGAGTGAGCAGGGGGTTGGGGCCTGGGCGGGGGGCGGGGGGGCGCTCGCGGGGCCGAGCGGCTGCTAAGCCAGCGGCCCGTCCACCTACCCAGGACGGGGTCCTCCTGGGAGCCGACACGCGGGCCACTGACGACTCGGTCGTGGTGGACAAGAACTGCGAGAAGATCCACTTCATCGCCCCCAAAATCTAGTGAGAACCCCGCCCCCCAGCCCCGGCCGGCCCGAGAACCCTCCGCCAGGCCCCCTCCCACGCGCACGCAGCTGGCCCGCCCACGCCGACCCTCTCTCCCTCGGCCCGCAGCTGCTGTGGGGCGGGAGTAGCGGCGGACACCGAGATGACCACGCGCATGGCGGCGTCCAACATGGAGCTCCACGCCCTGTCCACGGGCCGCGAGCCCCGCGTGGCCACGGTGACCCGAATCCTACGCCAGAAGCTCTACCGGTGCTGGGGCGGGGCCGACACGTGCCGGGGCTTTCCGGGGGGCGGGGCTGAGGAAGTGGAGCGGGAAGGGCGGGGCCGAGATGTCCCGCGAGACCCGAAAGGGCGGGCCTCTGGGCCGCGACCCGCCGGGGGGCGGAGCCTGGGGCTCGGAGCCGGCCTCTGACCACGCCCACTGTGCCACAGGTACCGGGGCCACGTGGGCGCTTCGCTGATCGTGGGCGGTGTCGACTTGACGGGTCCGCAACTCTACGATGTGTACCCACACGGGTCCTATGGCCGATTGCCTTTCACGGCCCTGGGTGAGCACTTCCCGTCACTTCCCCATGAAGCCCCGCGACCCTGGCTTCACTCACATTGTTGGCCTGATTTCACATATTCGTCCTGTTTGCAGGCTCAGGCCAGGACGCCGCAGTGGCGGTGCTGGAGGACCGATTCCAGCCAGACATGTCGGTGCGCAATACCTGCCCCTCCGATAGGTGGTCATTGGTGGGAAGTGGACCAGGGAACTGGGGATGGGCACAACTTAGTATAGGCTGAAGGTGAGAGGACGTGACAGCTGAGTAAAGACTGAGGAGGAAGAAAGGCTATTCCAGCACACCAAAGCCCCGGGGGAGGGGGAGCGAATGCCAGGTGGCGCCAGGATGTGGATGGTGTGTGCTGCTTCTTAGATGCCTAGCCCTGAAAAAAAGGCAGCAAGTTGGTGCACTGGGGGACAGGACCTGGGCCCTCTGCGTGGATGAACAGGTCACAGGGAGCAGCACCAGTGAAAGCAACACAGAGAAATTTGAGAAGATGGAGGTAGATGACTCAGAGGGGCTCTGGAGAGAGGGGCCAGGAAATGGGGATAGGGGCAAGCTTCAAGGTGAACAAAGTCAGGCCTAGCCATGTGACTCAGTGGTAGAGCATTCGTTTTGCATGTGGGATGTCCTGGATTTGATCCTCACCACTGCAATAATAAATAAATAAATAAGATTAAATCCCCAGACTGTAACCCCAGGGTGACACCCCAAGATTCCAGCAGCCTCACACATATCTCGCCACAGTTGGAGGCCGCACAGGAGCTGCTGGTAGAAGCCATCACTGCAGGAATCCTGGGTGACCTGGGCTCTGGGGGCAACGTGGACATATGTGTGATCACCAAGACCGGGGCCAAGATGCTGAGAGCACTGAGCTCACCTACGAAGCCTATAGAAAGGTGGGAGCAAGGGAGACGGGGAGCCCTAGGGGAGGATGCAGTAGTAGCTCAGGGTCTTCCGGCCACATGATGAGCCCCTGTTGAGATTGTCCCTCCCCCCTCCCAGGGCCCCCAAGTACCGCTTTGCCCCTGGCACCACGGCCATCCTATCCGAGACCGTGAAGCCGCTGACCCTGGAGCTTCTGGAGGAAACTGTGCAGGCCATGGAGGTGGAGTGAGGAAGACGAAGGTTCAGAGCTCGGACCGAGGGGAATAAACCCAGAAAATAAAACAAAGCAGATGACTGTGTTGTTTGTGGACGGAGCAGGGTGAGCGGCAACAGGGCTCTGTGTCTAAGGGATTCCTGGAGGGGCCACGCTGCGGGCTGCAGTGTTAGGTACAAGGTGTCCAGCTCTTCAGAGTTGGCGCGCACCGTGGCTCATAGTAAAGCCCCTTCCTGAATCTCCACATCATAAAGGATCTCCCTATCCCATGCTTTGCTTTTTTTTCTTTTTTGGAGGGGGATTAGGGTTACACTTAGTGGTGCTCAGGAGTGAGCCTGATTGTGCTTTGGGACTGTCAAAGCTATACTATCTCACTGGCCTCTGTGCTTCACTTTTGCCCCCTAGTGCCCTGAAAGATCCTGGGACTAGCCCCCTCCTGGTACAGTTTCACCTGGCTCACTGGCCCAGGATAAAGCCCATACCTGTTGGTCAAGCCTCCCCTGCATTCCCCGAAGGCTAAAGAGCTGCTCTGGGGAGTTCTCCCTAGAACTCTTCACCCCTGCAAGGCCTTAGCTAGTGGAACTAAATGGCACTGGGCTGTTGGCCCTGGAGACTGAGTTCTCTGGCTTGGCAAGGCACATGCATGGTTCATGTGAGGAAAACAACATATGTTGATTCCCCCAAGTCTTTGTGGAGCACCCGATGAGTGCCAGACCCAGGTGCTGGGTGCTGAGGCCCACTGGAGTTTCAGAATTTCAGGGAGAATCTCCAGGTTATCCAGAAAACCCACAGCCCCTCTTTTTTTTTTTGCTTTTTGGGGCCCACCCAGCGATGTTCAGGGGTTACTCCTGGCTCTGCACTCAAGAATTACTCCTGACAATGCTTGGGGGACCACGTCATGCTGGGAATCGAACCCCAGTCTGCTGCGTGCAAGGCAAATGCCCTCCCTGCTGTACTATGCAACCCCTGCCCTCTAGCCTTTTATTATGAAGCATCAAAAGCTGAAAAGAATATTCCCTTCTATCTACCAACTCTGGTGCTCAATGGTTACTCCTGGCTCTGCACTCATGGATCACTCCTGGTGGTGCTTGGGAAACCATATGGGAATGCTGGAGATCGAACCTAGGTCAGTCTTATGCAAGACAAGTGCCCTACCCACTGAACTATCTCTCTGGCCTATCATGTTTTGTTATATTTTGTCACACTTACCCGATCAGCCTATTAAGAACTCATGATTTTGGGGCTGGAGAGACAGCACAGCGGGTAGGGCTGTGCATCGCTGGGTGTAACCCAAAAAGCAAAAAAAAAAAAAAGAACTCATGATTTTGCCTGTTTGACTTTTTTGGACCACACCTGGCAGTGCTCAGGACTTACTCCTGACCCTGTACTCAGGGATCACTCCTGGTGGTGCTCAGGGGACCACATGGGGTCCCAGGGTTAGAATCCAGGTTGACGACATGCAAACTAAGTACCCTTCCCGCTGTACTCGGGCCCCTCATCTTGTTTTGACTGATGTGTTCAGAGTCCGCTGGAGCCATCACACTCACATGGCCAGGAGGCCAGACAACTTACCGACTGCAACTTCACAGCCAGGCCTGTCTTCCTTCTCTTCCCAAGTTCCAGTTCAGCCCGGTACTCAGTAACGGACCAGCTGTATACTGGCGGCCCTGCCCGCAGGAGTCCTGAAGTCCGGAGGCTGACAGGAGAGTTGACTGTCATCTGTCTGTGCAGCCTCTGTGGGGTGCCTGCCACTTACCAGGACTTCTTGCTTGCCTGTGTGCGAGTCCCCTCCCGAGCACCGCAGGAGATGCTTTGAGTCCCAATGCTCAGTGGGCTGCAAAAACACTGGCGGTCTCTGAGCAAGGGTGACTCCTGTGCCAGCTGCTGAGGATGCCAAGGTGCTCGCTGTTCCAACTGGCAAGTGGCCAGAGCGCTGTCCCAGATGAGTGGCCCTGGCCTTCCACAGCAAGAAGGTGACAGCCGGCAATTCCCACTGCCCGCTACCAGTCAGGAACAAACCCTGGTGCTAAGCAGTTTCCTTAAAACCCATGGGCTGGAGAGATAGTACAGAAGGTAGGGTGCTTGCCTTCATGCAGCCAACAAGCATTCAGTCCCCGGCATCCCATGTGGTCCCCAAGCACCACCAGGAGTAATTCCTGAGTGCAGAGCCAGAAATAAGCCCTGAGTACAGCCAGGTGTCACACAAAAACAAAACAAAAAACTCATGACTGCTAGAGCTCCGGGAGGCGTCCCTGAACCCAGCCACCAGGAAGCCAGTCTAGCCCCAATGGAATCTAAGCCCTCAGCACATCGTGTTCAGTGCAGCGAGCCAATGAGTGGCCAGGCTTTGGGGGGCAGAGATGAGAAACTCACACCTGGGCCGATAAGCCCAGACCTTGGTTAGGTGACCTCGGACAAGTCGTTCCTCTGGACTAGAGCATGGAAGGGGGCTGAGCCCACCCAGCTGGCACTCAGGGTCAAGGTGGAGGCCCTATAAAGCCCGGTGCCCAGCTCTCCACCTCGCTCATTTGCCACAATGATGCTGCTCAGCCTGACCCTCAGCCTTGTCCTCCTTGGCTCCTCCTGGGGTGAGTGTGGGGACGAGTCCCCGCCAAAGTCTGAGTGCTCGGGGAAAGGAAGCAGGGAGATGGGGGCGCTCGGTGGGTGTCGCCTGGCCCCTGTGACAAGAGGTGGCTGGTCCCAGTGGGCAGGAGCTGAGCAGAGGCCGATTTAGAGAGCCAAGAAGAGGGTAGGGAAGGGCAGGGTGAGGGCACATGCAAGAGCAGGAGGAGTGAGAGGGTGGGCGTGGGGGGCAGTGGCGACTGTTGGAGAGAAATGGATAGATTGCGAGCATGGATAGATTGGATGGGGTATCCCAGATGGTCGGGGCATCCTTAAGGCACTCAGTGTGAGAACAGGGAGAGATGAGCCCTTTGGTTCCTCTGGAGGGGCGGGGGGACACTTGGGTGGCGGGCTGGGGTGCGTAATGCCAACCCTCACCAACTCCATGGCCAGGCTGCGGCGTTCCTGCCATCAAGCCGGCAGTGAACTTCAACCAGAGGATTGTCAATGGCGAGAACGCAGTGCCCGGCTCTTGGCCCTGGCAGGTGTCTCTGCAGGTACGTGCCCCCTGGGGCTGGGGTGGACCCTGGGGACTTCCAGCTGTGGGGGGAGCCTAAGTTTCTCCTCTCTTCTGACTTCTGACCCCCAGGACAACACTGGCTTCCACTTCTGTGGGGGCTCCCTCATCAGCCCCAACTGGGTGGTGACTGCTGCCCACTGCAATGTCGTGTGAGTGTTGCTGCCCGCTGGGCCCTGGCCAGCTCCCCCTCCACACCTCCCCCGCTCCCACTGCCTCCCCACTGAGCCCCACTCCCCTCTCGCTGCAGCCCTGGCCGCCACATCGTGGTCCTGGGTGAGTACGACCGATCTTCCAACGCCGAGCCAGTGCAGAGAGTGTCCATCGCCCGGGTGAGTGGGGTGACAGCCAGGCAGGGCTGTGGGGGCTCTCTGGGGGCCTGAGCCCACCCCATCCAACCAGGCCTCTTCCCGGCTCCACAGGCTGTCACTCACCCCGGCTGGAACCCCAACACCATGAACAACGACCTGACTCTCCTGAAGCTCGCCACTCCCGCCCGCTACACTGCCCAGGTCTCCCCCGTCTGCCTGGCCGCCCCCAATGATGTGCTGCCCTCTGGCCTGACCTGCGTCACCACCGGCTGGGGCCGTACCAGCGGTGTCGGTAGGAGCCTGGGCTGGACAAGTGGGCTGGGCGGGCTGGCAGTGACCAGGCATCCAGACCTCATGGCCCCCTCCTGGTCCACAGGCAACGTGACCCCCGCTCGCCTGCAGCAGGTGACCGTGCCCCTGGTCACCGTGAACCAGTGCCGCCAGTACTGGGGTTCCAAGATCACCGATGCCATGATCTGTGCCGGTGGCGCCGGTGCCTCCTCCTGCCAGGTAAGCCCCAGCCCCGCCCTTAGCCCTGCCCTTCAGCCCCCCACGTCCCCCACTGACGTCTCTGCTCTCCTCCAGGGTGACTCTGGTGGCCCTCTTGTCTGCCTGAGAGGAAATGCCTGGGTGCTCACTGGCGTCGTCTCCTGGGGTACCGGCAACTGCAACGTGAACACCCCCGCCATGTACACCCGTGTCAGCAAGTTCAGCAGCTGGATCAACCAGGTCATCTCCTACAACTAAGACTGCCACTGACGCCTGCCCCCACCCCTAGCCAATAAATACCCTGAACTCTATCCTCTAGTAGCGTGTCTGTGTCTCCGATCTGTCTTTGAGTCCAGCAAGTAGCGAGGGTTGGGGAGCTCCCGAGATGAGCTGTATCAGGATGGGTCCCCTGCCCTCCTCCTCTGGATCACTGCCTGTACCCAGGACCCAGCAGCCGGGATGGACACTTCTCTTGGAACAGCTGGAGTGGACACTTCCCTGGGGGAAGGTGGCCTGTTTATTGAGGGTACATTTACCAACTGAGTACACAAAATAAATAACTGCACATTCTCCAGCCATGGCCCCCGTGTGAAGGCCCAGGTGGGCCTCTCAGAGGCCCAAGTCCCCAAACCCCTGTGTCCTGCCACAGAATCAGAGGGAAGAACCCAGGCACTAGGGGGAGTTCTGAGATCGTGGGGCTTGGGGGCCCGGACAGAACTGGGGGGTGTCGGGATGTATCAGGCACAGTAGACTTGGCCCAGAGTGGTCTCTTTGGCTTGATTTCCCACAAAAGGTGGCACATGGAAAAAGTGGTGGCGGAGGGGAGGCCAGTGATCTGGCGAAGGTTCCAGCTGGCTCTCTCCTACAGAGCAGCTGTGGAGGGGGCGTGGGTTCCAGCCCGGTTTGGGGGGACGGGGTGGAGGAAGGGGGAGACACCGTGGCAGACAGGGGACTGGTCTGGCTCAGGCCTCTGGGAAAGCAGTCACCCAGTGCCACCCCCCTCCCTGGGGGGTCCCTCCAGCCCGAGATCCAGCAGGACCCAGACTGACAGGTCAGTGCTGTGAAAGGAAGCGGAGACAGGCTGGGCCGGGCCCAGGCACTCAGGGTTCAGAGGCAGGTCACACAGTATGGCTAAGTTCCAGGGGAGCTGCGCAGAAGGGGGGGGCGTGGGGGGAATGGTGGGGAGGTGCTGGGCAGCAGCGCCCTTGCCCTTCCCGGGTGCAGCTGCCTCTTCCTTCCCACTTCCTCTCGGAGGGGGTGGGGGGGAGGCGGGACGTGCAGGCTGCCCTACTTGTGCCAGACACTAGATGGCGCCCTTGTGCAGCTACAGAGACCGCCGTGGGAAGGCTTGAAAGGGGCGGTGGGCACGGGGAGTCCCGCTGGAATCCCAACAGCTGTCTGGGAATACCTGGCTCGCTGTCTCGGCCCCAGGTGCCACCATCCCCTCCAGGTAGCAGCAGTGGGGCTCCCGTTAATTCCCCTCAGGTTGGGATGGAGGCACCTAGGGAATAGAACAGGCATCCGCAGGGTGGGGGAAATGGGTGCGATGGGTTTGGTGAAGGCACAGAGGGGGCCAGGGAGCTAGCTCAAAGGGCTGAGTGCATTCTCTGCACACAGAGGGCCCAGGCTGGATCCCCAGCACCCCACGGTTCCCATAGCACCACCAGGGAGGGATCCTCAAGGACCATGTTGGCAGCAGCCCCTAAGCACTGCCAGGTGTGCCCCTCCCCACCTCCCCGAATGCAACCAAACAAGACAGCAAAGGCACTGAGGGAGGTGGGCTGGAGCAGGGACTCTCACAGCACGAGCGAGGACGGTGCCTGGAGCACAGCACCCACAGGGCTACACAGTCCACAAGGACCCCGGTCCCTACCACCGCCCCTTCCTGGTAAGTGCCAGGGTCAGAAAAGGTTCCTGGGGGCACCAGGAAGGAAGACAGATCCTGACCGGGAGGTGGGGGGTGGGGGGTGGATCTAGCCAGGGTCTGAGATCCCAGCCAAGGCACGAGCTTAATTTGGTAAGAAGGCCACGGAATGTGGGGGCCAGGAAGGCAGGCTTTGATGGAGGAGGGGGGTTCCAGAAGCGACTGTCCCCAAAAGCCCTGGAACCAGAACCCACGTGCCCTCTACTCGGCCCGATGTGCCCCTTCGCTGTGCGAGAGACCGGAGGCCAGGCTCCCCGTTCGGGGGCGCCCTCTGTCCCACCGGCCCCCGCCCGAGGAGGAGCTGCAGCCGCGCGGCTCAGCCGTTGTACTGCTGCTGGTAGCGCAGGTTGAGCTCCCGCAGCTCCCGCTCCCGCACGCGGCGGGATTTGTTGGAGCGCGTCGAGCGGCTGGAGCGCGTGGACTGGGCCGACTTGGTGCTCTGGCAGCGCGAGGAGGCGCGTTTCAGGAGGTTCTGTGAGATGGAGCGGTGCAGGTTCTTCATGGACGAGGAGGCTGCCATGCTCACCACCCACGGGTGCCTCAGGGCCTGCAGGGCGGTCATGCGGGCTCCGGGGTCCACCGTCAGCAGGCGATCAATGAAGTCTTTGGCCAGGTTGGACACGCTGGGCCAGGGCTAGAGGTCAAGGGCAAGCATTAGAGCGAGATCACTCAACACGGCCTTCCCTCCTGCTGAGGCCACCCAGTGTCCGCAGGCTCAGCAGCCCGCTGCACGTGGTCCCTGTGGAAGCACCACCAAGGGTCAGCCCAGGGGCGGCACAGGGCCTTTGTGCCTCCCTAATGTGGGCCCAGACCACTAAGCAGAGGATGGCGCATGTGGAGACCTAGGCTGCCCGTCCTTGAAAAGGGAACCCCTTGGAAGTGCAGGGCTCAACTCAGGGATCCGGTCCCTGTCCACACCTCCCAAGCCACCTCAGGAACCACAATGAACTCAGAGACAGAGAAGAAGCCAAGCCCCTACCACTTGAGACCGAGTTTCTTAAGCTGTAACCCAGAGGTCCCCAAACTAAGGAGACCTCTCAGTCTTCTCAGGAAAAATATAAAAATCTCTTTCAGCACCCGGCGGGAATCTACCTTCTTTCCCTATGGGCTGGGGCCCAGCGGATGCTAGTCACTCTGCCTTGGCCAGACCGCAGAGATAAGCGGTATCCCGGCCCCACTCCAGCTCAGACCAGCCCAACCAAAGCCCCCTGCAGCTCCAAACCGGTTCGGTGCGGTTTGAGATGCGGTTCTCTCAGGGACCCACTCTGTGAGCTTAAGCAGCTCCATTTCCAGAGTGGCACACACTCACACCAGGCACCAATCCCCGCTGTGTGCAGAGCCGCGACCAGATTGATCGGCCGCTTCTTCAATCAGCCGGCGGGTCGCTGGGGCTCTGCGGCTCGCTCCGGCAGGCAGGCTCACAGCCAACCGACTGGGAGGAACGACAGAAGTGGGGCCGGGGTGTGGCCCAGCCCCAGTGACTGGAGCCAGCCTGACTGAAAACCAGGTCGTGTCTGTGGCACCCAGCCTCACCCTGGCACCCAGAGGAAGCCGGGCAGGCAGGACACACTAGTGACAGGGGCTGAGAGGCTGATATTCAGAACAGGGGCTCCGGGCACCCGGATGACGCCTCCAAAGAAGTTCAGAAAGGAAAAGCCAGACTTTGTGTGTTCCCCCAAAGCCAGGCCAAGTTCAATGCTAACAGCCCTTCTAAGAAGCACTCCACACCTGCTTCCGACACACCTGGGCCTTGGGGCCACTGGAGAATGTGACCATGAACACTTCTGGCACAGGACATGCAATAACTGTGACTGCTGCTGGTGGGAGGACAGAACTCTTTCCTGGGACGTGCGTGGTCCCGAATGAGGGGACAGGCCTGGGTAGCACCTGACTCCCACAGGCTTCCACCTCCTCTGGGCCAACATGGCCTGCAGGGAATGAAAGCAACGGTTAACTATCAACCCAGAGGCATCAGAGCGATAGCACAGAGGAGAGGGTGTTTGCCTTGCTCGCAGCCAACCTGGGTTCGATCCCCGGCATCCCATATGGTCCCCGGAGCACGCCAGAAGTCATTCCTGAGTGCAGAGCCAGGGGTAACCCTGAGCATTGCCAGGTGTGACCCAAAAAGCAAAAAAAAAAAAAAAAATCAACCTGGAGGCCTGGGCACTAGGTCAGATTCCCAGAATCACACAGTCCCTGATCTCCATCAAGAGTGAACCCCCCTCACCCCCAGCACCTGGGGCGGGGGGCACTGCCTGGCCCACAGCCCCCTGGATCCTTCTCTCCCCACAGCCAGAGGCTCTGCTGGAGACAGTGTAACAGTAGAGAAGTCAAGGTGAGGCAGGAATGACCTCCCCTGAGACAGCATCCTTACCAACACCTTTCTATTCAGCCCCTGCTTCTGGGGCACTACAGCCATCCTGGCGGCGGAGCCCCACAACAACACAGGCCTGAGTCCCGTCCCAGCTCAGAGGCTCCATGCCCCCAACACTCCCCACCCCAGCTTGCTCTAGGTCAAGGGTCACAAGGAGGGGCAAGGTCATGATCCGAAGCCTAGGTGCAGCCTCGCTGTGGGCCCGGGGCCAACGGAGGTCTGGGAGAGGAGGAAGCTTCTCTCCTGCAGCGCGCCCAGTTCCCAGTGAGTGGGGAGGGAGGCGCATTCTCCAGCCCCAGTCCTGGGGGGAAAGGACCCGGGTGAGGCCGCAAGTGCAAGTGCTCTACTTGCACCAGCTCAGGGACTTAAAAAAACTCGCTGCTCACTTTCAGGGGGAAGGAGCAGATGCAGCGAGCCCAGTGGCTCCTGGAGCACGACTGGGGGCCGAGGCATGAGTTCAGGGCCTTTTTTCTCACTTGGCAGCTGGCCGGACAGCTTGACCTCTGTGCGCTCTCTCCCAGGGTGATGAAGGCGCCCCGAAAGGGACGGGGATCACCACCAGGAGCGCTAAGGGGACGCAGGGAGGAGGGGCTAGAGTGATAGTACCCTACCCTACAGAGGGTAGGGCACTTGCTTTGCCTGAGGCTGACCCAAGTTTGAGCCTCTGAGTCCACCAGGAGTGATTTCTGAGTGCAGAGCCAGGAGCAACCCCTGAGCACTGTCAGGTATGGCCCCCAAACAAGAACCAAATACACAAAAACGTAAAACAAAAAGAAAAGGGGGGCAGGGGAGCAAAGATGCCTGGGGCCAGCTCCCATGACTCAGAGCCTCCCTTAGCTTGGTCCCAAGCCGTCTCTTCAGAGGCCACTCTCCCACCCACAACGGCCTCCTTCCTGTACTCACTTGGGCCTGGGTGAGAAGGCCCAGGGCCCCAGAAGACATCCTGGGTTAGGAGCTTCAGTGTGTGCGGGAGGGGCAGGCACCCACTCTGACGTGGCCCTGGACCAGTGTCCTCCCTCTGGTGCACACACTCCCCATCCTGGGGCCGGGTCCACCACCCTGGGACCTGGCAAGGGGCGAGCAGCAGCAAAGAGAGAGAAGCAGGGGGAAGAGAGCCCGAGCAGAGAGAAAAGCAAAACGGGTTTTAGAAAGAAGCAGAGTGAAAGAACAATCCAAAGAGAAAAGGCCAGATAATTGTGAGGTTGATAAAGAAACTGTTTTGAAACTGGAGCTGAATGAACAAAGCGAAATCTTAGCATCCCCGCTGGCCCCCGTGCAGAGTGAAGGAGAGAGGCGGGTGCTGTGAGCAGGAGAATGCTGTGAGCAGTACCCGGGCCAACACCTCCAGAATTCAACAATCCCAAGGGCAGCCCTGAGGTCAGGTGGTTTACGGGGCCTAATCTCAATCATTAGGGGGGGGCGGGGGGGGGGTTGGAGGCCCTTACCTGGCACTGCTCTGGGGCTACTCCCAATTTAATGCTCAAAGCTGCTCACAGTGGTACTCAGGGAATATGCAGGGCTGGGGATGGGCCCTGGGGTTCCCACGTGCAAAACAAGTGCTCCAGCCGGACTCATCTCTCTGACACGGGATCTGTTTTTTTCTAGGGAAGTAACTCACAACTGATGCTCAGAAGGCCGGGGGTCCCACCTGTGATTCTCAGCCACAGGGTACGAGGATGCCCTGCTGCTCGGACCCTGAGGGAGCTGAGGCCACGCCAATGGTGCTGGGATGTTTTTTCCTTAATTCCTTCCATTCTAGTTTCCAAAGCACTTTGTTACCTTGGTGCCTGTTAGCGTCTGTCCCTGGAGGCTCTGCCCTAGAACCATGGGTCCCTAGGACTTGGCTCAGGGTGGGCAACTGGTCAACATGGGATGGCAGAATGAGTGAAGAGATGGATGTGACTCAGCCTTAGGGGGGCTGGCTCGGGCCCCTTGGGAGGGCCTGTGGGGCTGGATGCCACACCTGCATACAAGATAGAGCGCTCCGCAGGGCAGGCACAGGTGTGTGGCCATGTGACCTGAGCAGGAGAGAGCAGCAAAAGCGCTAGGGCCAGGTCACCTGGACCATCCTATCCTGAGGCGACGTCCACCTCCACGGGGCAGGAGGGGAGAAAAACTCCTCAGGTTTCAAACGGTCAGAATGCAGGAGACAGCAGAGGTGAGAGACGGCAGGGCCAGTGAGTGGGCAGAGCTCGGCAGGTTGACAAGAAGAGCAGGAGAGGGAGGGGTCACCAGGAACCTCTAAGAACACCGTACCCCAGGGTCCCCTTGGCTGGGGCTGGGAATGGGGGCAGCCGCGGCAGAGGGATGGCTGGAGGACTGGGCACAGGGGGCCGGGAGGCACAGTGGGCATGCTTGACGGGCTACTGTCCTGTCCGCCCAGAGCCCCCTACTGCTGCTACAGGAAGGGAGCTGTCCCTGTGCTCCAAGAGGTCTCCCATCAACAGATGGGTCCCAAACACAGCGACCAAAGAGGGGCCACGAACAGGCCGGGCTGCCGGTGAGGGAGTCGGCCCCACGCCGCAGCCCAGTCCGGGGGGGACCTCATCTGCACGCCTGTGTCCCTGGAGCTTCAGGGAGTGAGGGGGGCCCTTTGTGCATGTGGAGGAGCCTCTGCTGACCCCCTGGGACCCTGGCATAGAGCCCCCCAACCCCCGCAGGCAGGCACGGAGGACGGTCAGGGACAGCTCAGAGGAAGAATTCTAAATCCGCCTGTGTTCCCTTTTGCGCTCAGGAACTGAGTCAGAAAGGAGCCGCCATCCTCTGCGTGGGGAGCAGGCCACCGGTGACGCGCGGCCGCACACGGCCCAGTCGCCACACAGCGGGGAAATGCTGCCTCCCTGCAACCCGCCCTTCGCCCTGCTCCTGCCCAGCTCACTGCACCCCCAGGCAGGCAGAGGCCCCAGAGTTTCCAGCCCTTCTGGGGCAAGACCCAGTTCCTGCTCACTCAGCTGCTCCGTGTCAGGATCCCTGAAGGCTGGGAGGCCTGTGCTGGAGCCCACCTGTTTCTGGAGAACTCACCGGGCTCGCCCACACCTCAGAGGCCGCCCAAGCAGAGGAGGAGGGTGACAATTAAAAAGGTTGCTAAAGGCGGCTGACACAAAGCTGCTGATGGCATCAATCTGCCATCCATCCACCCAGCCGCTAGGAATAGAACGGCTGACAAAAGCAGTGACATGAGACTGGCGACGTCACACTTCGTGTCAAGTGAATCACGGGCTCTCCAAGCTAGTGAGCCCGTAAGAGCCCTCTAGTATGGGGCTCCAGATGACTCACCTGGTGAGTCACCCCAACAGCGAGCTGCTCCGGGGCTCTGGGGGCCTCACATGACAGGAAGCGCCCCCTCTTGAAGCGGCCTGAGTCTCGGACTGCTCACTCACAGGCCTCCCACATCTGGACAGCATGTGTCTCCCCATCGCTGCCAACGTGACCCTAGCTCGGCCCTGGCCACCTCCAGTCACTGGGCAAAACTTCAGATTTCTGGAGCCGGAGAAAAGCAGAGCACAGGCGTTGAGGCACTTGCCTGGCATGTATGTGGCTGATTCTCTCTTTTTACTTTTTGGGTCACACCCGGCGATGCACAGGGGTTACTCCTGGCTCTGCACTCAGGAATCACTCCTGGCGGTGCTCGGGGAACCATACGGGATGCTGGAAATCGAACCCGGGCTAGCCAAGTGCAAGGCAAATGCCCTACCCACTGTGCTATCACTCCAGCCCTGGCAGCGTTCTCCCTTAACCACCCAGAGGTTCAGGGATCTCTTGAACCTGAAACCTGAAGGGGTTTGGGGGGTGGGGTGCCAGAGACTGCTCAACATGCTGGAGAACAAGCCTGGCATGTACAGGTTCAAACCTGGCACTCATGGCTTCTTGAGCACTGTCAAATAGAGTCCTGGTGCCCTCCAGTACTGCTAGGCAGCACCTCCTACCCTACCCTCTCCCCTCCAAAAAGGGGAGGGGCTGGGGAGATGGTTCAAAGGGCTGAAGTGCCTGATTCCATGCAGGAGCCCCAGAGTCAGGTCTCATCAGCATTCAGTCTCCCAAGCACCAAGGAGGAGCCCCTGAGCAGTGTTGGGTGTGATTCCCCCCAAACAAAAACACCTGAAACCTACCTGAATGGTGCAAGCCTCTGGCCCTGCATAGCTCCCAACTCCATCAACCTCTGCTCCTTTATCAATCTCTCTCTCTCTCTCTCTCTCTCTCTCTCTCTCTCTCTCTCTCTCTCACACACACACACACACACACACACACACACCAGTTTATTCCAGAGCACAGCCAGTAATCTCCCCTCCTCCGAGCTTCCTCCTCAGAGACGATCTCCTTCAGGAAGCCCTCCATCCAAATCCCCAAATCCTCTGCCTCACAGGGGCCCATGTGAGCTGTACCCTGGGGGTACGTGCATACAGGAGAGCACTTCAGTCCTGGGGTAATGCATGTCCTGAGACTCAGCCCAGGTGAAGAAAGCTACCCTAGCAGGGGGGAGGGAGGCACCTCCCCACGACAAACTCCCAGACAGGTTTTCCGGCAGGGTTTTTGCTCACATGACCTTCAGAAAGGCAAATGGTATCAGGCCATAGAAGACTGAGCAAGGGGACAGGGCTCAGCCCTAAGAGGAGGGTCACCTGGCCGGAGCCAGGGCTCAAAGCCACAACCTGTCCTGGCACATGCCTGCCAACGAGGGTTCACTCCATGGCCATTTCCCACGTGCAGCTCCCCCCCAGGCTACGGCAAGTGTCCTCGGGTCAAGGAACAGGTCTTCGCGGCTTCCCAAGGCGCACTCATGGGAAGGCGATGGCCTGCAGGACAGGCAGCAGGGAGATACTCGGACCACTCGTCTCCCACAACCCCCTCCCAGCCGAGGCGGGCTCAATCTGTTCTCTCAATAAGCTCTGCTAACAGGTGCCATCAAGGCTGCCTCTGGGCCTGGAAATGAACTCTCAGCTTCGGGTGTGAAAGGCAGTGGGGTAAGAGGCTGGGTGGTGTACACACACACACACACACACACACACACACACACACACACACACACACACACAGAGTCACAAAGATACACACACTCTTCCAACAGACACAGACACACACACACAGACACTCTTCCAACACATACACTCTATGAGCCCCAGTCTCTCCTCTCCCTCTCCCCCCTCCCCTCTTCTCCTGCGGCTACTGCAGGAGCTGAGGCCCGAGTCCCTTCTCCCCACTCATCTGTCATTCTCCCACTCACAGGCAATCGATTCCCAGTTAATGAGACTCCACAGGTTCCAATTAGGTAAACTGCCTGATCAACAATTGCCAGAATAAGAAACTCTTGGGTAAAATCTACAGACTTCTTTGTAGAATTTTGGAGTCTCTCCTCGATCGACATTTCTTTGGAAACTTCCCTCCCTCTTACAGCTAAGCTCACCACTCCCTCTGCCAGCTGGACCCTCGATACGGGCACCGGAGAAAGTGCCAGGGCTGCGGCTCCCAGCCCACAGTGAGCCAGGCAGGGCCTTGGCACACACAGCGGGTATCTGCAAGGTGGACTGCAAGTCCTCAGAGTCCAAAGGGTGGCTGCCGCGCCAGTCACAGTGGGGTCTGCTGAATTCATTTGGAGCAAGAAAACGCAAGAGAAACTTCAGGGAGGGGGAAGGGGAGCGGACAAGGTGGAGGTTGCTCCCCAGCTGACCTGAAGAGGCCGGCTTCCGCCCTTCCTCACGCCACCAGGCAGGACTGGGATCCCCTTCCCCTGGGAGAGAAGCCCCTGACTGGACGCTGACAGGGAGGGGGTGAAGCACAGGACCCCAAGCACTGCAGGCGAAGTGGCAGGGGCCGCTCCCACAGGAGACCCCACACAGGCCAGCTGGCCGAACCCCCGAGCTGCCTGCCCAGAGCTCCCCCACTACTGGCTGTCAGAATGTGCAGCTGGCACCGGGGCTGCGGGGAGCAGCAGGGACTGGCCCTCACTGCCCTGGTGGAATTCTGCGGTCCAGCAAAGCTCCCGTCCCTCCTGCGTGAACTGTTCACACGTTCTCCTCCCAGCCGCACCGAGCACGCCATGACATTCCAGCCCGCCTTCCTGCTGAGTCACGGGGCCCCCCTCAGCTCCCACCAGGCACCGATCCCGCCGGAGGATGGACCAGCTCTTCTCCTTCTGCATCTCCTGCCACCTCCCGGCCCTCTGTGCTAAACCCAAACAGCAGTGTCAGTTAGCGCGACTGTCAGCAGATCCGGAGCCTGTTGGTGGGATTTGGCCTGCAGCCTAGCGTCTGTTGGCACACAAGAAACGGTTGAAATACGTGAGTTCAAGTCCAGTGCTTTAAGATCAGATCTTCCAGTTTTTCCTTCAAAAATTAGACTGTCGGGGCTGGAGCGACAGCACAGCAGGTAGGGCGTTTGCCTTGTACGTGGCCGACCCGGGTTTGACTCCCAGGATCCCACATGGTCCCCTGAGCACCACCAGGAGTAATTCGAGTGCAGAGCCAGGAGTGAACCCTGAGCATCGCCAGGTGTGACCAAAAAGAAAAAAAAAACTAGACTCCTAGGGGCCAGAGAGAACTCTCTCTGGGAGTAAAACACTTGCCCAGCACGAGCCACTGGGCAGCAGCACTGGCCTGAAGAGACCAGCTTCCACCCTTCCTCACGCCACCCCAGGCAGGCAGGAACAGGGATCCCCTTCCCCGTGAGGAAGCTTGATCCCTGACACCACATCTGGTCCCCCAGCCCCCAGGAGAGATCCCAGAGCTCAGGGCCAGGAGTAAGCCTTGAGTAGAGCTAGGTGTGGCCCCTAAATTAGTAAGAATCAAACACTAGAATTTCTGGGTGCATCAGCTCTTTAGTGCCATGTGGCTAAACTGGGCAAACCCCATGACCCACTGCAGGTTCCTGTGCAGAGGCAGCTGCCCACGGCCCGCGCTCACATCGCCCTGCGTCTCTGCCTGAGGACTTTGTACAGCACCAGTTGGCACTCAGGACAGTGCAGAAGTGCCAGGGATTTGATACCGCCAAGAAATTCTTGACTCACACGGGAGTCAGAGGACTGGAAGCCACCCACTGGCCTGCCCCTCGGCACGCTGGCTCTGCGGTCCCACCACTGACGACTATTCAAAGGGTCCCGGCAGGGCTCGGAGCTGAGGTCCACAGCAGCCCCCACTCCACACACTTGCTCCTGGCTTTCTGCCTTTCCACCTCGCTCTCCCTGCCCTTCACTTGTACTTTCCAGAAACTCCCAAAGCTCCACCCTCCCAGGCTTCCCAGCCAGGGCTCACTCGTCAGGGAACACAGTCAGATACCCCATGAGTCCCACTTCATCACTGCATTACTGTCTGCACACCTTTCCCCCCAGCTCACATCCCCCAACGGCAAACTGCAGCACAGGCTCCCACACCCAGGGGGCCCCCCAGCATCCCCGGAACAGGGCAGACTCACCTCCCCCGAGTAACTGTACTTGCCCCTGAGGATCTGCCGGTACAGCCGGGTGCGGTTGTCATCCTCAAAGGGCATGGTGCCACTGAGCAGGATGTAGGCGATGACACCCAGAGCCCACATGTCCACGGAGTTGGTGTAGGGCTTGCGGACCAGCACCTCGGGGGCGATGTACTCGGGCGTGCCACAGGTGGTCTTCATCAGGCAGTCATCGCCCTTCTTGCGGGCACTGGCCAGGCCGAAGTCGGTGATGATGATCTTGGAGTCCGTGCCCGGGTGGTAGTAGAGCAGATTCTCAGGCTTGAGGTCTCGGTGCGTGATGCCCAGCGCGTGCAGGTAGCGGACGCCATCCAGCACCATCTGCAGCACCCGGGTGGCGTCGCGCTCCGTGAAAGACCCCTTGGCGATGATGCGGTCGAAGAGCTCGCCCCCGGTGGCCAACTCCATGACCATGTACACGCGCTCCTGCGTCTCGAACACCTCCACCAGCTGGATGATGTTGGCGTGGCGCACGCGGCGCAGCACGCGCAGCTCCGACTCACACACCTCCCGTCCCTCCCGGTACTTGGTCTCGATCATCTTGATGGCATACGGCTGCCGGGTGGCCCGGTGCTCCACACGCACCACTCGGCTGAAGCTGCCTCGACCGATCAGGGCCTTGATGTCATACTTGGCTGTCACTCGCGGATCAAACTTGGCCCTGTACTTAGCCACCCTGGTCCTGCGCGGTGGTTCAGAAGGAGGTTCTGTGGGGCCGGTGGTGGTGAGGGCCCCGGGACAGGGGCCTCCATACTGGTCGGCTGCTGGGAGCCCGGCTTTGGGTGGAATGAGACTGTCCACCTCCGTGATGAAGTGCTTGTACACATCGCTCTTAGTGCTACCGAAGGGCTCCACCTTCTTGACCAGATCCAGCTGGACATCCTTGGGCGGCTCAGGAAGGACCTTGCTTGTCCCACAGCCCATCACGGACACGGGGGCATCCTCTCCAGCAAGGCTGGCAGGACCTGCTCTGCAGGCAGCGTCCCGTCTACACCTACGCAGGCAGCGGAGAGGCAAAGTCAGCACAGCCAGAGAGACCCTGGACGGGATATCAGCCGTCCTCCGCCCAGCCTCCCGCCCGTCAATTAACCCAGCCAGGAAAGCTGCAGCGGCCCGTCCACCATGGCTCCCCAGAGAGGACGCCGGCTTTAGCCCCCTGGGGTTAACACCTTCCTGGGCCTGACTCCCCTAAAGAGGGCAGGAACACACACCAGGCCCAAGTGTCACTACCCTGCTCTGCTCGGGTCCCTTTTCCAACTGAACTCCCATGTTTTTCAACTGTTAAAATCATTCCTCTGACTCATCTTTTCTGACGTGGGGGTGTGTGTGGAGTGTTGGAGGTCTGCTCCCCAACATTATCATCCACCAGAGCTCAGGGAGCTGCTTCTCCAGGGTCTCCCTCCTGCTCAGCCTTCCTGCCCACCAAGGCCTCCTATAAGGGTGGGCCCCTGTGACCACTCCCCACCTGGGGCTGGCCTGAGTCCTTCCGGGGACAGCTCCAACCCGTCTCCCAGTCCCAGAGCTGGCTAGAATCAATCCCATCAATCCCAGCGAACCCGGGGCAAAAGATTTGGCGACTGAACTAGCCAGGGCTGCACTCTCGAGACACAGAGCAGGCCATGAGCTCCAAAAGGACAGGAGCAGCTGCATCCAGATGTGACTCGGGCTGCAGACAGAGAGCACTCTTCCTAGGGTCAGAAGATGTCCTATGTGGGCCTGAGAGAGTACAGGCAGGGCACTTGCCTTGCATGCAGCCAAGCCGGGGTCTATCCTCGGCACTCTATAAGGAATAAGGGAATAAGGAGTGTGCCTAGGAATAAGCCCTGAGCACTGCTGGGTGTGGAGGGGAGTGGGGGAGGACGGGCAAAAGAGAAGGAGAGAGGGAGGGAGGGGGGAGAGAGAAAGAGAGTGCAAGGGAGGTAGAGGGGGAAAGGGAGAGGAAGAGGGCAGGAGGGAGGAGGAGAGGGAGAGGAGGAGAGGGAAAAGAGAGGAAGGGAGGGGGAAAGAGAGGGGAGGAGAAGAAGGGGGAGGGGGAGGGGAGGAGGAAGAGACACCCTATGTGCTTCCTGAACAAAAATGCTCCAAAAAGGGGCTGGAGCGATAGTACAGCGAATAGGGCATTTGCCTTGCATGTGGCCGACCCAGGTTCAATCCCCACCATCCCATATGGTCCCCCAAGCACCGCCAGAAGTGATTCCTGAATGCAGAACCAGAAGTAAACCCTGAGCATCGCTGGGTGTGACCCTAAAAGCAAAATAAATAAAATAAATGCTCCAACTATTAATATGCTGAAGAGACGGTTCAAAGAACTGAATGAACACTCCGTACACAGGAGGGCCAGGTGTGATTCCCAGCACTGTTGCCGGGGCCCTCCTGAGCACAGAGCCAGAGTCCCTGAAAAGTGTCGGGAGGCACCCCCAAAACAAGACAAACGCAGGACACCCAGACATTACAGATATTACAGCCACAGAGACCCTCAGATTCCAGTGAGAGGAGGCCTGGGCCGGAGATGGCAGGACTGACCAAGGAGGCCAACTGTCAAGGAACAAGTTCATCTGTGACACAGTTCCAAGGTCTTGACCGATATATCAGGCAAAAAAGGAGAATCTAACCCCTGAGTACCACCAGGTCCCCATCCCCCCACATGTGCACACACACACATACACAAAAAAACAAAAACAAGGAGAAATTTAGAAGCCATAGAGCAAGAGCTGAGTTACAACAGGACACTTGTACAACGAGGATTCCCCTTCTCGCAGGGAGGGGAGATTCCAAGACACAAGATTCCGTGGGATTGGCTGCAGTCCCTGCTCCAATGCCAGGGGGATCCCACATCGCTGCTTACGAAAGAGTGTTTAACAAAGGCATTCAGAAACTGGGCTCCATCCCACGGAGGCCAAAGATCAGCACAAGGAACTGTAGAACTCTGCAGACTTCTCTTTGCTTTAGGGAATCCACACTTCCACAGAATAACAGGGCCCTCTCTCAGAACACAGGCCCCTGACTCCAGCAACACACACCAAACAACCACCACGGCAAATTCAGGGCAACATGCCAGAGTCCCCCGGACACAGGAGGCAGGATACAAAGCTCCAGGCACCCATGCCAGCTCTTTCTGCTAGAATCTGGTCCCGATGAGAAAAACCAAGTTCACAAGAGAGGCCTGACTTTTCGTCTTAAACACAGGACGTCTGCACAGGGCTCCCGAGCCAGCAGGGAGCGGGGCAAGGGTGAATCCTCTCTGACCTTCCACTTCCATCCTAAGGCTCACTGCACTTAGACACTCTTCACAGACTGGCTGCTGTGGCACTCTGCCGTTGCAAGGGTGGACGGACTCTGTGCGGAGGGAGGGTGCCAGCTGGCAAGGCACCTCCAGTGCTCTCCGCTGCGCCACATTCCAGTCACAGGGCCCTCTCCCTCCAAAGGGGCCCGGTGAAAAGACAGGCAGAGGGACAAAGGAGGGGGCGGGCAAAACCCTTTCTGAGAGAAGGGCAGAACGTTTGCCTGCCCCCCATGCAACCAGGAGACAGGTGGGGAATGGGGTGGGGGGCAGGACGAACGAGGAGAACCTCAGGAGTCCTCCCAGGAAGGTCGCTCGCCCCAACCCTACCACCTGTAGCAAACGCTGAACTTGAGAGCTGGCCTCCGTGCCTCACTCATACTTCTCGAGTCAGGCAGGTCTGTTAGACGGAATCTGGCCATGGGGTAGGAACTCGGAGTGGCTGTCTGCACGACATCACAGGAATGGCAAAGCTTACCCAGAGCTGCTCAGATCGAGGTGGCCAGGGGGAGACCCCAATCCCCTAGCTTTCCAACCAGAACTCCTCCCTCCACACGGAAGAGACTCCAGAAGCACCTGGAGTCTGCCAGAGGCTGGTCCTCCAAGTCAAGACCTTGACCCTTTCTTCTACCACTTAGTTGAAGAACTTCTTTAATTTCTTAAAAAGTTTAAAAATATGTATTTTAAAACAATGTTTATATAAATATATATATATTTTTTCTTTCTGGGTCACACCCGGCTATGCACAGAGGTTACTCCTGGCTATGCACTCAGGAATCACTCCTGGCGGTGCTTGGTGGACCATACGGGATGCTGGAAATCGAACCCGGGTCGGCCGTGTGCAAGGCAAACGCCCTACCTGCTGTGCCATCACTCCAGCCCCCCAAAACAATGTTTTAAAAACACTTGCCTTGCACATGGCAGACCTGTGTTTCATTAATCCCTGGCACACTACAGGGTCCCCTTGGTCTTGCCAGGAGTGATCTCTGAGCACACAGTCAGGAGGAACTCCTGAACATCACCAGCTATGATGCAAAAATCACTGTCACTGTCCTCCCGTTGTTCATCGATTTTGCTCAAGTGGGCCCAGTAACGTCTCCATCGTGAGACTTGTTGTTACTGTGTTTGGCATACTGAATGTCACAGGTAGCTTGCCAGGCTTTGCTGTGCGGGCGAGATACTCTCGGTAGCTTGCCAGGCTCTCCGAGAGGGGCGGAGGAATCGAACCAGGCTCGGGCGGGCCGGCTGTGTGCAAGGCAAACGCCCTACCGCTGTGCTATCGCTCCAGCCTCCAAAAATCACAACAGGGGCCAGAGTGATAGCACAGCGGGTAGGGCATTTGCCTTGCATGCGGCCGAACTGAGTTCAATCCCCGGCATCCCATATGGTCCCCCAAGCACCACCAGGAATAATTCCTAAGTGCAGAGCCAGGAATAACCCCTGAGCATCACTGGGTATGACCAAAAAGAAAAAAAAATCACAACAAACAAAAACTCTCAGGAGAGGGCCAGAGGGGGCCAGGTAGTGTGGCAGGTAGAGCACTTGCCTTCCATGCACCCAAGTTGGGTTCAAGCCCCGGCACCCCATATGGACTCCAAGCCTGTCAGGAGTAATCCGTGAGTGCAGAGTCAGCCCTGAGTAACACCAGATATGCTCCCCAACCCCACACAAAAGAAGAGGGCCAGAGAGGTGGTTCAATGGGCTGAGCATATGCTTTGATTCTAGAGGTCTGGATTCAGTAGCCCTTACTTATGAGCCATGAGCATCATTGGGTGTGGTCCCAACGTTTAAAAACAAAAAAATTTTTTAAGGGCCAGAGACGCCTGCTCTTCAAGCCTGTGTTTTCCCTAAACACATATCATGCTTGTTTCTACCAATGTTCTCTCTTGAACACGTATTTCTTTCCCTTCTCTACTCACATCTTTCTAGGCAAGTTCCATTCAATAAAAACTATGTTTCACACACACACACACACACACATACACACACACACACAAAGTTTAAAATCAAAAGGGCCAGGGGTTGGAGCAGCAGGTAGGGCATTCGCCTTGCATGCGGCTGATCCGTGTTTGATTCCCAGCATCCCATATGGTCTCCAGAGCATTGCCAGGAGTAATTTCTGAGTGCATGAGCCAGGTGTAACCCCTGTGCATCGCTGGGTGTGACCCAAAAAGAAAAAAAATAAATAAAAAATAAAAGTAAAAAGGGCCTTGGGGCTGGAGAGATAGCATAGCGGGTAGAGCGTTTGCCTTGCATGCGGCCGACCCGGGTTCATATTCCCAGCATCCCATATGGTCCCCTGAGCACTGCCAGGAGTAATTTCTGAGTACAGAGCCAGGAGTAACCCCTGTGCATCACCAGTGTGACCCAAAAAGCAATAATAATAATAATAATTAATAATAAAATAAAAAGGGCCAGAAAGTACAGCAGTTAGGGATGCTTTCCTTACATGTGGTCAACGCAGGTTCAATCCCAATACCATAAAGATTCCCCCAAGCACCGCCAGGAGTGACCCCTGAGCTCAGAGCCAGGAGTTAAGTCCTGAGTACACCTGGGTGTGGCCCCAAAGCCAAAAATTAAAAAGAGGCAGAAGTGATAGTACAGTGGTTAGTGTGCTTGCCTTACATGTGGCTGACTTGGGCTCAATTCCCATATGGTCCCCTATATTAAAAAAAAAAAAATCAATGTTTTTTTTTTCCCCCAAAAGTAAAGTA